TGCTGGTCGCGAGAATGGTCTTCATAGTATGAGGAGCGGCGATCTCGGCGGCTGTAGGTTGAAGTGTCCCAAGAAGCATTGTCGTGCCAAGATCGGCGAGCATAGTCCCGAGAGCCAGAGGCAGCAGTCTCACGGTGGCTCGGTGTGTCGCGAGAGTCGTCTGGGGGCGGCTCCGAAGGTTCTGGGGCGTCGGCAGAAGGGTCAGGTCGTACTGAACGTGCAGAATCATCAGGGGGTTCCGAAGGTGCATTGGTCTCCGCAGTCTGGTGTGTGATCAAGCCCGGGAAAACCGTGTGAGTGGAGGCAACGTAGCATATAGATGCGGCGCTTGAGTTCATAGCCGTTGCATTGTCTTTGCCCTTGGCGATGCCCGCAAGGTTGCACAAGCGTTGGATTTGGTCATTTCCTCCAGCTAGGGCACGGATGCATTTGGGTGAGCGGCATATGGCCAGAAGGCCTGATGGGTTTTGTCCTTTGCCTATTTTGTAGAGCTGAGAGGTACAGATCTTGACAGCATAGCCGGGTAGGTTGTCGGTGTCTGCGATCTCAGAGGACATTCCGAAGAACCCGTAACACGGGTATTGAGTCGGTATGCCGGCTTCGTTTTTTGTCCAAGTTGCCGGGCGGATGCAGTCTTCAGCAAGAATTTTGGCAACTGATTCCCAACTTGTTTTGTGGTAGATCAGGTAGGTGCCCATGTGTTCGCCACGGTAGATTGGTTTCTTCTTCAATCCTGTGGGAACCGTGATGGTCAGCAAGTTCTCTGGCTCAATGTAGAAGGCTTGTGTTTGCCTTGCGAGTTCGATGTCCAGTAAGTCGGATTGTGCAAAGGCCCTGGCAATATTCCTGACGGTGGCTTGGCTTGCTTTGATCCAAATACGATGGTTGTTGACGGTGCGGTATGGTTTAGCCAACTGTTCGAACATCGCGTCCACAAATTGGTTGAAGAGCTGCAAGATAGCCGGGGTCAATGATTGGCGTAGGGGAACAACATGATCGGGGCCAAGCTCAGTCAGGCAACGGACTCTATGGGGGTCATTGGCCGCCGCCACCATTTCATCGAGGTCGATGTCATTCGTGTCAAACTTGGTGAGCGAAATGGTATCTGCAAACTCAGAATTTTCACTGTCGCCGTCCGGAACTCGGAAGGACACCGCGCCGAGTGGTGCTGAAGTGTGGGTTGGTGGGTTGGTTGGTGGTTCCGATGGTGGTGGATCGGTAGGAGAATTGGGTCGAGCAGTGTGGTGGTCGTAGGTGTCGGTGTAGTGGCTTTCGTTCCATGTACCCCAGGTGTCATCAGCATCGGGAGTGGGGATGTAGTTCGGATTGGATGGGTTTGCAGCAGGTCGAAGTATGACTTCACGGCCTCGGGATCGGTGGCGTGGTGTCGCGGAGCGTGGGCGTGGATGGGAGCGATGACGTCGAGGAACCACAGGAGAGCGGCGTCGTGGTGGTGAGCGTCGTCTGTATGGAGATGGGGTTCTGCGGCCCTTGTCGGGTTTCGTAGATGATCGATGACGAGGGAGAGGAGAACGAGGTCGCTCTGCACGTGGAGGAGAATAGCGATGGCGATGAGAATGTACAGAAGGTCGATGGGAACGTGATCTTGGAGTTCGGGATCGTGGTCGGCGTGTTGGTGGTGGTGGAACTTGTGGTTGGTGAGGAGGAGCGATGGCTGGAGCTGGGACAATGCGATGGTCCTGAACGTCCGGTTCGGTGGGTCTGGCTTTCGGTGCAGGTGGAGGCGTGGCGATCAGTGGTGGTGTAGGTGTAGGTGGCGGTATCGGTGGTGTAGGATTCGGTGGAGGTTCATCTTGTTGAAGAAGGAGTTGACGTTGTTCTTGTGCCCGTTGAGAATCCATGATTAATAGTTGCTGAGCTTGAATAAGTCGAACAGATTCAGCCAGTTGTTGTGCGGTGGAACCCAGGGATGCAAGTTCAGGTGACACGGATGAAGTCGGTGCTGTCGTAGGTGCCGGTGGTGCAGCGTGAGGAGGGGTTTTCGGAGCTGGCCTGCGCGGTCGATCCGGTCTTTTGTCAGGGCGATGCCTGGGAGCTGCTTTGACTGCTGGGGGCCGTGGTGAAGGCTCATTTGGAGAGACCGTCGATGCGTCCATCTGTAATGGAGGTTGAATGTGGTGAGGTGGGTATGGAGAACTGGGCAAAGGCGTCGGTGTCATAGTCGATGTAGGTGGTGTAGTCGATGTAGGCGATGGAGCCGGAGGGGAAGCCCACGTGGGTGGAGCGGTGGGTGCCATAGGAGATGGGAAAGTCGACGGAGCGGTGTGCACCATAGTTGGTTCAGGAGCCAAAGGCGAAGGCATGGTAGGTACTAGCTGTGGACCTGGTACTGCATGAGGAGCCGAAGTCAATGAGGTGAACGGCAACGATGTGGGGGTTGATGTAGACGGCATGAGCGAAGCTGAGGATGACCATGTAGGATGCAAAGCCGAGGGATGTCCAAATAAATGTGCATTCGGTGTTGATTGCTGCCACGTCGAAGATGGGTTCGAAGGCTGCGGTGGAGCAGGCCATGATGTTGGCGGAGTGTTCCACGGATGCATCGCTTCAGGAGATCAGAACAAAAGTGAACAATTGTAAGAATTTTCCCATACAGGATTCAGTCCCTAACTGCCTACAAATTCGTGCGATTATTCCCTGCACCGGGACCGTGGTCAAGTCAGCCACAAGGGCATAAAACGGCTTTCAAGTTCCATCGAATTAGATGCACAAAATGTTTAACCTCACCAGACAACCATCAAAAAGAAGAATACCACACCTGCAAGACGTGGGCCTGCCTGATTCATATGTCATGACTTGATGCACTTTCGCTGCAAACGTTGCTGCAAAAAACGGAGGTTTCTGAATGTTCGGTATGGCTTCGCTTGAAAGAGCAGATCACTGGGAGCCCTGGGACATCCGGAGCAGCAGGAGATCTCAAAATGGCTGACAAACCGCAAGGCTGATGGTTGCCCTTTACTTAAACGAATTACTAACTTAAAATGTGTGAATTCAGAATTCAAGACTGTCGACACTCACCCTGAAAAGGGTTGCCTCAAATGGCTCCATGGCACCATGTCGGAGCCACCATGGAAATCACACTAGACAAGAATGGATCATTATATGATCCGGCAGGAACTGAATCCTGAAACATGCAGATTAAGTACGAAACACTGAAATTAACAATGCATCCTACGAATAATAGAAGTACTTCAGAATGGTCATAGGGTTCAGAATCGACGTCAAAAAGAATGAATAAACCAGTAATAATACCATCGGCGAAGAATAACGTCGGCGAAACTTAGATGAATACCATCGGCGACGATGTTGTCGGCGATCATGTAAACAAGATAATACATAGGTGCTTTCTACGTCCTTGCTCTGAGGAAGGTTCTGATGCAACTGAATCAATAGTAAATGACCAAAAGTAATTCCAGATTGCGACAACAGTGCAGCAAATTGTATAAGATTGTGGTTGGGGTTCTTAGCTTGGCCCCTTGCTATGTCCGAAAAAAGCAGGTACGTGACAAAGGCGTCCCTTCGTCATATCACAGCAAATGATGAAGCGTCTTCGTTGAGTGGTGACTTCATCATTGCTCACCACTCCTCTGCAAATTAGTGAAAAACCAATCAGAAGTTTTACATCTGTTCAGATGGTACACACACACACACAATACATTCTGCAAATGAAGAATCAAATTGCCCACCATGCGAGAATAATCGAGAATAGTGCTGCACCTCAGCACACAGTTGTCGCAGTCCCGGCAATGAGAAGCTCTTGGAGGCCGGATGATGTTGCAGGTCTCGCAGAACCTGCATGGGTGCGCTGGCATCGGACCATTTGGAACCCTCTCGAGTCGTAGAGATCTGTAGAGATCTGTAGAGATCTGTAGAGATCTGTAGAGATCTGTAGAGCGCAGATATCACGTTGATTTTAGCCAGTCGTTTGATGTTCGATCGTCAAGTGTCTTGTGTCTATCGAGGCGCTGCGCACCTTTGGTTCGCAGGGACCTGATTGCTGTGGAGCTTTTTGCGGTGCAAAATTGGGTGCAAACCATACCGGACAACCTAAGACTTTGTCATGTTCCTGAATCTGGAAGGTGCAGTTCATATATTATGATATTGTGTGAACACTGCCTCTGTTGGGAGTTCAGTTCGAATTCTTGTTGCTGTCAAGAGCTTCCACCATCTTCAGAGCTCCAGAAGTGGCTTGCCCAGCTTCCCAGCTGCAGGCTTCAAGCCAGCGGAATGGCCAAGGGCTTCAGGCAGTCCAACACCGAACAGATCTGAACAGCCTTCTCGTGGTGAACATCTAATCTAATGACTACACATCACCAAGATCAAGAAAACAACCATACCAAATGAATCCAAATGATCATAAATGATCAAAATATATATCAAAATATGATCAAATTGAGCAAACCTCTGTGAACAGTCCAGTGTTGCGAAGCCGCTTCCAACATCCAAAATCTTTGGCCCTTCCTCTTCCACGACAAGGGGCGCCTTGAGCGCACCAAAATATGACGATACTACGCTGGGCGGCCATCAGATCAGTGCCATATGTTGCCTGTTGCAGTGGTATTCCCTGGTCCCTGGAAACTTCTCGGTGTTTCATGTTGTTTCCCTGAGGGAAACTAAGGTTTTTAGCTGCCAGCATAAAACACGCGTACTTGAGCGAAAGCTCCAAAATGTCAACCTGCCCTGCATCAAAACCGCGAGGATCCCGCGGAAATGCCAAAACGTCAAACCATTTTTTGTTTCAACAAGAAACATGCCCACTGATAGCTTTGCCATTAGAAAGAGTGATTGGAATGGTCATCAAGCATATTCAAAATGGATATCTGGATCGTATTTAGTTCATTGTGTCATTGTGCCGTTTCTTTGGGTGAAACTTGCAACAAGCTTCTTTCTGAGCAGTTGCTGCTCTCGGCATCTTGCTTTAAATTTAAAACTCTTGACACGGCGTCGGCGGCGTCGCGGCGTCGCGGAAGGATGAAAAATTAGATTCGCTGCTCATGCAGGTCAGCCCCCTCAGACCCTCCATCTAAATGGACAGCAAAGGGCGATCCTGGCAGGTTCATAACATTTCACATCGAAAGATTGTTGAAAGATTGTTGAAAGACGTATACGAAATGTTGAAGAAAGAGTCTGGAAGAGTCTGAGCCAAGCCTGGCCAAGCCTCAACCCTCCGCCCAGGCCTGGAGGTCCAACACTTTCTTTGCTATGGCTGTGCCCAGCCAAAGAGGAGGAGACCTGTTCGGAACAAACGTTTGCGCTGTACACAGTGCCCATCCAAATAAAGCATTCAATGGTCATTGCAACGAGTGCGTGTAGGAATAATAGGAATAAATACTCATCTTTACTGGAAGCCCAAGTGAACTATCATAATCAGAGGGGGCAGAGAGCATTGGGTCATTTTTGCAGTTTTGAGCCCCTGGCGGCATCATCAGAATCTAGCTTATGCCCCTTCGTCGGTTTGGCCTCACCCAAACGGGTGCGAAGTGCTTTCATCCAAATCTATTAGAAATAGAGACAACATGAAGAAAACTGAAAGAATGAATACCTCGCAAGTTCTAGGGGTGAGGCTGGGGATGGCATGAGCTCCTGCAAAGTCAGCAGTTCATCTTCTGTCCTTTCTGTCATGACATATGTGGCGTCTGGATTAAGCCATTTGCGGCCGAGCCTTGTCCAAATCGTCCTCAATGCAGGCCTCAAGGCGAACACACCAATGAACCAGCACGTAGATTTTATTGGCACCGAGGAACGGCAAAAAAACAAAGAGACGTACTTTCAGATCGGTGTTCACTGCATGAGTGCTCATTTCAAACCATGTTCATGGCACAAAGAGTGATGTATTGTTTCCTTTTAGGGTTACATGAGCTGCAAAGATGTATGGAGAACCCGTAGAACTAACCTGTGGAACCTGGGAATTAACTCTTTTTTGGCAAAGTGACTGCCAGCAACTCGCTCATCTTCAGCTCCTGAAGCAAAATTAATTTCTAAGCCCACAGCAAAAGTCGTAGGATGTCTGTCTGTCTGTCTGCCTGCCTGCCTGCCTGCCTCCCTGCCTGCCTGGCTGTCTGTCTGTCTGTCTGTCTGCATGTTGGAACTAAGATAGCTGGTTTATCACAGCTATCACAAACATATCTCTGATGCGCATATACATTTAGAGACATATTATCTTAATATATCTTTTGATATCTTATCCATTTTTTCCCCCACATTCCCCTTCTTTTGAGCAATCTCGGCTCCTCCAATTGCTGCTGCTCCAGGCTGGACTTCAGAACTGTTGTGGCCGGGCTGTAGCTCTTCGGATGCGTCACCTGGCGGACGCCATCTAATGCATCTGCATGAAGGGTGTGATGTTATACGCGAATATCATATGCTATATTTAAGATGTGTTACATATGGGATGTTCTGTGTATATAAAAAAATAGAGAGGGAGAGAGGCATGAACACAACATATATGAATTGATTGGCACCTCCGTAATTAAATGTGTGCGTATGCGTCTACATTCTACATGTTATATTCTTCACATGCCAATGAAAAATAGGTTCCTTGAAGACCCTTGCTCCTTCTGAGGTGGCCTCTCTGGACAAATTCTCTATTTATATACATATCTTACATATATATATATATGTATATCCATCTATCTATCGATCTATCTATCTATCTATCTATCTGTTTGTATATCTATCTATCTATCTATCTATCGATCTATCTATTTATCTATCTATCTGTTTGTATATCTATCTATCTATCTATCTATCTATCTATCTATCTATCTATCTATCTATCTATCTATCTGTTTGTATATCTATCTATCTATCTATCTATCTGTTTGTATATCTATCTATCTGTTTGTATATCTATCTATCTATCTATCTATCTATCTATCTATCTATCTATCTATCTATCTATCTATCTATCTATCTATCTATCTATCTATCTATCTAATCTATCATCTATCATCTATCATCTATCATCTATCATCTATCATCTATCATCTATCAGAATCTATCATCTATCATCTATCGTCTATCGTCTATCATCTATCATCTATCAGAATCTTTCATCTATCATCTATCATCTATCATAATCTATCATCTATCATCTATCATCTATCATCTATCATCTATCATCTATCCTCTCCTATCCTATCCTATCCTATCTTAATCTATCCATCTATCTCTATCTAGTGACTTTTTTGCAAGAACATACCACAAAACTGCACACAGCATTTCAGCGCCTCTTTGGGAAGGTCCCAAGCGCATCCGTGAGCATCACTAAAGTCCTCGACAAGGTGAATACCAAGGTCACTGCAATGGCAGTAGATCACAAAAGCAGTTGCCCCAGCCGACGGTCCGACAGTCCGACGGTCCGACCGGACCCATCCGTGATATTCAGAGCTGCTCTTTGGCAGTGAAATCTCCAGCTGTGCTGAAAGTTCATCTAAGGTCCTAAAATCGAAGTCCACCTCTGCAAACATCATTTATGATAAAAATACCCTACAAACATCGTGACGCTTAGATGATATTTCTATACATATTTAAACACATTTGAGCGGTGGCGAAAACCCCTATGTCATTCTCTTATAATCTTACTTGTCTTCCGCGCTGCTTCCACCACCACAGTTTCAGCTTCCGCGGATGGTTGGTAAGTTGATTCTGCTTCCGCGGAGCTTCCGCGAAAGCCAGCTCCTCATGAAATCTACAAATTGATTTAGCAATTGATGGAAATTGATTGACTTTGATTGTATAGAATAGTGGGTGATGTTTGGTTTGTTTGTGCATCCGGGCACGTATATATGTAAATATAATTTGTGCATCCGGGCGCGTATATATATATATATATATAAATCTAATACGGTACTCAAATCGTCTTCCGCGGCCCTTCCGCGATCGGACGATCAGCGTCTGCTTCCGCAAGCCCTTCCGCGCGCTTCCACGGACGTGGGTTTCACTTCCGCGGGCCCAACTTAGTTTAATCCCCAATTAACTTTCTTGCTTGGAGGTTTTTGACGCTGCTCATTTGGAATTTTGACCGCGTTCCTTCACGCACACCTTGTTCCCCTTGCACATGCACACTCCAGTGGCAACTGGAGACAGCTCATGGGACCCCACGCAGGTGACGTCTGAAGACTGTGGATCAAAAATATTTCGGGGAGGAAACACGAGAGCCGGACAACCATCCAACGGGTTGGTAGAACTACAGCGCTTCTCATAGACGCAGCAAAATGGATGTATCTTTCCGTCTTTTTTTGCATGCAATCTCCAGGAAGCACATTCTGATCTGCATAGTCCAATGCCATTTTGAGGCATTTGATGGAATCCACCTGGTTTTGGGACTGTGCAAGCAAGCCCATCATCGCCTGTGCTGCTTCAGCTGGCTTTGAGAAAGCTTGACTCATGACTTGCTGAATGAAAGCCCCGCAAGTCTCCATGGTGCCTTCGTCTCTTCCCAACATGACATTTGCAAAGGATTAGAAGCCCTGTGGAAACAGCTGATTGTCCATTCCAGTTGATGCGGCTTCCTTTGAGCTTTCATTGTGCAGCTGGCGGCTGGCATGTTGCAGAAACGAGTCGCCAACGAGCCCACCCTCCTCATCCGCTGCAACTTTGCCACACAAGGAAGCCTCCCGACACTGGTCCTTTTCCATCGCAGCTGCATCCGAGGGAAGCAACGAAAATAGCGAAAGAAACACCGAAATCCCTCGGCATTTCCACATGGCGAAGGGCTGCCGATGGCTGCCGTTTCAAGGCCCAAAAATGATCCAAGAAAAACAAAAAACTGTCTCCGCTTGGGAATGGAAGACCGCAATTTTGCAAGAATTACTACGGCCATCCACACCAGCAAACTCAAGCAATCTCAAGCATATTCAAAGCATTTCAAAGTGCAAAAAGATCAAAAAGCATTACGCTTAATTACTACGCTTACTACGCTTACTACGCTTACTACGCTTACTACGCTTACTACGCTTGCTGTTGCTGTTTCTCAATGGAGTCTTCGACAGCGACTCGTATCCCAGCCTGCAAGTCTTGAACCATCTGGTGGGCATATGCCCTCGCAATCTGAAAGATGTCCTGAGGATGCAAAGCTGCGCTGCACAAGCTGAAAGATCGCTGGAAAGATCTCATAAGATCTCAAAGGTTGGAGAAATGCCACGGGAAATGCTACACTTTGCTGCGCTTGGCCCCTTGAGTGTGATCAGCTTCGTCCATTTCGTCCTTGTACTCCCCCGTAATTTGTCGAAACTTCTCGCTATCCAGGGCCTAGAGGCTGCAACATGCACCCAATGTCAGGCAGACTGGAACCATGTCCAAACCGTGACATACTCTGACCCCAGTTACCCATAGTTACCCGCCCGAATCCATCTGGTGTGCATCTGCTCTGGGGTTACCATTGCCCCATTGCCCCAGAGCCAGAAACCCCAAGTTGATGCTTTTGACGTCAGCAGATTGATGCAGTTTTACAAACTCCAAGAGTCAGACCAAAAGCACACTGTCTGTCAGCGCCCCCATCGTTCCTGCACAGGTAGAGCAGTGTGCACAGCACTGGTGAGCTCATGTGAGCTCCAATATTTATTCAACATGCTCAATCCGTTCAGAGGTTTTGCAAACCTGGGAGCCCTAAATGACCAAATTTCGGCGCTAGGTCCGCTAGGTGGCCGAAGCAGTTCATCAAGTCATCTCTGGGCCACCCTGCCTCTGTGATACCACGGAAGCCACAGTGGATGCTCACAAAAATAGCTATCCTTCAGATCAAAAGCACTGCCAGATCATGAGAACATGACAGCATTGTTGATAGATATGTTACATGTCTCTATTTGTCTGCGCTATTCGTCTGCGCTATTCGTCCTTGGACAGGGTCAACACTCGAGAAAAGAGTGGGATGCTGGCAATTCTGCGAGATCTTCTCTGGTTCGCCTGAAGCTCCACTGAAGCTCCACAAAATCTGCCCAAAATGACACGCGAAGCGGCGAAGCGGCTGCCTCCCACGGAGGTGTGTCCTTCGGCCTCTGGTAGTAGAGGCTGCCTTAAAGCGAGTAGGTGGCCGTAGATTCGCCGTAGATGTGTCTCACCAGGTTGGGAGAGTGTCAACAACTCTTTTTGCCCACCGTGGTTGAAAAGTACAAGGAAGCACCCTCTGGGGAACAATCTGGAAGTGCAAAAATCCCCACTTTTGGCTACGGCAGCTTTCGTTCCGAAAATTACGGGTCCTGCGTTTCCTTGGAGGGTAATTCTGCAATGTTGTCCCATCTGTCCTCTAAGGCCTTCCATGGCCTTCCCTTCTTTCAGTGCGTTGATAAAGAAATACGAGAGAAACACATCTCCAACGAATTAGGGTAGGGACTGCGACCACGTACAGCGTGGTCGTAACTGCCGATGACCTTCCCCAGTTGTGGTCCATCACCATCCAGCACCCCATAGCACCCGAATGAAATCTCCAAGTGACCACTGGTCAGGAAAAACATCCTTGGATTGGGAGGCGCATGGCACAATGCTGGTGCGAAAGCGCTTCTTGACATAAGCCAATATAAGCCAACTAGAACGGATTCTGGCTATTCAAATCGAAATCAAGCAAGCGCTCAGCGTGTTATGTTTTATATGTGTTCCGAGATTTTCAACGAATACACACATACAAATGTGTTCTGAACCACCCACAAAATCGGTCTCTGCCAGTCTGTGCCATCCTTTTTTGCAGCCAAGGCGCGCTTTACACTCGCCATTTGCTTGGAAAAGCACATCGGATCTGGACAAGTTCATCTTGTCCACCGCCTGGCCATGTCATCAAATGTCTACACAAAACCCCGCCATGGGGCAGTCTCGCCAAGCCATGCCTTGAAGCAAATCTGGTTAATGGCCTGTGAGCTTGTGAGGATCTAAATCGGAGAGCTTGAAATCTGATCAAGAAGACTCTACCATGTGGAGTCTAGGACTCGGCTTTCCGATCAGCAATCTTACATTATCATGCCTTATTACTGCCTTATCATAATCCATTTGTGAATTGATTGCCGTTTCTTGTCCATTTCTTGTCCATTTCTTATCTTAGCATCCGGCAACGCGCATGGCCACAGTCGACCGCAGCACTGAGCTCGCTGCTGCATCATTCGTGGCATATCTCTCGAAGAATCTGTGGACGATCAAGTGCGGCAAATAGAGCTCCTGAAATCTGCCAGAGGCACCAGCATGGACCATGAAAGGGGCACCATGGGGCACCAGTTTATGATCCCTTACAGTGCCCATACAGGTCACAAAATGTCACAAAATGTCACAAAATGTCACAAACATCCAACCCTGACCGACACTCATTGACTCATTGACTCATTGACTCATTGACTCATTGACCATACCTACCCCATTCCCCAAATGGGATGAGAATGGATGAGAAAATGAAGACGTGCCAGAAGTTTCCATATCGAAACATATCCAAACAATCCAAATACGTGGGCCCCATGGGCCTTCTGAAGTTCAACTCGGAGTGGGCCACTGAGCATGTTCAGTGATTGTACTCGGCTTTTGTCGATTTTCTTCTTGTTCACCTGACCATGACAGCGCCAGTAGAGCCAGCGCAGTGGAACTGGACACGTCTCACCATGACGTGTCGCACATCTACATAAAACATCATAAAAGACTTGGGATGACCAAATATGCCCTTGGTGGGTACGTACCACGTAGTGTACATTGTACATGTACCGTACCCAATATGCCGATATACCTGAGATATACCGATGAGCACTGGATGGCACTGGATGGCACTGCTGCTTGCCTCCACTGCCATATCGATGTATCGAACAACTCTGGACCTCACCGGCTCCAAGGGTTGGCGATCCACATCGTCGATGCAGGCACCATACAATACTACTGTTGCTAGCAATGCTAAGTGGATCACTGCAAGTCTGCCGAGATGTGATTTTCTTTCAAAAACCTGGCAGACTTGGCAGGACAAGGAGCCTGGAAACAACCTGACACCAGCACAATATGGCAACATGTTGCAGGCTTGGACGGGGTGTTGTAGGTCACCACGGCAAACCATGCAGACCTCCGCAAGAGAAAGGCTTCTGAGAGTTCGTTCCCCTGCAAACTTCGCAATCTCGTCATCGAAGCTGTAATTGCACCTGGATATTCGACAAATTTGACAAGGAGCACTGAGAAGTGACTGGCTGCACCTCATCCTCAGTCCTGTCCTGTCACGTCCTGGTATGTCCTGTTGTGTCTTGTCAAAGGGTGCTTCATGGTGCGTCCATCGAAATGTGCCACAACCCCAAAGGCCCAAAGGTAAACAAAATGTTCGAGAAGTTCACCGACAGCAGGTTGCATGTTGGTCTGAGACTGCCGAGCCAGCTACTCACGAAGGAGGAGAATCCGACCATGGCAATTAAAATCAACAAGACCTAGGCACACAGCCAACTGTCTTCATTCATTTGGCTAACCTTATTTTTACAAAAGAACATAAGAATGATTGCATGATGTTGACTGCCTCGCTGGAATGATTGCCTCACTTCCATAGGTCCCAGCATTGAAGGCCCTCTCAAAGACATTGCGGGGGTGAATCTCTATGCCTGACACCAGGAAATGCAAAGGGCTTGCAGTTGTACTGGCACAAATCAAGATCAGTGTTGTACGTGTGTTAATTACTTTTAAAAGTGCTGTCGCGGGCTTTGCTTTTTTTAAATCCACATGCTGGCTTCGCCTGCTGGAGTGAATTGGGTAAGCGACCAGTGCAGACTGAGCCTTACAAAAGACTGGAGGCCAGATTGCTACAGACCCTACGCCCTATCATCATCTATCATCCCTATCTGCAAAGAGTGGACACAACCTGTGCGTTTTGGAAATGACAGCAGAAAACCCACAGCAGCTGCCGTCGTCTCCGAGTGGCATGTATTTCTCCAGCACATCGGTATCCAGGATCTGGCGGGGCCGTTTTTCGGAGACAGTGGGATGCATGATGCATCATGATGCATATGATGTATATATGTGTATATATGTGTGTGTGTATCATATGTATATAATTATATATATATATATACATGTTAGGGTTAGGAATCCGTCTTGGGGATTCTGCGCCGGTTGCATCACTATGCATCACTATGCACTTAAACGCTGTCAGTGATTTGAAAAGTTGGACCAAACAAGCTTCCTATTGCAAAGTGGGCCTTGTAGTAGAAAACCCAGTGGTCATCTCCTCCACATCAGCAAGGGAACATGGAACCATGAAACCAAACTTCGCCCACCATTGAACCCACATCCACGAATCCACTACCCGCTCCTTCATCCATAATGCCAATCAAAAACCAAAGGCAGGCGAAGACATGATTCACGAAAAGAAGGACCAGCCTGAAATTCAGTGTGCCCAGACCCAATGTGGCACTATGGGCTCTTTCATGGCGCACCACGCGCCTTTTGTATGGCATCACAACATATCACAACCATGTCAAGCCACAGGTTTTTGACGGTGCCCACCAGGATGAAAACCACTTCAGAATCGATTCCTGCAGCGACCGCAGTAACATGGCGAATTTGACGATGCCACGGTCCGCCAGAGAAGACATGCAATGGACATGGGACACGGAAGCCGAGGCAATGGCGTTCTTGGATTGCGAAAAAGATGTGCCTTAAAGGCTCGAAGGGTGAAGGGAGTCATGGCATCATACGGCACGATACATGATATAATATTATATTATGTGTATATGTATATATATATATATATGTATGTAATATATATATATATATATTTATTTATTCATTTATTTGTCTATAAATATCTATAAAATTATATACGTGTGTGTATGTGTGTGTGTGTATTTGTATACGGCATCTCAATGCAGGAAACATCACAAGACCCAAGGCTCCACAACAGGCTCAAGTGATCCCAATTTCTAAGGAATTGCCAAGAATCCAAGAATTTGAATCAGGTTGAGACTTTATGAGACTTTATGAGACTTTATGAGACTTGAGATATTTTGAGGATTCCAGATGGATGTCCCAAAAGGGAGCTCAGGGAGCTCATGTTTGTGACATCCCTTGAGGCTTCAGCCGCAGCTTCATCAGCCGCAACAAACGCAGGGTGCGGAGGATGCGGGCAACTCGGATGACCTGTCGTCGGGATTCACCCACAATGTATGTGACATGTATGTGACATGTAATTATGTGACATACATGTGTGTGTGTGCCATCATGAAAAATCCATCATGAAAAGAAATAAAGGCAATCCAGGCAAGTTGATGCTTTGATTTGGATAAATAAGGTCCCCTGTCAAGGGAATCAAGGCAATCCAGCCTTGCCAAGCCGTGCTAGGCCGGACGGATCTTCGCTCTCCACTTCTCCCCCAGCAGCCTCTCCTCCTAGAGTGAAAACGGTTCTTCAGATTAACTTCTAGTAGTGATCCCTCAAGATGCCTCAAGTGTCCTCGTATACCAGGGGCTCGCTTTTTGCTTTCATGGTCTTTTTCAGTTTTGGGGGGGCGCAATGGGACATGGGGTTAAAATTCTAAACATGCTGGGAGAAGGAAAACATTGCAACTTCCCCCTCGACAAACTGCAAACCATTGCTGTCCGCAATAAAGCCTGACTGAGATATCGAGGTAGCTTTGAAATCTTTGAAGGGGTCATTTGATGTTTTAGATGTGTGATGATGACACATCCACGCCTATAGTCGTAGCCATCAAGGTCCAATCGACGGTTACAATCATCACGTCCAGCAGAAACCACCGCTTCCTTGGCAGCCCATGGCTATGAGAACAACTGGTGACCAACTCCTATCACATTGTCTGACTGTCATGTCGGTTGGCTCCTTTGACGTCTGGCATCGTCTGGCTATGCTTGTTTTCCGTAAGGTACTGTACTATGCCACTGTGCTGTATGTTTCATCCGAGCATCACATAGTGCCAAGCAATCTGGCGGTGGGAGCGCACCATTTCACCCTTCGGGGAGTAGTAAGCTGTGAAAAACGTTCCCACAATGTCCAAGGTCCAGTAGAGGGCCACTGTAAAGTCGATAACATCGGTAAAGAGAGTTGCTGGAGGTGAGAAAACTTGCCTTAGGCAGTGCCAGGAAATGCCAAGAATGTAGAACAATTTAATGACGGGAACTGTCTCACATCGCCTACAAATGCCCATAATTGACCTTGTGTCACTTTCTCGACTCACGCTGCACAATCTGAACCGCACGATGACATGCACAATCTGCCCATCAAGCTGCACTGGAATCCAGATCCTGAGGGTCACATGAGTCACAAATATCAGAAATATCATGATTCATAAAATATCATTGATGAGGTCAAAGTCGCATAAAGTCGCCACTTTAGTCGCCACTTTAGTCGCCACTTTGACACAAAAAAGAAAAACACCGATCTTCAGGATCTTTTTGCAGTTCAGTAGCATGTCATACATCAAAAATACGACCCCCAGAATATCCTCGGAGCTTGTACCGGTGAATCTGGTGAGTACAAGCAGGCACTGGTGGGTTTCAATGGTGAATGCTGGAAGGACATTGTGAAACGCAAAAATTGGTCAAAGATGATCAAAGCATCAAATGTCCAATCTGCAGTCTGGTTACCCAAAACATTCGTTGCGGAGAGATGGGGCTGATCACCAAATCTGACAGCTTGCAAGAGCCTAGGCGATATCGGTCGAAATTGATGTTCGTGTGCATTTTTACGTGCATAAATGTGCATAATCTATTTGTGGATGCATTACGCCGGCACAAGTGTCAGCGTGTCTGAAATGTTGATCCAAAACAAAGTGAAACTATGTGCAAAGATGCAGTCAAAAGAGACACACCGTTTGTGCGAAAATCCGCTATATCAAAGGTTATCAAAGTAAGGCAGCGGCAATTAAACGATCCTCTCTTCTTGCCCAAAACGCTTGAGGAATATGATTCGTAATCCTCGCTTGAAGAGCTGAATGCTGAAGCTGCAGAACCCATCATGGCATGTAGCTGGCCACAACCCGCAACGTAGTTCCATTACTCTTGTTGGTTAGGAATGGGATTCCCGGCTCATAGATCATGAGAACGTCCAGTATATTGGATAATAGTGTAGTATAGTAATCTATAAATATGCATAAATATGTCCCCCTAAACTCATCAACTTATTTGGGGGGTTGAAGACTCTTGAACACTGCTCACATTGCAATCCAGGCACTGGCTTCAGTTTTAAGGTCCGGTCAGTGAGACCATACTGCCTTGTGATTGGAACAATTTCAATCTGGAAACTGCCGCATATCCTGGTTGATTTGCTTGTTGATCATTTTCAATTCATCAACTCACTTGCACAAACATATGTGTGTTTTAGTGTTTCTTTCTACATTAATGCATGTTCATCTATTTATAATATGTATCTATGTGTTCATGTATTTGTTCAAAGTTCATATTCATATTTAGTTAACTATGTACTGAGGAGTCTCTCTATCTGATCTTTTATACATGCATGTCAGAACCTCTACATATTGATATTATGATCCTCGGGAACTAGTTGTATATAGCGCACTGATCCCTTTGATCCCTTTCTTTTTAACTTTCGCTGTAAGATTGAACGATTGAACGTACCTGTGCTTGCGCATCTGGATGCATCTGGATGCATCTGGGGCGCTTGTTGGAGATGAGTTCGTTATTCTTGGCAAATGTGTCTGGGCCAAGGGTCCACTCGGGCCAAAGCTCAAACTCCTCCTCTTCCTGCGTCCGCAGTCCGCTGAACTGCGAGTCGGAACAACATGTCGAACCATTAAAGGGTGAAAGGCCTGGATCAAACAACATGGCGCCATAACATGGTATATACATAATATATATAATATATATAAATATAATATATATAATATATAGTAGATATAATATATACATATATACTTATTCTATACATAAAATATATATATATAATATAATATAATATAATATAATATGCTCAGCGGCCTCTCCAGTGCCTACCAAATCTAAGCTTTAAGATACGTGTATCATCGGTGAGTCTCAAAAGATATATTATATATTTAATGTATTTAATGTATCAATGATATTTCCGAATACTACATATTCATTACACTATATACATATATAACACTTCTAAACCACTTTGTCATCATTCCCTATCATTGCAAGTCAAAAAGGACCGGGGCCATCATTTTTGAATCCATGCCCTTTAGAAAAACACGTCTTCATGAAGAGAACCACCTGACCTGAACCCAGTGGAACTTCATAATTTTTGCTTTTCACTTCTCAATGTGTCCCACTTGAAATCTATTTGATATTCCTTCCAAGCAGTCCTGTACAGAAGCGCAATGGCCTTCGAAAGATGCAGTTTTCATTTAGAAAATGAAACGCTTCCTGAAAAAGGCAGCCTCCTTTTCAAACAAACATGTTGTCATTTAAAGTATGCAGTATTTAACTGTATTTGAAGGGAAGAAATACATACTATCTTTAGAAAGCAACATGTCCCTTTAAAGGAAGCAGTACTCTTAAAAAATGTGCAGTATTGCCGTCCCTGGAAGGGTCAAGGGTTTTTTTCAAAATGATACAGTATTCCTTTTAAAGAAAATGAAGAGCCCCTTCAAATTCGTAGCATTGCTCTACAATCGTAGAAGCAATTCTCATTGACAATATCCGGTGTTCTCAACGGACACGTTTATGTAAAGGCATTCCTTGAAGAATTGAGGATTCTTTGTAAATATGTAGCATTCCTTCATAGAAAGTCAGCGTTCTTCAAAAGAGGCGGTTTTCGCTCAAACGATGCTTTGTTGTTTGACACAAATGTTTTCTTTTAAGGAACTCTACATTCCAAGTGTGCACTATTGTTTTCAAAAGATTGGAGTGTATACTAACTTTAGAAAACTTAAAAATCATGTAAGAAAGTGTTTTTGCAAATTACGCAGTACCTTCATGTACCTCCTTTAAAAAGCGAAGGGTTTCTTTCAATAAAATGAATTTAAGGACAGGACCTTCTTGCATCTTCTTGCCTTTCAAATATGCCGTCTTTCTTGACAAAATGCATTTTTTCCTTAAAGAAACCGTTTTCAATTGAACGATTTAAATCCTCCACAGAGAGACAAGGAATACCCGAGGAAAAAAGAAACTTTTGAAACAGAAACGATGGTTTCACCTGAAAAACGATGGATTTTGGTTTTACCTCGGTTTTGTTAATTTTGTTTGGTTTCCTTGAGAGCGTGTTTGTTTTTTTGGTGGTTTTGGAAGCCACAAAACCCCCCAAGAAAAAACTCATGGAGAAATGTGTTGTTCTTCAAAAAGCGTCATTTTTCCTCAGTTGTTTTGTTTTTTTAGCTTTCGTCGAGGGAGTGTTTGGTTGCTTTGGTTTTAGAAGCCAACATGAACAAAAAAAGAACTTTTTGAGTTCAAGGTCTTCAAAAAGAAAACTGAGGTAAGATGATAAATGTTTAAAAAAAACAATATTTTTCTATGAGTTTGTTTGGTTTGTTTGGCTTCCAACCCCCCCCAAAAAAAAGAAACAAACACCCTCTCGAGGAAACGGGAAAAAAAAAAAACAACCAAACTGCGGTAAAACCAAACATATCCAAAAATCCCTTGTTCAGTTGAAGCCATCTTTTCTGTTTCAAAACATGTTTATGGTTTTACCAGGGTTACATTCAGGATAGACTTGTTCCTTTGTTCAGTATCGAAATCACATTTGATTCTTCAGAGATGTGTTTTTGTTTGGACTGCTTTTGGAGGCCAATTTTTGGTTTTCTAACAGTGTGCCTGATCATTGAATTCATGACATGTGTTTAGCAGTTTACTGCGTATTTTCCTGTATTCTTTGATTAGATGCTTTTCATTCACAATATTCGTAAACATCAAAGGTAGGCCCTGGAGGGCCGCTGACCACATATATACATAAATGTGTGCATGTATACTGTATATATATATATATACACATGATATATGTATACGTGGTGTGTGTGTGTGCGTGTGCGTGTGTAATGATTGGGATGATCTTGGGTCCAGTACCTGCACATCAGCGTCGTCCTTTGCTCCAGGATCAGGCTCCTACGGAGGCAAAATCAAAACATCAAGAAGGGGACAGGGAGCAGTCAAAATTTGAGATATTAAGTATCAACATACTATCAACCAACCGGAGATTCCAGTTCAACCAACATCAAACAACATGCATACACGGCTGCTGCGAGATTTTCACGTGATGCAAATGTCGTCAAACGTCGCGCGGTGCCTCTTCTTTCATCTCATCCTCCGGCGTCTCATGCTTTTGGAGCGCCCTCCGCAAGACTGCCGCCTGCATCCAAGGCAAACGTCCAAGTCAGGAAGTCGGGAAGTCATGCACTGTCATATCCAAGGGAAACAACTCATGACTCATGATACTTCATGCAAGTTTCCGCTTGAGTGCCAAAATCAAATCACTTTGTTTAGTTGATCGTCTGCAAAATTGCCATTGCGATTTCCATTGGTTTGCCATAGATTTCCCTCCCACTCCGTGACACGCTCCTCTGCAATGAGGTTTTGAACCTGGCCAGGGCCAGTAATTCTTGGGCGCTTCCCACTTCGCTTCCGTAGCGGTTCGTGTAACGGCCTGGGTATCATGGAGGTCCTGTAGTTTCGACAAGGTCGCGGAAAACTCAGACGTCACCTGGCGATGCAATCGACAACAGGAACATTCGAAAAACAAAGCCGCCACGAATTCTGAGTACTGGAAATTACTGGAAGCCACAACTTCCACAAACGGAAAGCTGAAAACTAACTGCATCCAACTGAAACGGTGAAACATCTACGGGTCAACTTTGACATCCAGGAATCAGACACTATTGTTCAGCACGCTGTTGGTCAACGCACGTGCCCCTGCCGCTGACACATGGTGACATGGTGACACTCATGGGGATCTTGGGGAATGATGGGGATCACAACAGGTAGCACTATGAAGCGCGGCGTCTGAGGCCACTGCTGGAGCGGTTGTTGCCCAGCAGAGCAGTAGCCCTGGGCGTTCTTTGTTACTTGGCCAAGACGGAGAACTATGAAGCGCATACAAGACGCAATTGAAGACGAGTAGTATATAATTACACAAGAACCTGACATGTGACATATCTAACATAATACACAAAAAGTACATGTAAAACATAGTAAAAAATGTAAGAAATGCATCTTGACATGTCTGGAATCCATGTCGCCCAGAGTGGCCTTTTTAGCATCGTGGCCAAGTTCGCCCTTTGGGTTTGTCTAGCATGAAAGAAAGTCTCGGCCACAAGCTCGTGATTCAGCTACTTCACTATTGTTCACTCAGTTCACTCGTGCTAAAGAACGAGTCAAGCAAGTCGAATGAGAAATGATGAGAAATGAGGGTTGGAGTTTCACTCTACAACCTCCAAGTTTTTGAAATCGGTGTGCATGGTCAACAAGGCCCCAAGGGTCTGACCAGCCCCACCAGTTGTATCAGTTTCCTGGAAACTTTCGGGCAAGTCGAAGGCAATCAAGGCATTGCCAGAGGTTGGTGAATTGCCAATGCAGTGCAAAAACACCACTGTGCCCTGCAAACCAACTGGAAGATTTTGTGCGAAAATGCCCAGCGCGTCCGTTCCAGAGGTTTCGGTTTTGAAGGCTTCGAAGGGTTTCACGACTTTCACCTTCGTTCCAATCTTCAAGACCTTTCCGTTCTTGGAGGGATAAAGCCACTGAGTGACACTTCCCATGTTTTTTCCTCCAATCCATGCCACCATCCTCTCTCCAGTCTTGTAGTAACTCTTGCTTTCCTCCATCTTCCCTTTGTCTCCACTAGTCTGAATGATCATGCCTTGAACAAAGTGAGGCTGTGGATATCCATAGCTGCGGTCCATGCCGGCAGAAGGATCAATGACCCTGTCCTTCGCAATCTCAGAAGTTACCTGGGGATGGGTCAAAACCCTGGTACCTAGTGAACCCCAAAATAGCTGGTAAATGGATGTTCATGCCACTAAAAATGGTATTAATAGGTATTGACCCATACCCACCTGGGTGGGGCCACTTTCAGGACTGCCATCGAAGGGGGTCTCGTGCACCTTGATGTAAGATTCCAACGAGACCACGCCGCCCATGACCTGAATCACCGCAGGAAGTCCAACGACAGGCCGACAGGCAACCAGTTACTCAGTTAGGCTACAAAAAGTCTATCAAGAAACATCCAACTGCATGCCAAGGGAAAGAACACCCAGAATTTAAAATACATCAATATACATCAAAACACCCGATGCTCAGCGCACTTAGAAAATCTCAGAAACGACTAGTGATGACTCCGACTGCATCCGAGGGACCCAATGCTCGGGCATTTTCTCAGAAAACATCTTGGCAACGCCGTTGATGCCAGCGAAGCAGGAATCGAGGAAGACCGTGGCATGCGGGGTCAGCTTGGCGTGGATGGTATCCACCAATGCCATGGAGTCGATACTGTTCTTGCCAGAAAGGTAGATCATGCGACTCATCACCAGCACACCATCTTGCATGGTGGAATCAGAGCCATGCCCTCCCACCACTGCGTGGGTGATGGTATCGGCGCCATGGAAATGATTGAGAGCTTGCATGCCCCACGCAGGGCTTTTGACTCGATAGACAGCCACACAAGCGGCCTTGTCCTTCATGTCCAAGAACTGGACAGCCAAGCGATTGCACTCGCCATTGGCCAGAAGGAAGGCACTGCTGGGATCCCCGGTGTGGTCAGGGTAAAGCCACACCACGGCTTTGTTCTCGAAGCCGCACTTCCCCACATGAACAAAGTTCGTCGATGGATCCTGCAAGGCTTCAGCTGCCTCCTTAGCCGTCTTCACATCTTTCATCGTCAACTTCTGTGTCTCAAAGTCGAACTCACCAAATGCCACACCACCGAGGTCGTGGTCCATGACTTCCTGGAAGTTCTTGGTGCATTGAGTAATGGGATCCCACCATGTGGAGCGGGCTCCCGCTTCAGTGTCCGTTCCTGCGAGCTCCACTGTCTTCAAGCCGCTCACGTTCTGCACCGATCCGTTGGCTCCGGAACTTGGCTTCAAGGCGGAGTAGGCAACGGCCAGCAGTGCCAGCGGTGCCACGGCCAGGCCCACCTTCCTCCACACCTTGTGGCTGAGTGAGGTCGGTGAGGTCGTTGAGGTGGACACGGTCGTGGCCACGGTCGTGGCCTCGGTCGTGGCCTCGATGTGTCCGGGCTCCACGTCGCAGGCTTCGCGGATGAGGCTCGCTTCTTCCATGGCCATCACGGAGACGAACTGACGAAGGTCAGCGAAGGTCAGCGAAGGTCAGCGAAGTCTCGGAGAGAGTTGAAAGATCCCAGGCGCTGCGGCGGAGTCAAAGAACATGTGTTGAGTATTGTTGAGTTATCATGTGTTCACACGTCGTGACATCTTTCTCACTGTGATTTTGTGTGTGTGTGTGCACGGGCTGGATATTCTCAAATAAATGTTGGTTTTGACATGTTTTGACACTCGTCACGCAGATTTTGGCAAGTGTTTGTTGTGCCTGGTTTTGTATGATTTCTATTGATTTCTCCCATCTTTCTTTCACTGTACCTTCTCCATTGCTAGGTGATGCCTGTTCACTGAGTCTTCGCTAAGACCTCGGCTGTCTCCTGAGGGAAGGAGTGGCAAAGACCATCTCTTGCAGTGGCCTGGTAGCAACATGTAGCAACTGGAGCGATGAAACGGAAATGTCAACAAAGGCAAATCCGAGTCATTTTTGCTCATGGAGGGAACACAATTCAAGGGAAGACACAAGAAAACATGATTCATACGAATCATGTGGATATATGATACAAAGGCATACCCAGGTCCTTTCATACTGCCAATGTGTAATATATAGTGATGTGTGTGTGTGTGTCTGTGCGTGTGCCATTGAAGATCTCATTTCGCGAGCTGGTCTTGAGAAGACTTCAGAAATGTCAATGTAGCAGCTTATGAAAATATATGAAAATATACATGAAAACATATGAAAATATGACATATGAAAATATGTGGAAAAAAAACATATCAGATCATATCAGCACAAGCAAAGAATGCTGATTCTCTGACCGGCCTGACGTCAGCCAAAGAGCTGCAGGGCCATCAGCCAACGTGTTCTGTTGAGATGTGCAAAATCGAATCTCAAATTTTATTATGCGTCAGCCAGTGGGTCAGCCAGTTGAATCTATCAGTTTTAGGGGTCAACTAGGCGCCGATGCCCATGCTGCATTGACTGTTCCAGTGCTAGCGGCATTTGCATCTCATGAGGCGCAACTCACTTTTGTCTGGGCACTTGTTTGAACCGAAATGCAGCGGTGCACTTTGCTTGGGCGACGGCCGGGCCACAAACGGCGTCCGAGATCGGTCCATTCAATGTCAACTGCTGCGGCTGCATGTGGCATCAAAAACGGAAGGGCCGAGGAGTAACCGAGTAACCTGTATCCTTGCTCTTCCTCAGAGCGAGTGATGCAATCCACCTTGGCACACAGGACACATGACTATCGTGATTGTACCTGCCTCTCTCCTGGTAAATTCATTCGAAAATGAAGAAACGGTTCAAGTATGTTCAAGTGTCTTCCTGCCCGATTCTGTCCGCACCAGTTTCTGTAATTGATTTTAGAGTCTCAAGCCTCAAGCTGTTTTCTATCTATAAGTACCGACGCGACATGACGCATCCCGATCTGGGACCGGCAGATTTGATGTGGTCCGGGTCTGAGGCCCTGTCGCCATCAAATGCAAGCGGTCGGCAACCAGTGACTCTGGCCTCATGGAAATCTGATGGAAATATCTGGAACATCCAAAAGCCAAGGCACCTGGAAGGGAACCTGGAAGGGAACATATCTGGGAGTCCCGTCCACGTCATTTTGAATTTCTGGACATTGGCATTGAAGCGCGGCACGAGGGATGATGCCTGGTTGTCCCATGTCCCCATGCGCCATGCGCTTCTCTATCTTCTCTTCCAAAGATGCTTGCGTGTATTGCGATAGGTTTGCAATGGTTTGCATGTGCGTCCGAAAGCGGTGTTCAAATCCGGGGCTCCTAAAACCCTAAAACAAGCCGAGTCAAAGCAATTCTTGCGGCAAACGTCCTTTGTTCTTTGGCGCAGTGGCTTCAGGGGCTTTAGGGATCGTCATAACGGGCTATAAAGCCAATGAAACGCTGTCTGAAGGAGTTTCAGACAAGTTCCCTGCAAGTCTTACGCTATCGCGAGGGATATTGGCTCCAAAATGGTCACCCAGTAGATCCCAGCAGACTGGCAACTGGCAGTCATTGCAGTCCGAAGTCTAAGCAGCTTCGCTGCGCCAGGTTCAAATAAGTCCTAACGACAGCGCAAAATTGGAGTTGCCGATGGCTCATCTTCTGATAGAACCAAACATGTTCAACAAAATCTTTGAAGCATGGGGATAATGAGTGACAAGCACCCGAACTGCGTTACTAGGCCAAGAATTTGAAAATATCTAGTTATATCATATCTAGTTCATGTGAGATGTGGCTTGCATCCAGAATCGGCTGTGGCTGGAAAAAAAAAATCCAGGTCTGCTGTATAACGGTGAGACTTGCCTGTGCAAGCAGCACTAGGCCTGTGAATCAATCTACCTGATTGATCAGATGCATTCGCATCGCTGCACAGGAAGATGGGAGGTGCTCAGTCATTCAGTCGCACCAAAGTCACCCGAGTTGCAACTTCCATTAGTCATTAGCAACAAAAGGAATTTGATGTGTGGTTCATAGAATTCCGCACGGTTCCCTCAAGTTCACAAAAAGCGAGCAAAGAGGGAGAGAGAGAGAGATAGTAGTTTTACTATACGTACGTGAATTTACACAATTCATACTTGGATTAGTTTTTTGCTGTGGAATGCCAGGAGTGGTCACACGGGCAGCATTTCTCATCTCGGGAATCTCGGGGCTTTGGGTTTTCGAAGGGCATGACGGATATGACGGGCACGCATCCCGGACAAAAATTGCATGACTTCGACGTGGCGAGGCCTTGCAGACACTGCACCGCGGCAGCAATCTGCATGTGTCTGTGCTCTTTAGCACAGACACCTCGAACTACCTTCAATATCCTTCAATGCTAATGCTGTTCATTATCTCAGTCTTCTTGGCCTAGGTCTCTAGCACAAATGAAAGAAATTGCCAAATCAAAACAAATGAAACTGGCAAAACAGTTTTTCACGAGGACCGGGGCACTATGTCACTGTTTATCAAATTGTTCGTATTCGTGTAGTTTCCAACATCCATCCCGCTTCACATACACCACAGCACTCCAAAGCAATATAAAGACTCAACCCAGGCACTTTTGCTTGCTTCCGCTCTTAGGAATGCTTTCCTTGGATAACAAATGCCCTTCAAGTCCCTTCAAGCGAAAACAATTCATTTCACAGGCACTGGAGACCTCTAAAAACGCGTCGCGTGGCAGATCTGCGGGCGAAGTATCTTTTGTTTTTTGCGTTTCTTGATCTCCCCTGGAGGGCACAAATGGCCTTGGTGGAGGACGCAGTATCCCGATCCCTAGGACGGTTTCGGATGATTTCGGATGGTCGTTGTCTCTTGGATCATCTTGGCCTTTCGCAAATACTGAGGCAGCTGCAGAATTCACAGGAGTTGTGCCATCTACATCCATCGGCTTTCGCGAAGAAGTAGGCACAAGGTTTGCATGTGCCAGCTTTGTGAGCCTGCACATCTGAACAACATCTGATCTTAGAAAAAGACACTGTGTGGTTTATAGTCTGAAATCATAGCCTTGATTCAACGGAAAAAACACCATGAATCAAACTTAAAATGGGAAAAGAAGATCCAAGTGCATCATGACATTCATCATTTCATGAATCTGAGTGTCTGATATCATCCAATTTTTTTTTTATATTCATTTCCAACCAGGAAATCACACAGTGAAGCGCCTCCGTAACGCGCCCCAACTGTCGTGAGAGCAGCCGCGCCGGGGCGGACTGGCACCGCCGCCTCGGCATCCAGGGGGCTCAATAGGAGATTTGGTGGATTTGAATAAGATATATTTATATATTCATATACATATTTATCTTATATATATATATACATATACAATAGACCCCAAACAGTGCGTAGTTAGGAGGGTAAAGTTGAAAGGACCCAAAATCATCAGTGGCTCCAAGATAGCAGGACAAGAGCGGCCCTAGCAGTGAAAGCATGGTTTCGTTCTCAAGGCGGTCTCTGGAAGAAGGGGTGCCAGGTTGGATTATGCAAGTTCCCTTTGCGAAGATCTCTGTAGAAGATTGCCAGCACGATTTTCTTGACAGGTTCTCTGTAAAGCTGCTGTGCAAAATCCCTTTGTAAAGCTTTCTGTACAAGGTGTCTGTATAAGAGATCTCCACAGAAGATCTCTTTAAGTGATCTCAAAGCAAGATCTTTGTTCGAACTCGGTAAAAAAGATCTCTGAACAAGATCTGCGTTCTCTTCACCAGGTCTCCGTACAAGATCTGTATCAGAGGTCTCTTGGCAAGATCTCTGTACAAGATCTCTTTCTAAGAGGTCTTTTGGCAAGATCTCTGTGCAAGTTCCCTGTAAGAGGTCTCTTGGCAAGATCCCTTGAAGAGATCTCTGTAGAAGTTTGTATAAGAGCTCTGTCGGCAAGATCTCTGCAAAAGAATTGCAAAAGACCTCTCGGCAAGATCTCTATAAAAGTTCTCAGCACAAGATCTCTATAAAAGGTCTCCATGGCAAGATCTCCGCTCAAGCTCTCTATAAAAGACCTCCTTGCCAAGATCTCTGCACAAGATCTCCTTGACTATCAAAGTGAGCACCACGCCACAACGAGAGCGATCTGACAGGCCCAAAGTGCCGAGAGAGTTGCGCGAGCGATCTGGAAATGAGCACGGCGCCACAATCAGAGCTATCTAGCAGGCCTAAAGTGACGAGATGGTTGCGCGAGCACATGTTTGAATTTCACAACACATTGCACGCACCACAAAAAATGAAGATTGAAGATGATGTTCTGCCTAGGCTTCGGGCAAAGGTCTCTTAAGTACTGCCCCTGCCACGGAAAATGAGCCCGAGACACCCGAAGTACCGCGCCTGCCACACCGAATCATCACCATGTCCAAAATCAAAAAGGTCGTCAGTTTCACAAAACGAGACCTGCGACCCTTTCAAAACTTCGTCCAAGGTCACCAAATATTGCGCCTGCCACACGAAATGACCGCCAAAACCACCTGTCATTTCTATCGTTTTTTAAGCCACGCCTGCCACCGTTTTAGCAACGCGCAAAAAAGCGCCACGCCTGCCACACGGACAAAAATGTGCACGATGTCCTGCGCCTGTCAAGCAAAACAATGCTTTAGACCTCAAAATGTCCCAAAGGTGCCACACCTGCCACACAGAATGGACATAGCTCAAAAAGCGAGCACGGCGCGCTAGTAAAACGAGACCTTCGGAAGAGAGGTCTCCGGGGACACCGTTTCGTGCGAGACTTCCGTCGAAAACAGAAGATGAAGGAGCTTTTGCGCTGTAAAAGTCATCAAAAACATTCAAAACCGGCGCGCACGTATGAAACCACCTCGAAATAAAACCAGCCCTGAACGATTACCGTAAGAACCCCAAGTGTGGCCACACTGTTATCATGTGATATGATATGATATGATACGATATGATATGATATGAATTGATATGATGTGATATGATGTTGTATTCTGTTAAATCCCTTTCTGCACTGCAATGGAGGGGACTGGGGAGAAGAAGACAACATCCTGATGATTCCTGATGTGGGATAATTACAGGAAAGATGCCGGAAAGAGACAGAAAGGGAGTCATGAGATGTCATGAGCTACGAGATAAATAAAGCCTTCATGCATCGGATTTTCCGGATCTTTGTTTGTTCGTGCCTGCCAACCACATACACATGCTCCGTACAAACAAACCTCGATTGTATTATATTGTATTGTTGTGTGGTGACCTGGGTAGTTGATGTTCATTCTATAGGTATATGGAAGAGAGAGAGAGAGGAGACGTGCGTTTGTGTGCGTATGATATATGAACATATGCATACGTGTATATATTAAATCCAATTTTAATCCGATATTAATTGCCGGTATATGTCACACATTTAGTTCTTGCTTAATTATACGATATACTATAATCTGTTTCCATATGTTTGTTTACTTATTCATCTATCCATATCTATTCATGTATAGATAAATCCTTTTGCAAAATTCTGTCAGGGACTTCCATAGCAAAGCTAGCCAAGCTACATCCCATCGCTGCGTGGGGAGTCCTGGAGGTGCTCCGCGTCCTAAGAGCTGTGAGGATCGGCTGATATCAGCTGTTCTCACATATTCTAACATCCTGCCATTGAACCTGCTACCGGGTGCTACCAACAGGTGCGAAATGAACTCCTTTTGCATCCTGTCATATGCAGACAAATGGAATCAAATGAACAATATGAAAAAGTTGCATGTTGAGGACAACATTCATAAGGCAACTGTGGCGCAAAGCACCTCGTGACCTTCCTGTCTTTTTGAATGCTTCTGATGTTCGTGGAGAAGGCGACAAGATGCGACAAGATTCATAGTGAATAAAGGTCCGCTTCACTGGCACAACAAGTTCAGAGCTGGAGTGTGGGCGAGGAACCTCACAAGCGACTCAGTGCTGCAAATCAAAAAGAATCCGGAGATGTTTGATGCTTCATGACAATTTCATAAGATTTCAAGAGTGTTGATGGTTTGGTTCAATTTGATTCATGAAATCGGGATGTCATGGGATGTCAGCTATTTGTAGCTGTCTCAGATCCACCGCAAGCATCGCACACCTCATCGCTATTCGGGAGGTTAGCATCCAGGGACCTAACTGGTCCGTCGGGCCGATATTCAAAGCATGTGAGTGCCGGCTTCCCTCTGTCAGTCATCCTCTCCAACTGAATTCAAAGCAGCTATTGACAGCTATTGCCATGATGTAAACCCATCGAAGTTCACCTTTGGCCCAACCGCAACCACCTGCAACCATCCGCAACCTGTGTGACATGATTCTTTACGGCCCTGGGGCAGCCACAAACCACGTTTCAAACATGGGCTTTGGTACTGCCGCATGTCAGCACTTGCCGGCCCCCTTAGGTCTTGAACATCTCAGTGTCAATTGCAATCACTCATGAAATGGTCACAAAATATTACGTGGTGAATGAAAGTGAATGAAAGTGAATGAAAGTGAATGAAAGTGAAGTGTAATGAAGTGCTCCATGAAAAGGAAATACGACTGGATACGTCTGGTCATGTCTGATCCACAAAAAGGGATCAAAAGGGTGGCCATGCCCAATGCATCTAAAGCACTCCTGCAACGATCCCGGAGTGGAGGGCAGCCTGGTGCCAGAGTGCCTTTTTGGACGAGTCCAACGAGTCCAACGAGTCCACTGACTGCCTCTCCCGAAGGCCCTGGACACTTGGAGAGCTTGTGCTGAAAAACGCCGAGTAAAACCTTGGAATCTTTATGAATCTTTGGAATCTCTCTCCGTAGCTTGTTTTTTGTCGAAACATGTCGAATCATTTCGATGGCACATCCAGATGACATCATCAAACACAGATTTTTGCCCCCATTGTTTATATTGTTTCACAGCTTAAATTCGACTCAGCTACCTCTTGGAGAAGGCAGGAAAAGATAGGAAAAGTGGAACAAAGTCTCACTGCTTTGCATCAATTCCCAACTTCCGACTGGGATGCTGGCATCTGCATGGGCCCCTTGGTGTCAAATGTTCGAATGCGCTGGCGAAAAATGAAAAATGCCAAAATATACTGACTGTATACGGTGTATATATATAAATATAGAGTTGTTATTGTATTATACAAAATGATTAATATAATATTATATATAATTATATATAATTACTCGTCAAATCGTATGGCATCCTGTGAGATTCCATGGGGAATTCAAAATCTGTTACGTAGCCCTCCGTCTTCGAACATCTTTAAGCCCAGCCTGGGAAGGCACGTCCTGAGACGAAGCTGCAGCTGGCCCATACGTTGATGGCATGCCGACGTTTAAGTAGACCTCGGACTTTGGCGCACTGTGCCGTTGATGTCGCATGAAAACCCCACATCTCTTGGAAGATCCATCTCCGTCATCTCCCTCAAAATTTCTAGAAGGGGGTGACGGGGGTGACATGTGTGCTGAGACGAGCACCATGTCCTGTAGCCTGGCCACGGAGGGAACTTCCGCATATTTTTCCACATACTTGAACAAGCGATTAGGAGTGGTTGAGCAGTCCCAAAATGGGTCGCTTGTTGCAAACCAGGCCACTCGGGATTGTACGGCTGCCAGGACCCAAGTTCCCAATCATCGCCAGACCTCACGGTCGATTTCCATCAGCGCTCTGAGTTCCAACTTGATGCATATCTTGACGCCATGAAACGGATTGACATGGATTCACATGGCTTTGTCTGAGAATGAGGCACCCAACCCCACGGTTCACCATAGATATCATAGATTATCATTTTTATGATCATCATTTTCCCTGTTGCAATATGTTGAAATTGCCATGAGACAAACCCGCATGGACCTTGCCAGTCTGAGATGTCTGAGATGTCTGAGCTTCCCAGCGCCAAACTGCTTGAGCTTCTGAAGGGTCGCGCTTTCGCAGACAGGCGCGTTCGGTCTCGCCTCACAGCTGTAGATCGGACTCCGTTCCAACCGTTCCAAATATCCCCAGGATTAGGCCTGGCTGGTAATTCTGATGCAGATGTGGCAGCGCTAGAACCTGTTTCGCAAGGAAAGACATCCCCGCTTCAAATCAGCAAATCGAATTGAGTTAGAATTAATTTGACATAATTTGACAAGTTCTGAACAGCATTGGAAGAAAACAAACATCTGATGGCATCAGCCTGTACTTGTAGCCGCATCACCTGGAAGTGTTTGGCAGACAACATGTCATGTGGCCACTGCGTATCTGAATCGATGTGAATCCCACAAATCAAGGCGCCAAATTCACTGGCTGAAACAAGAAACAGAAGGTTCATGAAGGTTCAGTGGCAAATTCACAAGATCTCAGCCGTCCAGGATTCCACGCTACTTATGTTATGCTTATGCTACAGCTGCTACTTCTTTCTGTTTCTTTTGGACTTGACTGCGATGCGACTGGGGCCGTTGCCATAGACCCAGGACATGGTTTGGGGAGGCCTTGGTGAACAGATGTGAACTGATACCAGCCGCACCCCAGCACCAGCCTCATGGCACCACAGTCTCGCAGGATCTCGCAGGATCTCGACCCACGTTCTTTCTCAACAATCTGCTATACAGATCTATACAGATCTATACAGATCTAGGCAAAAAAAAACACCTGCAACACTCTGCGACCCTTGAAATCTTGGCAGCCACACCGTCTGAGAGCATCAACCCGGCTCCAGAGGCGAACTTGGGCCATAAATGCCATAAGAATAAGCCGGTGGAGATCGAAGATCTGAGATTTGAATCGATTTGACCTCCTTTTGATTGGAAATGGTGGGAAATGATGGAAATTTGATGAGACGTGTCAGAGATGTGATGGTGCCAACAGATTAAATGTGGCTGCATGTTGGAAGACGCTTGTGGCACCTCATGGCGTCTCGTGGTGCACCACGGCATGTCCCCCGGTGACTGTACACACCCGCCCACCAAAACGTGTCCCAAGACCACCGGATACCACCGGATACCACCGGGCTCCTGGATCTGTACAAGCTGTCAGCAGCCAAAGAATCGCCGTAGACAGCAGCACGATCAACGTGAGCACTGGCAACCAAGGGCTCACCTCGCTTCGTGAGTCGTCCAGGACTTTCGTCAATGTCCAGGATGACTTCATGAAACATGGCCAGTTCACGTCTCATCGCATCTGATTGCTTGCGCCAGGGCCGAGACGTGCTGCCAAAGATATTGCCTGGGCCGAGACGTGCTGCCAAAAAAGCAACGTAGAAAACCGCAGAAAACCTGCTTGGCAAATCTTAGCAGCCTGGAAGCCTTATCATCGTCATCCCATGTCATCTCAGTCGAGTCTGCTAGGGATCTGACGCGCAAAACGCGAAATAAAAAAGTGAAGGCCTTGCAGAGATTGCGCATTTGCATTGACAAACTTATGGGGAAGTTGAGGGAAAACTTATAAAAAGTTGATGTCTTTCTTCATCTTTTCAGAGGCTCGGACAGGAGCATGCTACACCAACTGCACAGCTGGAATTTGAGGTCGATCGGAGGGCCAGCCACGCACCTTGTGGATCTGCGATCAGCGAGGCACGGCACGAAGGATGCACCCGATGCAGCCGATGCACCCGGAATGGGCTCTGAGGGCTCAACCTGCCCCGACAAAAGAAACGATTTCGTCCACCGAGGTTTTGGCTTTGCCAAACCTGCCAGGGCAGGGCAGGCTAGGCAGCTAAAACAACATTTGACAATTTGGGGATGAAATCTGATGAAGCATCATTAAGCGCTCCGTAGCTGCTATATGATCGCCTCATGAACTCTGTGGACGTCGGAACGCGCCTGTATTGGTGAGGACTCTAGTCACTACTAGTCTATGTGGACTCTATGCTTCTCACACAACTCACTCAAAAACACCAAGTTGAGATGCGTTTAGAATGTTCAAATGATTCGAAATGAGTGTGAATGAGTCCATGGTGACCATGGTGCATGGCTCTGCTTTACATGCGTTCACAATTCTTTGGGGATCTGGCAGGTTGTGACCTGTCATCCCTTGGCGTTGCAATGCGTTGCATGTGGCGCCAAAGGATACCAAAGGCCCTGGCTGATGCATCTGAGATCATCTGAGGTCCACACTGAGATGTCATTTCTTCGCCTCGCGCAAGGGGACTGCTGATAGCAACGCACCAAGATGCACCAAGGGTCTGTCAACATCTGTCAGCGTCAGTGCCTTGCTGGCCCAACTCGACTTCACGGGCGTCAGCCATCGGCGATTCCACACTTCCAATGGAGCAGAGCTTCAAAGAAACAAATCCACGTAGTCCCTCCCTGTTTGACAACCTGGTTATCCTTTTCTTCACTAAACAAATATAAAAACATGCCCCTGCTTGGGGCTGCCCCTCTGTGTTTGGGAGGCTAAACACTTACAAGTTCAAAACACGTGCAGTGTGTCCAGGGGCTAGACATGATTATTAGACAAGCTGTCCCTCCGTAGCTCTGATTTGCACACAAAGAGGGTCTTCCAGGTTCAGGGATTGCTGCCATCGTTGAGCTGCTTTGCAATCTCGCTTGAACCGGCTGAATGACTGGTTTGTGTGTTCTGCATGACTATGTGACCATCCAGAAAAATCAGACTTTTCCAAAACATTCCAAAGCAAGAAACGTCAGAAACGTCACTGCCAAATCTGCAGCCATGCCATCTTTGGGCAGGGCTGCTTGGCGCTTCCAGATCTTCCAGATCTTCCAGGTCACTTGGGGGACGCCAACAAGTTCCCCTGGCGCACCGCCGCGCACTGGCACTGGCACTGTGGCACTGTGGAGCTTTTTCCCCACCTTCTTCTCCAACATCTCGTCCCACTGTTCCCGCTGAACCTCGGACCCAGGTGACCCAGGTGACCCAGGTGGGAGCTTTGATAATGTGGGGGTTGTGCAATGGGATGATTGGGATGATTGGCTATCATTGAAAATGTTCCACAAAAACAGTTCATTGGGATGATCCTCAAGAAGTTTTCTCAAACATAATATAGAATATAGAATAACATAGATTCGAAACTCTGAGGAACCACCGGCAGCATTTGGCATAACGTCTTATTAAGCATAACCCTGGAGCATTGGCATGGACAGATACGCAGCATTTGTTGGAACTGGGGATGTGGAAACCAACTGGAGCATTGATTTGATATTTAAGTCATTCCATGCAGCACGAAGATGCATGAAGATGCATGAAGATGCATGAAGCATTGCTAAGCATGATATGAAGCATGCCGCAGCATGCCCACCAAATCCACCAATAATGCACTGTGCTTCCAGCAGACATCCATTGCTGGACTGACGGTAATGAGAAGACCTGTAGCGAAGCGCAAAGCATCGCAGCATCGTGACACCGTCATTCCAAGGCCATGCCGGCCATGCCTTGTCATCTGCGAACCACTGTGTGGATGCAAAAATCCTGCACAAAGCTTCCCGTGCAATCAAGATCGATAAGATCAATCAAGTGTCTTGAGTCTTGAGTGTCATGTTTAACACATCTCAACACGGCTAAGGCAGTCCTGTAATTCAAAGCTTCCAAAAAGTTCAAGATCTCAAAGGGATCCTGACCCAACAGCCCATCACCAAATGCCTTGAAGAGCTGTGACTTCAACTTTGGTTCAAGGCAGCCGCTGGCATCTGTAAGACCCAAATCCTGCCTCCCCTCTGTCAATGCTTTGAAGCGGCCTAACAGATCTAACAGGACATGTTGGTGGCGACCACAAGAAGTCTTCTGCGTTCGGTTCGTGGATGTTCGCAAGCATCGCCTCCACTCAAAGTAGACCACCCCAATGAGCCGCTTTCTCAGCCATTCCTAAGAGGTGTCCAAGTGTCCACTGCCTCACTACGTTCCACTTCTCATAGGAATCTGTGACGTGTGGTGTCCTCCGCAGAAGATATCAGTTTCACAATGTTTCACAATGTTCTACAAACAAGAGGAAAGAAATGGAAAGAAGATAATAAATGAATATAAATTTGATAAAATTAATAAATGATAATAAGACTTTAATAAGACACGCTTACAGTAATGCCCCTCTGAACTGTGGTACCTGCGCGCTGCGAAGTACGCGGAGCTCTGCACCTTCACAGTGCTCTCAGTGCTCAAACTGAACGAAACGAAAGCACAATTAGATCAAAGTTAGATCAATGATGATTAGATGTAAAACGATGTTGATTAGATTTACATCTGACTTTACATCCACTGACTTTACATCTGACATCCGTAACGATCTTTCTAGGCTCTGCACCCTCAGTGTCAATCTTCAAAAGGCACACCTGGTATATGTAACAATATATGTAACAATATGTAAAAATCAGCTAGAAGCGGACACCAATGCAACACGGAATGAATGCGTTGCATGAGATTTGCATGAGATGGCAAAGCCATCCAAAGGTCCACAGGACTGCCTTGTTGATGCCATAGGCCGTTAGGACCTGACATCCCGTTACAATCGTTACATCCCGGTGCATTGCCATCTGACCTCATCTGACCTCATCTGACCTCATCTGACCTCATCTGACCTCATCTGACCTCATCTGACCTCATCTGACCTCATCTGACCTCATCTCCGCATCCTGGACATCCTCACCTCATCCAAGGAAACCACGTGAACGCTTTGAGCCTGTCAGCAGTTGATGCAGTTGGCATCAGATGGCATCAGTTATCATTGCAATGGCGGTCATTGGTCGTACATTGTCCTACATTGTCCTACCACGTCCTACCATGTCCTACCATGTCCTACCGTGTCCTACCATGTCCTACCATGCTTAACAGAAGGGCTGGGCATCATTGGGAACCCATTGGGAATCTATGCCAAACCTGCGACGTCGAAGGAAATTCGGCTCCGTCTCCCCCGTAGGATCCCGCAGGGTCAGGAGCGTAGCGACTAAGCTCTACAGGCGCGGCACGTCAAATCACCGACCTTTCCGGCGTGAGCTTTTTCGATGGAACCGTTTTTGTTCACTCAAAAATGAGCATCTAAGCACATTCCCCCCTTTTGAAGGTACCCGAAATTCAAAACACAAAGCCATTTTGATGCATTGTTCCACTGGCGTGTTTCTCAGTTTCTTTGATTATTAGTAGCTTTCTTGGAATAGATTTGCGACTTATTGCGCTCTTGCTTCATGGTCTTCAGTTATGTTTGGTTGTTGCTTCCGTTTCAGTGTGGTGTTGTTACGCTCATGCTATGTTGTTGCTTCATTTGCAGTGTGGGGTTGCTACGCTCATGCTACGTTGTTGCTTCCTCGTCACTGTGTGGGGTTGTTACGCTTATGCTACGTTGTTGCTTCCTTTTCACTGTGTGGGGTTGTTACGCTTATGCTACGTTGTTGCTTCCTCTTCACTGTGTGGGGTTGTTACGCTTATGCTACGTTGTTGCTTCCTTTTCACTGTGTGGGGTTGTTACGCTTATGCTACGTTGTTGCTTCCTCTTCACTGTGTGGGGTTGTTACGCTTATGCTACGTTGTTGCTTCCTTTTCACTGTGTGGGGTTGTTACGCTTATGCTACGTTGTTGCTTCCTCTTCACTGTGTGGGGTTGTTACGCTTATGCTACGCTGTTGCTTCCTTTTCACTGAGGGGTTGTTACGCTTATGCTACGCTGTTGCTTCCTTTTCGCTGTGGGGTTGTTACGTTTATGCTACGTTGTTGCTTCCTTTTCACTGTGTGGGGTTGATACGCTTATGCTACGTTGTTACTTCCTTTTCGCTGTGTGGGGTTGTTACGCTTATGCTACGTTGTTACTTCCTTTTCGCTGTGGCGTTGGCAAACTTTGCTCTGCAAGAAATGCAGGATGACCCCGGCGAACAGCTGAAAAAAAATGCTGCGTCGCAGACATGATGGGCCAAACATCTTCTTACAGGAAACAACACCGATTTTGATTCTACTGCTATGTGCAACAATTTTTGACAAATGAAACTTTTTTTGGCACTTCAAGGACAAAAAGAAACACACTGTAAATTACAATGTGTTTGGTGGCTTGACCGCAAAGAACGCTGGTATTTACACTAGTTTTGCTATGTCAAGAAAAAGTGCAAGGCACGAAACCCTGCAAATAGCGGTGTTTTGACCACTTTGGAACGCCGAACCGCTGGTATTTACACAGTTGTTTTGCCTGTGAAGGCGCCAAAAGCCTGTAAATTACAGCCTATTTTTCCCTCTGTGAACCGATTGTTTGTCTTAATGGCCGCCAAAAAAAAAAACATTGGTATTTACACGTTTTTCAAAAATCAAAAATTATGACTTGCAAGAAACCCTGTAAATAACAGTGTTTTGACCACTTTCGGGGACTAAAGCTGTGGTATGTGCGCGATTTTGTTGCATCTAACGGCACGCAATGCTGTAAAAAAAACAGAATTTTATGCATTTTTCCTTTTCCGCGCGCTGTTATTCGCACATTCTTTGCATGTTTCAACCAGAAACACCGCAAGCAGATTGAAACAAGCCTTCCCGACTTGGCCCCGCAAAAAGATAACAGCATTTAAAAAAAGCAATTCCATCAGAATATTCAGAATATTATATTCGAATATATGTTCGAAAAGCATTTAAAAATAATAGTCAGATATAGTCAGGTCATCCGGCGAAGCCGACGAATTCCGCAGCAGAGCGGCTCTAAAATAGGAGGAATTCCGCAGTCGCATGGCCCGGGTCCCCCCTTTACTCGACCAATCTGATTCTGCTGGTCCAACCTTCTCACAATTGTGGCTGCTGCGGTTACAGCTCTGCAGGTTGACAGGTGACGTCACATAGCTGCCCTCAGTTGAACTCAAATGGAAGTCTCCATAAGTCTCCCAAATATTTAACTCTAACAACACTCAAACCATGTGGCCATTCCATTCTTTTCATATTCTTTGAGGCGCACTACATGATTTGCAATTTCACAACATGAATCTGCACAACACCTGCAAGGCTCTTTCTCCTTCATCACTGTACCCAAAGCAATAAGCTCAGACTTTGTGAAGCTTACGGTAAAAATGTGCTCTCAAAGTCGAGAGTAAGTGCCGACTGTGGTGTTCAAGGACTGGAACAGCTGGTCCCTGGCAAAAGCTGTGCTTTGTACTTGTTTATTTCGAATTAAGGAGACATCTGCAGCTCAAACATTGGCCGACTTTGCTTTTCCTTCGTTTGCTACGGTTTCCTCATGTTTTTGGATCCTCCTCTCCTTTGTCAGTGCTTTTAGTCTCCTTGGCTTCCTTTCTGGAGCCCAACGTCGACGTCGGCACCGTGGGTGCAGTGGGAGGCATCGAAGGCATCGAAGGCATCGAAGGCATCGGCCCTTGGCCCGGCGCTGGCGCCGTCGGCGCTGTCGGCGCTTTGCCGAGAGCGTCCTCTGCGTCTGCGTCCTTGGCGTCAGCCGCCGCGGCCGCCGTGGCCGCCGTGGCCGCCGTGGCCGGTGACTTCTCAGGCGATTTCTCCACGGCAGGAGCCTCTGCCTTCGGCTTCTCCGGTGATTTCCCCTTCTCTAAAGCGTTTGCAGTCTTTGAATCCTTTGAATCCTTTGAATCCTTTGAACTTTCAAGCTGTTTTGGTTCTGGTTCAGATTCGGAATCGGGCACAACTTCCACATCTGTGACTTTTTGCGAGTCGTCCGAGTCGTCCTGCGAGTCCTGCTCCTCGTATTGAACATCCTGCAGGTCCACTTCCACAAAGATCACTTGATGCTTTTCGAGGTCCTGGCTTGCAGGGGATTGGGTGTCTGCTGGACATGCGCACAAGCATCACTGCAACCACAATGGCACATGATGGGATGTCTAGAGATTTACTGTTCAGCAGGCCCAGGCCTTGTCACGCTCTTCGTCATCTTCATCTTCATTTGTGGGGTCTTTTCCATCTTTGCGCTTTCGGAAGGCTTCCACTTGCAATACTCTGCGCTCGTCCACTTTCGAAATCTCAAAGCGGATGCGTTCCGCTGCAGTCTCAACGGTGCAAGCTTCACCCACAAAAGGAATACGATCGATAGTGGTGCACATGAAGCCACCAATGGAATTGTAGTCTCCCTCGGGCATTTTGATCCCAAGAAAATCTTCCACTTCATACTTCTCTGCCAGACCACTCATGGAGTAGTGACCCGGTGCAATCCTTGATCAATTCCAATTCCAAGAAACAATGTAAACAGCCGTGTGCGCATTTTGCCCGCATTTTGACCACATGATCCGTTTTGCATATTATAATATATATTTATATATTATTATACGTGTGTCTGGGTGTATATACATGTCAAGAGCTGATGTGTTGTCAGGTAAGTTTTGAAAAAGATCAACGGCAACTCGAATGCCAGGAATGCCAGGAATGCCAAGGCCGAATGCCATGTGCTGAATGTGCAGTTCAGCTTACACATCTTACACGGAGCCAGCACTCTGATGATCCTGACGAAATCGTGCTGAGTCGCTGCTTGATTTTGGCTTTATTCTGCTGCCGTTCTACTTGATCTTTCTCCTCATCTGGGTCATAGATCTCTCCCACGATCCTTAAATGTTCAAAGATTTCAGTGCACGAAGACACGTCAGTCACGTCATTGTCACGTCCACGCGCTTACACAGCACGGATTTCATGCAAGGCCCCTAATCTGGCCCCTAATCTGGATCTTTACGCTGATCAGCCGCTGATCCGAGTCTCTCCTCCAAGACATCTTCTAAAGTGATGAGACCCGTGGTTCCTCCGTATTCGTCCTCGGAAACATGAAATCTGAAAAACCTGGGAACACCTGGGAAAACCTGGGAAACTGTGGCATCAGTTGTATGAGAGGCTGCCAAGGTGCTACACAGATTGCCAATGTCCTTTCTTTCAGCAGCCGAAGGGCTGCGATCAAAGACATCGTCTCCTTAACTTCAAGCTTCATATGATTCATATGCCATAAATATGCGATAAGCTACCATGACACAGCGCCAAGGTTACAGAGTACACCAGCCTTTCAACATATCAACTTCATTCAACTTCAAGATTTTCCGAAACACTTGAGATATCTTGAGATATCTTGAGATCCTTAAACCAGAACCGGACATAACCAGACGTTGTGACAAGTGGCTGGTACAAAAATGGCAGTGTCGATGATCTCTGTGACTTTCCTGGCATTGGAATCCACCACTTCCTCCAAACAGTCGGCATTCTTCAGCAGCGTCTTCATGCTCACAACGCCTCGCCAGCTCAGCGGCACCCGAGATCACCCGAGTAACTATGGCAGCTATGATCCTCAAGATATCTCAAGATATCTCAGGGATTCTCACCATGGCAAGGCTGATGTCAGCGCCTATGATGTTGTCAAAGCGGACTTCGTAAACTGGGATCCTGCTGAACCTTAGGAGCCAACAACGACCAACAGTCTCGCAGGTTAGCGCCATTGGGGACCACTTGATCCAGTCTCCTGGAACCTGCATAACGCATAGCTGACATAGCTACAGCATAGCTACAGCATAGCTACATCTGAAGCATAGCAGCCAACACCGCCCATCTACACCGGATCCCACCGGATCCCACCGGATCCCACCGGATCCCACCGGATCCCACCGGATCCCACCGGATCCCACCGGATCCCACCGGATCCCACCGGATCCTAGGAACTGAGTCTCCTTGATGAGATGATGAAGCTTCGCAATGGGCTCCTGAGATTCGATACAAATCATGTCCACCAACCTAGGAACTGAGTCTCCTTGATGAGATGATGAAGCTTCGCAATGGGCTCCTGAGATTCGATACAAATCATGTCCACCAATGGCGTCATGATCTCCTGGCAAGCCATTGGCAGGGCATTGGCAGGGCATTGGTAGGGTGGTAGTGGTGGTAGGGTAGTGGCAGGTTCGATCTGCAGCGATCCGCAGCGTGCCTTGATCTTCTTGCTGTCCAAATTGCGGACACTGGCGATCATCTCGCCTTCTTCTGCAGCCACCACGCCACTCTGCATGGCAGATCTGAAGACCAGGTCCAACTCCTGAAGGAACTTCGAAGTCTGGGGGCCCAATTGAATTGGATCCTTTCAGATCATTAACTATGTATAACTATGCATATATAGATATATATACGTATATATATATACGTATATATATATATTCATATATTCATATATTCATATATTCATATTCAATTTAGGTGTGTAACAATTCACATATTGACACTAGAACTTAGATATAATATAGATACCATTAGAATCCATTAGATACCTATATAATAATTTTCCAGCCGAAGATAAAAGTTATAAGAAGCACGAGAGCACCAAACAAAACACATTTTGACAGAAGATGTCCTCCTCGGAGACGAAGGGAGTTTTGTTGATATCAACCGGCACCCCAATCATGGCAAGCAGCAGTGACACAGCCTGCATCACAAGTTTCATGTGCTGCATGTCGTGTGCTGCCTTATGGAGATTTGAAGGAGTCCCCCATATGGCCCATATCTTATCATTCTTCCCACATGGACCATCTGAAAGAAAAGATCTTGACACACTGTTCTGTCAAGCCCCAGCCGCACGCAAATGATGCAGCTGCCTCATTCAGGATCTTGCTCACAGGATAAACCACTGCAGAAATCCTGGACCAGACTGGGCCAATCAGATTCAAAATGGAACGTCATGTCACAAACGTCACACCCAGACACAAGACGACTTCAAAACATGATCTGAAGCAGCTTTGTAGTAAAGGTTGCTCATGGTTGCTTCCTGTCAACTGGCACGCACAAACATGCAGCACAGGTGCCTGTAGAAGAACGGCAGGGTCACTTGGGCAAAGTTGTAGGGATTTGAAACCGCCATGCTCTTTGGCAAGATCTCACCGAGCCTGGAAAGCTTGGACATTCTACTTTCAGTGGGCTATCGGAGCATTCCGTGAAACAAGCGGTAACTGTGGGTACTTTAGCCGCATGCCATACCTGTCAGGACATTCCAAATGGGAACACGTTCAGCATCGGTTATCAAGTTCAAGCCCCGTCAGGAACTTGGTCAAATTGTCCACGTGAGTTGTCTTGAGGTCACGACGTCAATTGCACCAGCGTGACAGATACAGTGGCCTCCGATCTGCTTCAAACCGGGCAACATCACGATTTAAGACAATACTGTCAGGCTACAAGAAAAGATAGAAAAGCACATCTGCAAACTTTGGCACGATACATACATTGCCATTTTTTTTGGGTTTCGGTTCTAGTAGCGGTTCCAGTAGCGGCTAGCTACTGTAGTGACCGGCTAGTGACCTTTGAGCAAGCTGAGATCCCTGCGATACCAAGGCCTTTGGGACCAAAGAGCTGGCCACAGATTTCAGTGATGAACGCAGTGCTCACCACTCCTGGCAGATCTGGCCGCCCACCAAGGTTTCAAGGCCATGGCCCACCATGGCCCACCAACCATCCCGAACCAGACCCCAAAACAAGAGCCCGCATGCCAACGAAATCCCACTCGCATAAACTATGAACATCTATGAACTATAGGAACTATAACATGAACTAACAGTAACTAACAAACTTAACACGGTCAACAAAGTTAACAAAAAAGTAAACAAACCATCAAACCCGCAGAGTATAAATATGAATAAACCACTGGGAAGGATTGAAAAGGTGGTTCATGGTTGTTCCATGTTCTTTCTGACACAGTCTGTCCCCCAAAAAAGGATTCACCTGCCAACGTCGCACCAATCAAGATGGTCTGCATGAAGCGTTGAATATCTTCTCGCAGAGCCGTCCACTTGCCCAGCTGCACCTGTGAAGACATTGCAGCAGTGCAGCTTCGATCTCTTCGATCTCTTCAGCTGAGGTAGTTTGGAGATTTTGGCATGTCAGAAAATGTCACAAAATACCCGGACCCTTTGCATCGGTTGGCTTGACAATCTTAACAACGGTGGCCCTGCCTTGGCTGTAACGCGTTTTCCTCCACCCTCACGCATCTCTCGAACCCTTTGCTCTGCCTTCGCATGCGATTGGAAACAAAAAAAAAACTGCTGGCCAACTTTAAGCCGTACAAAACATTTGGATGCATTTGGGGCATCAATCATATTACGTGTCTGATTCTTGTGGAAAGCCCTGCGGTCCTTCTCCCATTCGCGCTGTGCATACTCCCGAACTTTCCAAGGCCACAAGGTGGTGATAGCCGTCTCAGTCCCAGCACAAACAGCAAAGGCCACGAAGGCAGCGCAGGAAAAGGCCAAATCCCCAGCAAGCGATCCACAAACGCCGTGATAAGCACGAACTCGTTCGGCAAAAGTGCCCCAGTTCGCCCGACCAGATCCGCGGTGAAACATTCTCACCAAGGTAGTCACCGCCGCTGCTCCTCACATGGCATGCGGAGTGCTCGTGGCAGGAAGGACAGCTGTGAAGTATGCGAAGTGGACATGACAAACTTGGTGGTATCTCCTACGAAAGCAACGATCACCAGCGACCTTATCGCTGAGTCTTGCTGTCTTGCACCTAAGGTTTGCAAGAAATTCATATTGCTTGGTCATGAGCAGGAAGAGAGACACTCCGTGGCTGTGGGGGAACCCACGGAAAGCATCAATTTCACAACCCCCACTGTTGCCATTTGGCAGCCATCCGAAAGTACAAGCCACTTTGTTTGCTCAGCTTCTTGGCTGAAGCCCGCACCACTGCATGCCTGCAACCGCCAAAAACCAAAATGACTTGTTCGTCTGGCTGCCAATAAAAAACTCACCAATGCCACAGGGTGGTCCACATTGGTCCAGGTAAAGATGTGTTTAAGAAAAAACGCCAACAAGATTTAGAAAAATATGAAAAATGGCATGTCCTTCCTCGGATGCTTCTGGCGCTTGCTGGACTTTGCCAGGTACGCTGCGCCGGTGGCGGCAACTCCAATCGCTCCAATGTTCCAGCCGCTGCTGGTGGCGCCGCTGCCGCCTTCCACAAAGGACGTGTGAGGCCGAGGCCTCACCGCCCAACCTGCACAGGTCACAGGAAGGGCTGCGGTAAAACAGGCGATGGGCACGGTCACGGCACGGCCCTTAGAAAACTATTGGATCTATTGGCACGTGCATCAAGTTGCATCGAGTTGCATCGTGTTGTCATAGATGATGATAGAGTCATAGATTGTGATAATTGTAGTACAATTGTCATGCCTTGTCACGTGTTGTCACATGTTGTCATATCTGGATCACTATATTGAAACCGATGTCAGCCCACTGCATGTCACAGCTGACCATGAATCTGCCTTTCCTCCCCTCTGGCAGAGATGACGGCAAGGCTGGTGCAAGAGACGGGTTGAGTGCAGCCATTGCATACAGGTGCTGTGGCGATCTGTGGCGATTCGGAGGTCTCTTAACGGTCGCTGTACATCTCATCGTTTGCTGAGGTCTCTTAATGGTCGCTGCAGTCACTGTACATGCTCCCAGTCTTCTGATGAGTTGTATCGATTCAGGTTATTTCAGGTTTGGTTTGCCTGATGTGACATGCTAAATCTGCTAGATTTGCTTTCTGTGCTCTTGGCAGATTCCGGTAGTCAACTGCCTTGTAACAAAAGTGGGCTTCAACATCTTCAATAGATGCCGATCTTAAGGGAAGTCTGCAGTAAAGTAGTACTGGATGCCCAAGCAGTGTCACACTGAAGGTGGAAGTTCAGCTCTCTGCTTGAGCCAAGTGGAGCCAAGTGGGTTCCAAAATGTTCCAAGATCTTCTGGATCAAATCAGAGCGGCTGTGAAACTTTGCCTTCACCGCTTCCCCCTTGAACCCCGAGACTGCGAAAAGACTTGGCTTTCAGCTCCAGAATTGTTGTAGGCCTCCACCACGACAGCCTCACTTGGCTCGCCCACTGCCTCGTGCAAACACTGAAAGGCACCAGGCTGCTTGCGGTCCTGCTGCGCTTCTCACCCACAAACTAGATCTCGTTCCCAACTATGTGCTCAATATCATCCATGATTTTTGAACATGTTTGAATATCATGCCTTTTCCTTTTCAGCTTCAGCAAAGGTCAGGACCAATTGTGCCACGCCCGAAAATGGGCCTTTGCCTGCAGCATGCCGCAGCCATGCCGCGCCACCACTGCCACTGACACTGCTGCCACCAACACAAAACAAACGACGTGGCGACGTGGCTCAGCGTCGCTCAGCGCCTGCGTCACGATCCGTCATCATGCCCTCCTGGCGAAAGGCCCTACTGAAACATGAAACACATGCGTGCACACCACATGTTTGATATTGAAGTCACATAGTGGACTATATGTGAATTTCAAAGTGAAATCACAGAATTCACATAGTGTTCACAGATCACTCGTTCAATCCTGACTTTCTGACGGCAACGATTGGAATCTGTGCACAATCCTTGCCACATGTTGCTTGCGTAAGGGTTTCGACGCTTGGGGGCCCAGATGGACCCAGTATGACCCAGTACCAGTGGTCCCCCCGTGGTTCCCCCCGTCATTGAAGCGCAAGCTGGCACGAAGCAAACCCGCAGAGCTGGGCAGCGGTTCAAAGGCCATGACCTTGGCGCCAATAGTTACTATCTGTATGGTCACATAAGGATACATAAGGGGGGTATGTGATGATATATGCATTTGCATGTGTAGGATAATGTGTGTATACACTTATATATATATATATATATATATTGCAGTATGCATTATCAATCATTCTCATATGAAATCACATGCTATCAGAAAATGCCTACTATGGCCACAACACTCAGGAAACAACCAGCTTTCTGTACAAAGCCGTTTTTTTCCGATTCCAATGGGCCGACCTGAAAGCCACTTCTCATCAAAACCATGCTGCAGCTGCCCATGTTTGCACCTACCTCAGCCGGACCGACTAGCTATGGCTCTGGCTTGCTGAAAACCCGCAAAGCTGCACCAATCAAATAGCAAGGGTTGAACGGCCACAAACAACCACACTGGTTGAGATATTCTTACATGTTTACACACTTTTCAGTGTGATGACTGACAAACTTCTGCCATGGCACGTCCAGTACTACGCAATCCTTCCATCCAACAACCTGCAGTTGTTCACAGTCCCGCGATGTCTCGCGGCAAGCAGCAGTGGTCCCGGGCAAAATTTTGCAGAGTCATTGCCTCAACGATGCCGAAGAGCTCGTAACACTCTGGCCACTTGCCTAGGGACAGTCAAGGACTTTCGCATCTGCCCTTTGTGATCTTTTTGTCTATGTCTATGCTGATCTGCGCTTGATTGACTTGATCATACTTGATCATTTCTTGTCTAGCGTATCATTCTTTGTTTTTGGCCTGCAGTATCCATTTCCTTTTCATGCCTGTTTTGACCTACTACACCCTGTGACTTCGGCCTAGCATGCCTAGCTCACATCGTTTCTGTGCTGAGACAAGGACCCTGGCGTTTGATGGTATCACTCACCACATCCTTGTCAATCCTGATGCAGTTGGACAATGTTGGACACAGTAGTGCGAATATGTACGACGTATTGACGTATCTACGGATATCTAGGGATCAATATGATCAATCCGAAATTCCCAAAAGCCACAGGAGCCTCACGCAGAGCGGTATCACAGGGACAGGGTCCAACTCATCCATCCTAAGGCATGACATGGCATGACAAAGCATGCAACCATGGGGATAGCGTGGAAATGCGAGACCTATGGACCATGATGGACCTACAACGCGTTTCGATGCGTTTCGCACGTGCGACTAAGTCGCCAAGCCATCACAGAGCCTCGAGGACAAGTGCCAAATCCATGCAACGCCAGCGATTGAAAACGCTGCACCTCCAGTTGGACAGAACGAGTTGAGATGGACTGGTTGAAACATGTTGAAACGGTTGGGTCATGATTCAGTCATGATGGGGTCATGGCCTCCAAACACGAAATCACAATGGCTTTGTAGGTCAGCTATGCTCACAACGCTCACAAATCTCAGCTCACAATTCCAAAGTGCCTAAAGTGCCTCAAGCAGTGGCAAACCTTGAAGACAAGCTTTGGAGGTGCAGAGCTTTAGCTGGTTCCTCAGATCCCATGGTCAAAAGCCTCCCTGTATCCTGCAAACCCTGTGCATCCCTGTGCATCCCTGTGCTGTCTGTGCTGTCTGTGCAGCCATGAAACATCACTTCAGTGACTTGCGGCATGCCGCGGACTTCTGGACTCAAGCCTGCCAGCTGCAGACAAATTCCAGCTGATCCAAGATCTCTACAGATCTCTCTTTCTCAGAGACCTGTTCCATCTGCCAACTCCTGGCCAGCCAGAAGGGCCTGAGGGTTTGGTCATGTTTGGTCATGTTTGGTCGGTTGTGGCTCGCAGCATCCATGCCGGGTGACATTGACATACTGGGACTCAGACTAACAAAGCAAAAATGGGCCAACCCCCACACAGAGCGGTCTCCATGGCTGCAACATCCTCGCAGAACATCACATCGACATTTCCAACGTTTGATCATAGGAACTCTTGATGGACTTGATATGATTTGATGACTGGGGGCATGATCCTTTGGGATCTGGGAGGAAATGTCAACCCAGATCAGCTCATCACGGCTCGTCAGTACAGAAAGGAGCATAAGGAGCATCACGGTCCGCTAAGCCGCTAGGTAACACAAAAGCCACACAAAATGCAGAAGCAAAGCTCCAGCAATCGCAGGAGCACAGCCTGTGCCCAGCATTGAGCATCGTACTTGCACCAAATCTGCAACCAAATCTTCCTGCTCTTTGACACTAGGAATTCCTGGGCCCACAACAAAGACAACAAAGCTTACGGATGTGCTGGGGACCCTGTGTGCATCAACAGGATGAAGTGCTCAAGCCACACTAGATCAGTGCATCATACTTGGCATCGCCCAAGCACAAGAAACTTCAGCAAGTCTCTTCCTCAGCCAGGAACCGATTTCTTGGGCTGCCTGAGACAGAATTTAAGAACCCAGCTGTGCAACCCAACGTAAGGGTTCCATTCCGGTGCGAGACCCAGAAATTGAAACCCAACAAGCCCTGCTGGGATTGAACAATCTGCAGACTTTCACGACAATCTGCCCGCCCTGAGGTGTGGGCACTGGCCAAACGCAGAAATTGATGACCGGGAAAACCTTGGCCATCGAGTCATCACAATCTAAAGTTCTAAAGCTGCTCACATGGTCAAATGACATGATGTCAATATATGTCAATTACCCTCTGGTGAACTAACATAGCAATTGAAAATCACCATTTATAGTGGATGTTCCCATTAAAAATTGGGATTTTCCATTGCTATGTTAGTTCACCAGAGGGTAATTCAAATGAATCAAATACATTCAAATACACCGTCGACTGGGGGTCATGCACTCAGATGTGGCTTGAAGTGTGACCTGCGTCGAGCGCTGTGCTTGAAGATTTCAAAGGTTTGAAGTAGTTTGGAGTAGTTTGAAGGCGGCATTTCCCAACCTGGTGGAAGACCGCAGTCGACCAGTCTTTTGCAAGGCCTGACCAGATCCTGCAGGATAATGTTCACACGGGTTTGTCAAACAAAGACGAAAAAAGAACGCATCGCAACTAAAATGTAGGAAAACAGTTTCAACATGGACAGATTATTGAGCACCTCTTTGTGATAAAACATTTGTTTTCTGATAAACGCAAGGAACAATATGAAACCATATGAAACCATATGAAACAATAACAAAGACTTGACAAAGGCCATTATGTGCTCACCATTTCACATCCCGTCACATCACCAAGCCATCCTGGGATATGGTCCTGGCCATCCCCGGCCATGTCAGGTGACCAGCTTCAAGGAGCTCCGTAGTCACACCATATCTGTCGAGGAACGCCGCAATTCGGTGGGAGCAACAGGGTGAAGTCGCCGTGTGTGTGTGGGGGTTTTCAGACATACATCTATTGTGAGTACATGTGAAGATTATATATATACATATATTATGGATTATTATGGATTATTATGGTTCTTATCATAAACATGCATATGAAATTCTATTACATTCTGACGTGGTATTGTCTTGTTGGGGAAGAACATGGAAGAACGCATCTTTTGATTTGACATTGTTATCCTAAAATATCCTAACCTCCATGTGAGTCAGGCAGAGCGTCCTGTTGCCTTTCACCATCAGTGAGATGTTTGGTGAAGGCTGATGACAAGAATGGACCCGCACCTGAAGTATACTGAAGTGCGGTGAATTCATTGAACTCGGCAACCGACTAGCTCTTGACATGTCTGTCCATGTCTGTCCTTTTCTTTGCTTCTTATCTCTTTTATGGTCATTTGAGTCAGTCGGCTTCTGGGTTTGAGCCCTGCATAATGAGTACAATTTAAAAGTACTGAGGGAAACACATGGACACACCCCATCTCTGCCCATTTCTCCTTTCCAGTCTCTGTCGTGAATGGCTTTCGGACCCTCACCTGAGCATTTCCCATGGTCTTGCCGGGTAGCGCACATGCACTCGACCCTCCGGGGTCACTACCTGTTGATCCTAGCGAGTAGCCAGACTTGGTGGGGAAAATCCTGTGATGGGATGTCTTAGGGTGCCAGATTTCAAATGATTTCAACTAACGTCAACACGTTCGACAATGTTCGACACGTTCAAGACCTAACCGTCTAACCGTCATGTTGTCTCCCGGCATTTCACGCGTTCATCGAAGTGGTCACGTGGTCCTGTTTGTCGCCGCACGTCGGACCACACCTCGGCAGAGGACGCGATCACCACCAAGGACCGACCTCGTGGTATCAAGGCCAGGACCAGCGCAAAGCTCGTTGAGCTCCTCGGACCCCTTCCTGAAGAATCGATGCTCCAAACAAAGTCCAAAATGTCCAAAACAAAGCCCAAACCTTTCACATCCTTTCACCACATTTCATAATTTTCATAATCCCAATCCTGGTCAAAGGCTTCTGTCGCAAGGACCAGAAACAGCACCGTCCTGGCACTGATGGCACTGATGGCACTGATGGCACTGGTGGCACTGGTGGCACTGAGCTCACTTCCCCAAGCACAGTGCCATGGCCCAAACAGCCTTGATGCAGAGAGCCAAAGCCGGAGCGGCACCTCGATGCAGCAAGGTGGAAGCAGATGTGAACATGGGATGATTGGGATGGGAGTCATGGAAAATTATGGAAAGATTTAAAGGACATGGTGGAAGACAGAGTTAACATGAGTTGAGTTCTGTGAAAGAACTGTGTGTAACAAAGTTGTGTGACAGAGTTGTGTGTGAGAGAGGGCGGGCGGATGGGAGCAGACGGGAGTGCACAACAGAAAAACAAGAACCCCACACACAGAGACACACACACAAACGAAAATGTATTGACAGCCAAATGGGTGGACCTTGGATTGATCTGACTGTTCCAGTCGCTCCACCCTTTCTCATGCGACAGCCCGCTCCGCTGGGAGCTCCAACAGGCATGGCACACACTGAATGGTGCCAAATCTCGTTCGCCGTCGAACGCCATGGTGGAACTAGTGCTGCAACTTATTTCAATGGATGCCCTGGCCAAGCAATGACCTTGAGAAAAGGGATGCAAGTTGATGCAAAAAAATGCATCAACGTCCGCATCCTTCAACTACAAATCAACGTCCGCACTCTTCAACTGCAAACAACTTTGAACACAGAATTGTGACGCCTTTATTCCAGCGTGTCTCACTATGAACTTTGGATTTGGGTCAACTGAGCAGGTCTATCGTTTGCCACACTATTTGGAGCCAAAGAAGAAAGGAAGGCGTGTAAAATCGTGCAAGTGATCATCCAATGACATCTACTCGTGCTCTACCGAGGTTCAATTGATTTTAATTGCTCTGGCGTCAGCTCACTGGCATCCAGCACCTCACAGGTGGGAAGTGTTTTTCACGCGGGCCACTTCAATCATCAATCTTTGAAACCCAAAGGGCTGATCTGGGAAATCCAGGTGCCCGAACGTGGCTGCGAATTGCTTGCAAACCGTCATGCGTAATGCCGACGCTGGCAGCGCATTGAGAACGAATTTCAAGGCTCACATGTGAATGGAAGGCGCCACGCCCATGGAAGGGCACTCTTCTCGAAAATCAACTTCTCTGGCAAAGTTCGTTCATCACCTTCCCGGAAGAATGGTTCCCAATCGACTTCCACACTTTGGACATTGCATCTCTTTGTCTCTTCGCACATTGCATCTGCATCTGTGCGCATTGTATGATTTGGAATGGTTGGATGCCGTTCGATGTGTCGTTCGATGTGCCGTTCGATGTGCCGTTCGATGTGCCGTTCTGTGCGTTCAGATCTGGTCGCACTGAGATTCGTGGCCGTGGGGCGCGGCGAACTCAGAGAGTCGGCCAGGCGCCATGCCCATGGAAGGTCGCCCGGCCCTGCTGGATGGACAAAGTCCGGGCGCAGCTGTGCGGTCAGCAGACTTCGTTTTCGCTTCCGCACTGGTCCCAGTTTTAGGTCAGGACTCTCAGCCATGGACTAACTATACTAACTCTAATGATTCAGTAAATAGAACTAAACAAACACGAAACTAACTAGACTTCTGGAATCTTCTGGATCTGCATCTCAATTTCTGGGATTTGAACCTAGCCTGCGGGCGTTGACATGAACCTGAGGTTGCCAGGCACAAGCTGAGCAAGGGCACGGATTTTTTTCCGGGGGATGCAAATCCATTGGGGAGCCTGGGTGCATTCCTGGTGCTGCGATGTTATGCGGACTTTTAACAAGGAACTGGACGAAGAGTGGCTGCATCACGACTACTACGAAAAGCTATCACGTCATCTCGCGAACTCCAACCGCTGCCACACATCCTGTCCAGTAGAGATGCATACCACACATTGCAACAGATATTGCAACACCAGGCGTGAAATCAGGAAAACCTTGACTTTTGCAATCCTCAAAGGCTGTTGGGGCCTCTTGCTTCTATGAAATGTAGATCTTGGTTCCCTGGTTTCATGCTGCTTTATTGAATATATTGAATCAACTTGATTGGTCCGGTCATGTTTTTTCCATCAGCTTTGCTATCCCCTGGTATCCCCTGGCATCTGGTCCTCCAAGTCAATAAATTCATTGATGTCATAGTGGCTGGCTCCTTTGACCTGGATTCAGTGCAGCATCTGAGCTCGGCGAATTTTGGCGAGTTTGGTGAGTTCCAAGTGCCGCACGATGTGCATATGAGCATGCCCTCCAGCTTCCTGTTAGCAGGGAATGGCATCATCCAGTTTCCATCCTTCTTGTCAACGAATGAGTTCATTGAAGTGTGAGAAACTTGATTCAAGCTTGGAAGTGATGCAAGGAGGCGTGAACTACTACAGTACCTATATATATAGTGTGTATATATATATGTATATATATCATATATAGAGAGAGAGAGTGTGTGTGTGTGTGCGAATGTGCAGTACACATTCTCCTCTTAACCGAGCGTAAGTCTGTCAAGTCTAAGTGCCTTCAACGACTCCTTGATGCCCTTCAAGTACTCGCGATGGCCTAGCAGCTTGATGCAGCTTGATGCGTCCCAGGCAGTCCAACTAATACTAAGTCCGACTAAGTCCGACTAAGTCCCAGGCCAAGCTCGTCCTGATCTCCGACGTAGAAGTGGATGTTCTTCAGGTTTCGAAGTCCCTGCCACCGGTGTGGAGGTGTGGAGGTGTGGAGGTGTAAGGATCATTATAATCACTGACAATCAACATGATCAACATGCTCAAAGGATGTATACCCTGTACACTGATGTACACTGTACACCATGTTAAATGCTCAACATAACTCTAGAACCACCAATCCCTACCGCCTCGATCTCGCAGAATTGAGGCAGAAAACCCGTGATCAAGTTCAATGAGCCCTGGGCTGAATCTTTGAGCCGGCAGCACAGCTGAAATCAGCATGAATGATTGCAAACAATCATGAGATATGATGAGATATGATGAGATATGATGCGATATCATAATATGTATATATATATAAATAATAATAATAATAATAATAATGTTAATGATAATGATAATGATAATGATAATAATAATAATAATGATAAAATAATAATAATAATAATATAATCAACCTGCAATCTTGTCGGATCTCTTCTAACCTGTGAAATGTTGCCAGCGAAGCAATGTGGCAGTCTCGACCCTGGGTCTCGTACTGTGCGATCAGGTGCCTTGCTGGCGAGAGAGAGCAGCGCTGCAGAGCCTTGGTTGCTCTCACAGCCACGGATATGGCAGCTGATTATATATACATATATAATCCAATAGAAATCACCAGTTATAACCATAATTAATCACTATTAACCATCATTAATCACCAGTTGTAATAGTTTCTAAAATCTTAGATTCGGACTCATATGGCAGGTTTAGTGGCACAGCATGGCACAGCAATGCCAAGTTTCTTGAAGGGAATAAAAATGAAAAAACTGAGTACGGTTCCATGGCTCATTCCAACCATGTGAAATACGTTGCCTGCAGCTTTGCACAGTGCCAAAGCATGAGGCAGGGTGTAAAAGAGTGGTTTTCCGTTTAAGCACTTTGAACCACAGTCACCTCTACAAAAAGTCCCGAATAGATCAAAACAGACCGAAAGTCTTGACATCTTTGTGTCTTTGTGCTGCAAACTCTATTTCTGACGAAAACTCAATGAACAAAATTGAACGAGCCATAGCGAGTCACTAGCTGCACTACATTTACCATCATTGAAAATCATTTACTTTGAACTTCTTTCCGCAGAAGCTCTTCCAGATCTCAGGGTTCCAACTCATCGGTGCGAAAGGTGTGATGTCACGGTTGTGATCATCGAGCACCGCCTGAAAGGCATTTGGAGGCCGTTGAACTCAGGAATGTCAGGAATGTTAGGAATGTCAGGAATGCTGAAAGAGGAAAGCCAAGAATGTCTTTGTTGGCAAAGAGGCCGGCCAATTACAACACATGTCAGACATATCAATACATGGCCTGAAGAAACTGTTCCAACATGGTGACGCCAGCCCTGCACAGCAAGTGGGGAGCTATGTGGCTGAGCTAAATGCTGCTGCTGGGTACTGCTGAGTATGCTGAGTACTGTGCGGCTCAAAAAAGTCTGGTGAGTGACTGGTTCTCATTGGGACCAGCCTAGCACAGGACCAAAGGGACCAAAGAGGAAGGCCAAGGAACTTTCGATCCAAGTGTGTGGAGGGTTTGGGCTTTCAATGGCTTTCAATGGCTTTCATGGTCGTCAAAGTTCTGTAGTTTTTTTCCAGTGCCAGGAAGGGGATCCGAGTTATCGGCAGCTGCCATCTGTGTTCTTCTGCACGGAGGGCACGGAATAGCTTGGCCACGTGACCTCGGAGGTTGAAGAAATAGATGTCCCCATCAAACTGTAGAAATAGAAGAATAGAATTGTGTGTGGGGTGCCACGGTACAATCTGCTACAAGTAGATTCTAAGTAGATTCTAAGTAGATTCAAGTAGCATAGTTTACGATAGTCATCGATAGTCTACGTCCATCTTTGTCACAGGTCTATGGTCCATTTGTTGATCTCGATCTCAGGTGTTGACGCTGTTCACCTCTGGAAATCGCCAAGATCGTGGGCAACGGTGCCGGTGGTCTTGGCTCCTTGCACTCGGATCTTGGGGATTCCCCAAGGGGCCGCCATGGATGGGCCATGGCCAACCGACCACATGGGACCCCACCAAGGATGGGCCATGGCGGCCATGGCACCTGCGCACTGGGCGCAATGATCGCAAGATCCATCGAACCGGCTTGCAGGTCCACCTGAGATTGTCGGAGTAACTGGATGCAACTGAGAGCGGCAACACATTTAGTAACAAAACACACAAACAGTGAAGCAATGAGTACCGCAATGCAACGCAACGGGTAGACGCCTTCTTGACTGTCATGGCTGAGTATCGTCCCGACCTTTCGTCATCTTGACCTAAACAAACACGTGCCATACACGTCCTGTCCATTGTTTCCAAGCATGCTGCTTTTTAATGAAGTATGTATCGTATGGACCAGGAAGACCAGGCCCGCGTCAGATCCATTCTTTCACTGTCATGGCGACCAAATCTTCTCAAAGAGATTTTCAGGGTGCTTTTGGGCGGTGACATGGAGTAACAAATGGAGATCTTGAGATCTTGTGATTTTAGAATTGTTGCCGCAATGATTCCGAGGCAGTCTACATGACTCATAAGCAACTTCATTGAGCACATACTTAGGATTTCTGTTTTTCAGCGCTGTTTCTGCCTGTTGTCGCAGGCCACATGGCATGACCTTTGCTTTCAAGGTTGGAGCAGCCTCCGAAGAATGTTGAACTCCCTTGCAAAACTTCAAATGTTCTCATAGCGAATTTGTGCTCTCAATATCATCGTGAGCCCTAACTCCGCCTCCCGGCATTTAGAAGTATTGTTTGTCTTTGTCTAATTCGGTCCGGCTTTGGAATCATTTCAGCAGTTGCTGGTGACTTGTCAGTAACTTTCCATGTTGTCCTGACCGTCTCAAAGAAAGCTTTGCTGAGGAGACCTTCTGCCTTGATATTTTGTTTATCCTCTTGTTCTCCAAGAAGCGTCTTAACACTGAGGCGTGACAGGGTATGACTTTTCATCATGTTTCTCAGTGAAAATGCTGGCTGAGCATGTTGGATCCTGAACTTGCTTCCTTTATTCCTTTGATGATATGGTTTCTTGAGGAGAACGTTGGAATGTCTGTCCGGAATATATCGGAACCTCCTCTCATCCTGCTTTTCATTGGAACCATCTTCCTTTATCTTCCTTTCTTGGGTATGTCAGCCAACTCCTTGCTTACCAGAGAAAATGATCTACAACGCCTTGTTTCTAGATGTCGTGACGTGGTTTCAGTAGGAATGTGCCGTATGTGCTTGCAGAGAAGATTATGCACACAAGATTTGTGAGATGAACGTTGGTATGGTGGAAACGTTAGAGATTCAAATCAGGAATTGCCACACCATCTTCTCCAATAACCAGGTGGAAATGCAGACAGACAGTGGTTGCCAGCTGATGTTATTTGAGCATGCAGTCGCATTCATCCAAAGCAAAAAACTTGTGAAAACATGCGGGAACAATGAGAGTGATCAAACAAGAACCTCCAAGGGTCGTGTGTTTCATGAATACACACGTTGTTCGATTATGCCGCATGCCCCTTAAACATTCTGACGGCTTCATGACAACATTTGGAAAGAATTGAATGAATGGCAACAAAAATCCAAGAATAGCTCATTTGGAAAGAATGCTTAGACTATTTGTTTGAGCTTTATGAAGGATAAAAATGCTGGCGACTTTATGATAATGGTGTGGCGAAAGCTACTGTTGTTCCGAGACAGTATGTCTTGTACCCTTACGTTTCTGTAAGTTGCGTGGGGCGATGAAAAATGTGATATTTGAATATTTTGAATGTACCATCTGGTTATTTAACATAGCTATAGAAAATCACCATTTTTAATGGGAAAATCCACTATAAATGGCCATTTTCAATAGCTATATATATATAGCTATGTTAGTTTACCAGAGGGTATGTGAGTCATTTGAGCAATTTGCTGCACACTTTTAACATCGACTCATCGGACTCATCGCCCATCGAGCTCCTGAGTCACCCGACTCAATCTCGGACTTGCTCTTCGGCCTTCACGTTGGGCCTGCACAACAACTTGATGCACTCTTTAAAAAAAAAAGATACATGAGCAATTCACTGATTATCCGCGTAAAATCATGAAAGAGTCTTCTCTTTTCACTGGCCTTGTCGTAAGATGCTTGAACGAGTTCTTGTGTGGTGAGAGTCTTTGCTTTGCTGCCTCAGCAGGTCCAATGCAAACGATTTTTCTGCAAACACAGCAGCTGAATGTAAATGCAGAGTGCAGAGTGATTATCAACGCATCATGAATGATATGAATGAATCTTGAATCAAATATGAATGAAATATGGATGAAATATGGATGAAAGGATGTGAAAGGGTGAAAAATACACAGTGTAAGCCCACTGCTCTGCTTGACAGCCTCAGAAACAAGTCAAAGGGGCCATAGACTTGAACGCAAAGCCGCACATGTCGCACAGCCTCACAAAACCATGATAAACATTGATAAACTATGTATATCACAAATATATAGATATATAATATATAAGTATGTATATATATATAGATGTGTGTGTGTGTATGTATGTATGCGTGTGTGTGCATAATACATATAATAAGTTATATATGCACTTGGGGTCGAACATCGTACTTTGGATTGGTGAGAAAGTCATTCATGAAAGGTCCTGAGAAACACACTTGCCTTGAGTCGGTAATGAGCATGTAAAAAACAGTAAATGCCAGTAACTTGGAAAGAAGGACAACTTGCATCGTAGTAATCTTGCCTATGGTTTCTATCATGTTGGTTGATGTGAAGGCTCCAAATCATTCACCGATTTCGCTTTTGTTGATCATCTCTGATTCCTTCCAGTCCACTTCTTGCAAACCCATAAGTTCCATACGTCTCGTTTGCATTATCATTGGTCTTTTCTCTGATGCAGTCCTACGTCTGTCGGTACTCTGCCTTCATGCGCCACCTGCTCTCAAGGTGCTTGAGCTCTGTACAACAAGAGCAATGCACGCGGACAGCTCGGTACATGCTCACCGCAGGGCATGGCATCTATCATTGCCAGCTGCCAGCTTCATCGGCTTCACCTTGATGTACTCATCAAAGGAGAAGAGGTTTTCTGCTTTCAAAGCCTCACAGAATCATCAGAATCTCATAGAATCACACTTTTTAGAACCGAGCTGAGCCGATGCCACCAGCCATCACCAGCCTTTTGAGATCCATCTCCCAGAATCACGGACCATCTCCTGAGCAGCAGCGATCATCCCAGCGATCCCAAGATCTGAAGATCCTCTGTGAGACCCCGGCCCAGTGGCTTCCAATCTGTCGCAGCGACCCAACCTGGGACCGGCATGGACCGGCAACACTCAGTTTGATGCCGAGTGTCAAAGGATATCAAAGGATAAAGCCCTGTGGCAATTTGATGCCAAGAAAAAAAAATGATTCGGTAAACCTTGGAATCTCAGGCACTGGGCAAATCCTCAGGTCCTCACTGGCCATTCAGCTGTGGGCTTTTTTTGAGACCCCGAATCCGTACCAACCTGACGTTGCGTTGGTTTTGTCAGATCGCAAGGCCCGATTCAAATTTTCACTTCGCTGCGCAGAGTTGGGGTGCTGGCACTCCTCGCCGGAGTTCATCGGAGCTGTCGGGCCTTGGACAGGCAAGGTGGACAACATGTAGATACATGTAGAAGGTACATCAAAATTGTCAAATCGGTCTCAATCAGAAAGGGGAGTTCACCTGAATTCACAGTGAACTCACAGTGAACTCACAGTGAATTAGAAAGATGTCCGACACAAAGTCCGTCAAATAACAAATATTGGGCATCTGAGGTATCTGCGGGGCCATTTTTTAGCTCAAGCTGAAGACTGCTCGAGCCCCAAAGCTGCGCCACTGCGCCAGTCATGTAGGATTGACGCTAGGGAAACTGTTCATATAGAGTTTTAGGTGCAAGAAAAAGGTCACAATATATATATATATATGACAATATATCGCAATATTCAATAGGAGTTGGTGGAATCACGCATTGCAATTTTTGCAGGATGTAAAGCATGCGGCATCATTTGGCATCCGTGAATTCCCGTCTTCTGCGGGTTGCGGTTGGTTGCTCCACTGCCGTCAACGTGTGAGCTCTGCCCTTAGAGGGTTCAAAGCCGGTGTGCCAATGGCATCCGCAATTCGGTCCCAGCCATCCTCCTCACGGCCAGGGCGGATTTCGGTTCGAGTCAATGGAATAACTATCAAAAAAACGATGAATAACTATTAGTAACTATGACTATGAATAACGTGGAAATGCAGTCGTACTTTCCAGCAGAACATAGCAGAACCCCTCTCCGTGCCTTTGTCCCAGAGATTGGAGGGGCTTCAACCTGGCTGTGTCTGTGTGAGATGTGAGGAGTTTCTGCAAATAACAAGTCTCAAGGGTTGCAGAACAGTGCTTCTGGGCCTGCACAGGACCAGCAAGTTCAGCCTGGACGAGTGATTGCCAAAACTAACCAAAATTGATGAAAATTCCCTGGTCACAAGCAGAAAACTGATGAAAGTTGTGCGTTACAAAATGTTGGGCCTGAACGACTCCTTGCTCTCTCTTCGTTGGGTTCACCTGACCACCAAGTCTCAGCGATGGAATCAGGAAATCATGTGGAATCACTTTGATGGGCCTGCGCTGAGAGGGGTTGAGCCGAAAAGCTGGCCTGGTAGCATTAAGGCAAGGGTCCAACCTTATCAACCTTAATCCTTGAAATGTGATCACATGTGATATAATGATATATATATATATATATAATATATAGATATAGATATAGATATCTGATATTGTCTGATATGTGGTCATGTGACGACCCAAGCGTTTGGAAAATGCTTCGCTGTGGAACCTGATTGCGGAAGATCCCATCCGCTCTTGGAAGATCCACCTGTCACAGTGCACTTCGTATCACTTGTCCATGGGATTTAAAAAAAAAAACATGAAGGGAAACATGAAAGACCAACTGTCTCAAAAAGTTCCACATGGTGTTTTGTCATCGAGTGGAATCCTGTCATTGCACACAGGACGATAAGTCTGAGCACCCGAGCCTGAAAGAAACTAGTGTTCAAAGGCCTTCACAAAGAAGTCCAGCTCAAACGACAGCTCAAGCGCACACAGCACACACAAAGCTACAGGGTCTTTCGGCACTTGTCTTGCTGCGTTTTTTCCTCTGGCAAAGGGTCCAAGAGTTGCAAGCTCTAACACTCACGCAGGCTTGTCACTCGAAAATTACTAAATATTCCGACCTTATTGGTTTTTCCAAAGCCGGCAAATTGATTGCATGGATCTGGCTTTGGCACGGGAGTAAGCAATGCCCAAAGGTTGAAGGTGTTGTACCACCCTTGCATTGGCAATGCTGTCACCTAGACGCCTTAGCATTCTGCACGAAAGACTCCGTTTGGAGATCATTGCAAATAAGGGCGTGTTGTAGGTGCTCGTGCCAAAGTAAAAAGCCTTAAAAAGCCTACTAATAAAAAGTCTACAAAGACACGTTTGAGACACATTGGGCGTGATACTTTGCTGACAGAAGACCTACATCGCCGCGCAATCCATACAAAGGCACTAGGTTCAAACAGCAAAGCACTCATGTCCTGCCCAACTAGCAGACCGAGCAGATCAACTGGCAACTAGCCGCAACTAGCCAACTAGCAGTCCTCACAGTGTGTCACAAGATTTCACAAGATGTCACAAGTCCTCGCACACGTCTTGACCCAAATCGTGGTTGCACAAAGGGCATCGAAGGCGCCTAAGAAACCAGTCTTTCACACATCTCTGATGGAACCGGTGGCCGCATGGTAGTCGCACCTCTAAACGACGCCGGGCGTCCATATCGTCATGACAAATCGAACATGTCTCCAGTGGAGCAGGCGCTGTCACTTCTTGGAGAAGGAGATCAATGGCTCTGCTTTTCTGCTGATGCTTCAAGGATGCCTTGAACACCGAAATTTGAAGCTCATCTGGCTCTGGGTTGATCATTAGTTCTACCTGCCTCACCCTCCGGAACTCTCGCAACATGTCCTTCGCATTTGTGACACCATTCACCTCTACGACGGCTTGACCAAGTTCAAGGGCATTCAGTCCAGTTGTATTCCAGCGGGAAGCGGCAGAAGAGCTCTTGATGCTAACAATTACAAGTCCTCTCATTGAGGACGCTCCAGCAAGAATCAACCCAAATGGTTCGTCCCCCTGGCAGTCTAGCACCACCTTGAACAATGCGTCAGCTGCGTCAGGCTCAGGCTGAACCCTGGCATTCTGTTTCTGCCGGCGAAATGCCCCTATGCAGCCTATGCACGCCATGGCTCCGGCACGTTCTCGGATTTCTCGGGCTGAACCTATGAGCTCTGAGCTATCTTACGGTATTCAGGCATGCAAATATATGCAAATATATGCAAATAATCAGATGATATCAATTGATATCAGATGTATTCAGTTGAAGTTCTGCAAAATGTCTAGCATTGCACAATTGCAGACGCTTGGCAGACGCTGCAATCACAAACACCAACGGTCACCAACGAATGCCAGCTCTTCAGTACCCAGGCCTGGACTGCCACATTGGGTCCATCCAAGGATCCTGAAAAACTACTGTGGAACATTATGGCACCCGAAATTGTGCTGGCTGCAAGACCATGCAAGACCCATGGACGCAGCATGACGCAGCATGATGCAGCAAATCAGTAAACACTGAAGTCAACACTCAAAAAACACTCTTCAGTTCCATCATGTTCCATCAGTTCCATCTGTCCGCTGTTCACTTCCTGGCCTGTCCCCCTGGCATTCCAAGGTGAGTAGGTGAGCCTGGCATTCCAAGGTGAGTAGGCGAGCCTCAGATCTGGCGCTTGGGAGCGGTACGGGTCAAACCCGTTGAAGCCGTTGAAGCCGTTGAGATTTTCAGTTGAGATCCAGGCCGAGCCCTGGGTGCAACGGGTAGGGATTCAACTGTCCAGGCGGCCTCGGCTGAAACGAATCTGTGAAGCGAGCAGTGCATGCCATGGTGCCATGCTGCCATCATGGCGCTTCTGTCGATGCTTTTTCCGAAGCTCTCGGGGCAAACTTGGACACTGAAATCCGATTTCAATTGCGTCCAGGAGATCTTCAAATTTGTCTGGCATTTGCAGCGCCTAATGCGCACCTGAGTTGGACAGAAAGGGATATCTAATATAAAGTATTAAAATGTATTAAATAATATTATTATGATGTATTCTGTAGGTATGTATCAGTCATCTCTCTCTCTCTCTCGCTCAGGCGTGAGTGACTGTCCGCAGCCGTCCTATGAGGACGCCCCAGTCGTCTATGGCTATCTGGCTATCTGTCTTTCTATCCATCAATCCATCGATTGACTATCTATTGCGTATTTCCTCCATCTACTGTGTTTCTCTATGTCACTATGTTTATCTACTTTTCCCCCCGAAGTACACCAAGCGATTCACAAACCAGAAACAATCATGTTGGGATCATTCCCTTTACCATGGATTCGTCGATGGCAAGGTATCATTTACCCAAATTGATGCATTTGGTTTTCGTCCGCTACGCACTCATATATCATCATATGTCTATGTTTTCTCTAGATGTATGATGTGTGTGCGTGTATCTGCGATCATAGATTCGCGATTAAGTTCAGTGTGGCACTTTCTACCCACTCAGTTTTCGCATGTTTCACAAATTCGTTGCAAGTGGTGGAATGATGTAGAAACCATGTGGAAATCATGTGGAATCGGGATTTTCCTCCACCTGCCTCCGATCCTGCCAACGGCAATCTGCAAAAATTGCAGGATCGATTGGATCCCCAAGTTGTCCTTCCAGCACTTAGCCGCCTTAGCCGCCTTAGCCGCCTTAGCCGCCTTAGGCGCCTTAGGCGACTTAGCAGAGCCCAAGTCGCAGGTTTCAGATTGTGCTGGAAACCCTGGCTATCTGCGGCATTGGAAGGAAACATGCAAAAATGTGGGGATGCCCCAACTTCTATGACTTCCATGAAGTTTAGGAAGACATCCGAGTTCCAGAACTAAAGTACCTTTGTGTTCAGCACCTTTGTATCTGGAAAAATGGAAAAGTGGCCCAGCATGGGTTTGCCCTGTGAAGATGCAAACTGTACAAGTGGGGCCACAGCATTTCAAATTCAAGGAAGCGGCAAGCAATACATAAAGCATGCCCTTCATCTGATCCGCACTCAACTAATTAATTACACACCTCAGTTGGCGTTCTTGCCATACCATCCATACATATCCATACCGTCCATACCATCCCTACCTCGCTTCGCACACCAGTCACACACAGGTCAGTATCCGGCGCGCGCGTGCATGCCTCAGCACAGTCTAATGCACAAGCTGATTACATAGGATGCCATCCCTGTGGGAAGGGGAACTATAAGGCAGTAAAGGTAGAAACACGAGGCGAGCGGGACAACTGCAAACAGCTCGGTTGAAGGATAACTGTGACAGAGATCCCCGCACTATTCTGTAATATTCGGCCAAATCCTGCAAAATCAAATGTTCTGAACATTAATAGCGTAGCACAAAGGATATTGAAACGTTGCAGATGCAAACAGCTCAGTCACAGACGGGCTCGTGCTGCCTCAACGTCCTGCTCATAGAGAGGCCAGTCCAATTCTGGATCCATGCAGGTGATGTCCTGGATCAAACTGTCTTGGAAGAAACCTTGGCATATCTTTGCACACACTTGGTCTGTAACTCAATCTTGTTAGCCATCTAATTAAGGCATATTAAGGCTTAAAGCTCTTCAAGGCCATATCTCAAGCATTCTCAAGCCGTGGTAAGCTCTGGAAGGCGATTGAGGACTTTCAGGGTACGTGGTTCACTTCCACAACTTTGCATCGTCAGCACACCTCCGGGTCCGGGAGCGGTTCAGGGGGGAAGTTGTCGAAGTGAGATGCGTCAGCCGCATTTTTGCATCTCGGTTGGAATGGAGGTGTCATGGCCTCATCAGTGCTTCAAGTGCTTCAACACCGACCTTCGCCCCACTGAGTCCCGCTGAGTCCCGCTGTGCACCAACAAATTCTTCACATGTCAAGAATTGACTCTAAGCAGAAGTGGGTGGTGTGTTGCATTTAAGGGTGTTTAGGACCACGACAAGGCCGAGCAATTCCCACGCCTGAAGCTCACTGAAGTTGAGGCCGCTGAAGAACTCTTCCAAGCGGCACTCGAAGAGAGAGATGCGACGCTCCACTGGGCACAGCACCTGCGCGTCCAACTGATCCAAGTGATCCAACTGATCCATTGAGGTCCGTTCAAGTCCGTTGAGGTCCATTGATCCATCCCTGTTCCAAAGGCAGGGCACAGGGCTCACGAATTGAGTGGAAACCCTCGGAAAGAAAAAGCATCCAGCAATTCCCAGCCCGTCTCCGATCAAGAAGCCAAGAAGCCAGGATGCGTTTAGTGTTTAGAAAATGGTCTAAAGATGCCTAAAGGATCCTAAAGGCCTAAATAGCATATTCAAGAAAGGAATTTGACCACCAGAATCCACCAGGGTCCAGCCTTCGAGATAAACTGGGCAGCTGCCAGGCACTCCTTTGGATCTGCTCCAAGTTCCCGCTGCTTCTTTTGCATTCGCGTGAGACGATGAGGCAAATTTGTCCCCTGACAAGGTATTTTAAAAAGGATGATGGAAAAATATGGAAAATATGACGAAAAATCATCCTGGGGGTCACTTTCACAACTGTTGTGACTTTGAAAAACTACATCGCCATCGGCCACTCACATCACCTTTGCCAAATAGATCTCATAGGATCTCTGATCTTATGCAACTGAGGTTCGTTGACGATCTGCGTCTTGAGCTCCTGTTCCGGGCGACATTGGGTGACATTGGGTGTGAGCCAACACCGGAAAAAAGGCACTGCTGTGGCCCACCTGGAAGGCACGACGTCGATCTTGCGCCTGAGAGAAAAAGGGCAGGCTGCCGGAAAGACATTCGTACCTCAGCTGCTCAGCTGAGCTCAGCTCCGATTGATTCACTGCACGACAAATTGTCAAGTTCCACCCAGAAATGCATCCGAGTAGCGAGATGATACCCAGGGCCCAAATATCTGATGCAGCGCAGGCCCTGCCAAGGAACATCTCCTAAGATCAAGAGAAGGATGCTGCAAAACCCACGGACAATAAACTTGCAAACTCAAACTCCAGCAACTTTAAGTTTTCAAGATTTTTTAAGCATTCATTCCAAATGCATCCTTCTGCTAGTCGAATTTTGCCCAAGATGCAGGTGCCATGTATTGTGGAGTCCCGCATGCCGTGCGCAAGCCGTCGCGGCCTGCCAAATCAGCTAGATGGTCAATCTAAGTCAGCCAAATCTGCTGCCTGCCGAGATCGGCGCCTGGTTTCTCTTGGAATGGGACACCCTGATAGGTGCTGTCATAGTCGATCTGCTGAATATACTCCTGACATGGCAAGGATGGCGAGAAACCTCTTGGGAAGACATGGGAAATCATGGGAACCAATGACCCCTGTCTGAATCCTTTGATTTGGAATCCTTACCAAGTCTAGAGACGGTTCCTCAAATTGTTCTGCTACCTCTACGATGGTCCTCGAAATCCACTGGTGTGCAAAGACCAAAGTCCAAGAGCTTCAAATGCCCTTGTGCGGTCAGCACCAAATTGTCAGGCTTCAGGTCACCTGACAACTCAGACATGAGCCCGCACGGATTTCATATCCACCCAAAAACCACAAAAACCCAATGAAATAGTCAACTCATGTCAACTCATGTCAACTCATGTCAACTTCAATAAGCCAAACAAAATGATTTGCCCCTGATCTCGACGAAGCGGCGGTGGATGAAGCCAGATTGATGGATGGCATCGATCGCCTGAACCAGCTCTGCCATATAAAACTTGGTTTCGTAGATGGAGAGTTTATTCTTCTTCTCCATGTAGGCAAAAAAATCGCCACCTTGCAGCATCCGATGAGATTCCACATGCTTCCATCATATTTCCACCATGTTATGTTCCACCGCTCAACCAGCCTTGCATGAACTCCATGACCAGGTACAAATTCCCGGAATCTTGGAAGGTGCACAGGAGATCAGTAAACCAAAGGCCAAAACCCTTGGCCATCGCGTCTCGTTCGTTGTATGCCTCGATCCCACTTGATCCCCCAATGCCAAGCTAATCTCTTTGCTAGATTGCTACATTCTGTCAGATTCACGCCACCAACCTCTCTAAACATTGGAACATTGCTAGAGAAGGTATAACAGTCAGAGTTCTTTCATGTCATTTCCACGTTTCAGCCTCACAATATCCTCACAATATCTCAGAACACGTTGGCTCTATATATCAGTTTTGACATGTTGTGACAGGCCTTCATCCGATTCTTGTTGCGGAAGTGGTCCTTCCTGATCTGCTTCAAGGCATAGACTTCCTCTGTCCCCTGACGTCGAACCAAGTGCACCACGCCAAACGAACCTTTGCCCAAGACCTTCAAACTGGTGAAGTCCTCCCAGCTTGAGACGCTTGAGACGCCGCAAAAATTGCAGGGGCCATGGCATGCCGCATGCCATGGCCATTGGACCATGTTAACAATGTTAACTGCATCCGACATCAAAATCTCAAAATATGTGCTGCACAAGACATATGACGGCTGCGCGGCTGCGGGTCCTTTATCGACCACATCCTGTCACAAGTTCGCAAGATTTCGCAAGTCTCAGCCTATGAGATGTATGATGATGGATGCCAATAATGTGCAATAATGTGCAATACAGTAATGTGCATACAGTGTGATTTGCTTTGAATCACACGGCATGAGCTCCCTGTGTCTTGGAAAGGCTTACAGTGTCTGATTCTGATGTCAAGCCATATTGAGCCTCAAATATGCTCCCTTGCGTTGTTTCTCTGTTTGAATGTTCGCATCGCGAGCTCGTTGCCAATCTTGAGGATGCTCTTTGCTGTCTTCAACTTGTCCTCGAACAGAACAGATTGGAGAAGCAACCCGAACTGCATGGACTTGCACAGTTCTTCTTTTGATCAGCATCACACACCCGAAAAGGCACAAAAGGCACAAAAGGCATGACAAATGTTGCGAAGATCTTGAAGATCATGCGAAAAACATCGAAAAACTCTGCTGCCGAAGAGGCGTGCTTTGGCCTTCAGATTCTCCTCTGCTTTTGCCTCCAGAGCCAGCTCTTCATCTAAGCGATCTTTCAGCTGCTGATGCCTGGAAATCCAACTGAAATTCCCATCCCTTTTTTGCATGACATGAACTGCCAAGTCTGAAATAACCGGTCATTTCATGAAAGATGGACACCTCATGAAGCCCGACCATCCCAACCAATTCCCAACCAATTCCCAACCAATTCCCAACCAATTCCCAACATATCCCAACCTATCGAAGAACTTCTTCCGTGCTTCTTTTTTCTCCTGCATTGCACGAGAAACGTGCTGCTGAAGATGCTGAAGCTCATTTTCTACGCCTGCTCTCGAAGGCGCTGGGAGTCCAGACCTTGGATGCAACGATTCAGCATCTTCAGCATCCCAAGGCGTGCTTGAAAAATCTCTGCATGGATAACCATCATGGATAAGCTTTAAAATGGTAAAATGGTAAACCCAAGGTTGTGCAAAGGCAACATTAAGGATCTAATTTGAGAAGAGAGAAGCAAGAGGACCAGTAGAAACAGCAGAATGTCAAAGGCAAAGCGCAGTGTAGGAATGACAAACAGTTGATAAAAGATGATAAAATGTTCCCATCTTGCGCCCTTCCGTACTTGGTCTTGTCAAGCTACTTTCGTCTGTGCGCCCGGGAATAGGCAACGAGGATGGGCTGGACATTTGCGTTGAGCAACTAAACTCTGAGCATCAAATGCTATGGAGTTATCATAATTTATCCTTCCTTCAGGCAGCCACCAATATCAATACACAAACATCAACATCAAATCGTTTAAATCCATACTCTGCCTAATATGGATCGAGTTGCTCCCCTGGGTTTTTTGACAAGCATAGCCAGCATAGCTCCCATGTCTCAAATGAGTGATTATTTCAACATATTTCAACCATCATTTAATGGTCATGGCTCAAAGGTTTTAAAATCCATTCCATGGCTGAGAGATGCTGAGAGCTCTGAGCTTCGGCGCAGGGAAAAAGACCCCAGCTGTGGAAGCTGCGATGCATTTGACCACGTTCCAGCTCCAGTTGGGCCTGGAACATCCAGGGCCCCAATTCACCGTAACAGTTAGCCCCGTCGAGGTGGTCCAATAAAGCAAAATCAACGTGGGCTGGCCGTGCCTGAGAAACTCTCGTGAGATGATGAGCGAGGGACAGCCTGCAGGAGCCAATGAATCCAATGCATCCAATGACGTCAATCGCTGCATCAGACCTGCCTGCATTGAGAAACTGCCTCCAGGCTGCATTGGGTGCAGGTCCTGGTCGCATCCCGAATTATCTCTCCATTGCTGTGTCCGTGCCAGCCGTGCCGGCCGTGCCCGCGTCTGTTTCTGAACGACTCAAGTCATGGATGCGCTCTGTGCTGAAGTCCTCCTGCATTGGGAGGGGGCTGTAGCGAAAAGACCTGATGCGTCTGGACAACACGCGGACAACTGGAAGAGAAACTCCAAAGTCTTCTCCTTCCAGTTGTGCATAGTTTTGCAAGATGTACATCGTCATCATATGTCATCATCATCAATGTCTTCTCTTGTCATTAAGGCCACCACTCTTGGTGCAACTGTGGCAGTCCAGAGCCCTGGCAGCCATGGTGAGATGCTGTTTACCGCTCCATAGGCACATGGCACAACATCACCGTAACACCGCAGTAACACCGCCGTCAAACCGCGCCTGTCCGATCTGAGGGAACAGCCAAAGCCCATTTTGCGCAGGGCCTGGTGGCCCTGATGGCCCTTGTGGCCCTGGTGGTGCCTGCGACAGTAGTGATCTTGGCGAACGCTCAAAAGCTCTGCAGCCTCAACTCAGGTTGCACCGGGCCTTCCCAGGGAGATCTTGATCAAAAAAAGTCTCCTTCACGTTGCCGTTGCCATTGATGTGGCCATGCCCTGCCTGTCACACGCAGCTTGCATGAGTAGGCTAAATTCAAATTGAATCTGATTTCTGGAGATGTCCACTAGTCCAAAACTAGTCTCCCACTTGACTCCTTCTTCCTTCCACGTCCGGCCTTTAGCATGGGGTCGGATTTCTTTGGCCTTAGGCACCAAACAACATCAAAGAACTTCCCCTCAGCCAGAGCCAGACTTGCGAAACCGGGCCAATGTGACTCAATGCATCGCACAGCTTCCTTTTCACGCGAACTACACTCGAAAAGGTATGAAAAGGTCAGTGAAAGGTCACTTTGCCTTCGAAAAAACATTCCTGGCATCGAAGAGAGGCTTAGCCTCTGGGTTTTTGCTCGCGGCCTCGGGGGCTTCGTCCAACGCGGACATGGAGTCAGGCTCCAAACCTGGCGCTGCGTTTGTTGCAGGCTGTCACAGGTTGGGATAAAGCTAAGACTATCTAAGACTGTTAGGATGACATATATGACATCAATGAATGTACAAGGCAGACATATTATACCGTGTATATATATATGTACATATATATATATATATCATGTATGTTGAGGGTGACAGCTTCGTCTCTTTTCTGCATCTCAGAATGTTGGATAACCTAAGCACAGGTACGGTAAGATCACATATTGGATCAACTGAACAGTTGTTCTGAAGCCATCTGCAACGTGTCCATGTTGGCCTCTCGTTGTTCCTGGTGGCTTCATGAAGTCCATCATCTGGACGTTCATCTCCGACCCCCACTCTGCCTTGGATGTTGTCGTTGCCGGATGTTGCCAGGGTCGCCTTTTTCGTCCATCTGGATCCATCGTAGGTCCAAACTTCTTGGGGTAAACCATGGCAAACCATCCCATCATCCATCATCATCCCCTTTGGAATTCGGTCGAATGGTCAAGGGGTACCATGTTTACAGTGCTAAAATGGTTCGCTCAACCCCTGTCAGCACATAGAATGGCACTCCTTCCGGATTCAAACAACCAAATGAGGCCTCTATAGAATGGTGGCGCCTGACACTGTGAACACGCATATCACCAAAACCTATGTTAAAATGGTAGCTGTTTGGGTGGTTAATCCCTACCATTCTGTAGAGGGGGTTGGCAAACCCTCACATGGCAAACCCTCACGTGGCAAACCCTCTTATCAAATTGTATCAATCGAAACTGTACGAGTACCTTCGGAACTCAAAAGGAACCGGATCTTGATGAAAGTATGTGAAAGAACTTCAATGCTGGAGAGTGACGAAGCGCTCCACCGGGCTCTTTTCTGAGTCTTTGGACACCCTGGGCATATCCACGTCTACGTCATCGTAGTTCTCCGTAGAGCCAAGGCCGTCTCCAGCGGCACAGTCATCCTGCTTCAAACTGTCACAATGTTCAAGGATCATAGGTTCGTATAGGAATATATATGAATATATCATATATGTTTATATACTTCATATATACATATGTTCATACGATCCCCTGTGATGTTGGATTTGTTCGATCATTTATAATGTCTCCATGGCCCTAATATGCGCAAAAACCTCCAAAATAAGGTCCAACCTTGGATGCCTCCTGACTTCCGATACGAGTACCATGCCTGACAACGTTGTTGGCAGTATGCCAAGTTCTTTTCGGTTCTTTGGCCTGGCATTTTTTCAAAAGGTGTCTCTGCAGGCGTCCGACTTGAAAACGCTCGTCACTATGAATCACCCACTGCGAGGCCTACGATTGCGAGGCACTCCTTGGAGAAGGACAGGCTGTTGCATGGACATGCTGTTGCATGCTGTCCCCTTTATCCGTTCACAAAGAATTAACGAGAATGAACGATAATTAACCAACTGTTGAAGTGGCCAAGTCTCTTTGTTGCACGTCTGCTCGCATGGAGGCACCACTCGTTGCCCGGTCTTTGGGTCATACACCGCTTCTCCTTTGTCCCGGATCAGCCTGGCAGCCTGGCTCAGGACCCTGAGGACTTTGTCCAGTCCTGCTATGCTACGATTTGCTGTGCCTTCAATAGTTTCAGAACCTTCATCTGCATTCTTCATTCATTGTTGCCTAATACATGCCACTAAAATAATCCATAATGTCTATAAGTCTATAATAGCAGGTCCACCAAGGGCCACCTCTGCATCCCATGGGAACGCTGTGCCAGCAATTGCCGCCAGAAGGGCTCCTTCGCAGAATCTCAGATGCACCGATGCCGTGCCATTCATTTCGCTGCATTTGAAGCAGCGACGCCCTGATTTCACGGCTGAGGCGTCCCACCTCCTCGTCCTTGTCTCGCGCTCACAAAGTTCACGCTCGGCCTACAGGTCGGGAATCGATTCTTTATGGCTGCCCACTGATGCAGGGCCACCCGTCGTTTGCTAAGTCATTTGTTATTGCTGTTTGGAAGCCAATCTGCCTGTGAAGCCATAGTAGGCTCAGAAGGAGCCACTGCAAAGCCCGCCGGTGTCTCACTACCATCGGCATTGCGGCAGAGACCAACAAATAAGTCCGGCTTTTTTGACGCAGTCTGGCTGCGTTGCATCCAACGTAATTTCTGCTGTTGCCTTTGTTGTCACATTGTCAGATATTGTCAGCCTTATTGTTGAAAAATGGGTACGCATGGGCTCCTCTAGGTATCCAAATTGAGACGCGTGCAGAATATTCTAGATACGAGTAGATTGGTGCTCGTCACATGTCCTTTAGTGTGAGGTATTCCTCGGAAAACTGAAGCCAAGAGGCTTTGCATGGACTGAGATGGAGTCAGTGAATCTCCAGAAACAGGACGTAGCAAGCGATCATGTTGCAGCCAGCAAGACACAACCGCCATGGCCATAGCCCTTTGTATGAGCGCTGTTGCTTAGGGTTCCCTGCCGGTGTGCTCCTGCTCGTTGCTTTCCAGCCTGGCCACACTCGAGCCGCAAACAGTGACCAAAAAAATAGCTATTTGAATATTTATAAATAAGATAAGGTTCAAAAAATGATGAACACCCGGACCATAGTGGCAATGCTCGAAAGTACTCCAAAGTATTAAATATATTAGTGTCAATATTTCAAGTTATATGCACACACATGATTGCAAGAATAAAGATGTGGCAAGTTATCCTCCTAGTGCTGTGTCATCTTGCCTCAACGTCTGTTCTGGACAGCTGCGATACAGAACGTGCCACTCCATCCCGCTTTGGCCTCGAGAGTGGTGGCACAGTGGCATCAGGCCATCGTAGTTCAGCGAGCTGATTCAGTGATTGTCAGTGATTACCCATTTATAGTGGATTTTCCCATTAAAAATGGTGATTTTCCATTGTTATGTTAGTTTACCAGTGATTCTCAGTGATTCAGTCAGCATCGCAGCCGTCTTTGAATCAAAATGCTGGCTGCTGGCAGTCTTTGCCGCTGTCCCAATCGATCCGATAGATCTCATATGATCGAAAGGCTGACCATCCCAAAGGAGTTCGGCCACTGCAAGGCACGACGTTGGCACCAGTTGCACTCAAAGACCGTCTTCGAGACATTAGAAAATCATAGAAAATCATCTAAAATGTATCTACAATGCATCTAAAATCAATTCCAATCCACTCAGGTTGCTTCATCCCTGCCCTCTCACATTCCAGCAATGCCGCTGATAGCTAGCGTCTCAACTTCCTCCGTGTTTTGAGACAGGAGTCACAGACAGTCACGGTGCCAGTCAATCACAAGATACAAAAAGCTGCCCCTGCAGACTGTCAAAACGTTGGATGTGACTGGCTGTCAACATAGCCTCCGGCCTTGGGCATGAGGAAGGTGGTCTTGCCTGGATAAATGCCACTCATTCTCAGCTCTTGCCCCTGCTGGGGACTCACCTTTGAAGGCACGCCAGCCACAGTATCAATTATGATCAATTCACAAGACCCGCAGATATGGACCAACTCCTGAGGTTTGTCGTTTGTCGAAGGACCGCACGTAGAATTAGCTAGGGGAAATTGAAACTGATGGAGTATGATGGAGTCTCATAGTACAAACGAAGCAACAGAACCGACCTGTTTGTAGTATGCCATCCGCAAGGTTGCTCCTTGAAATATCCCTGCTTCCTGCACGGTCCTCACCACCAATCTGGAAATCTCTTCACACGGATGTCGATACTGTTTCTCAATACTTGTCGTATCTTGTCACATCCTGTTTTGAGCTTTGTGGTCCAGTCCTTCGCTCGGAGGTTTCCACGAGGTCCTCCGTCTTATCTTCCAACTTCAGCTGAACCCCGTTGGCCCAAGACGGGCGAGGGTGCTTTTCCTGGCAGGTTTTCTGTTCAGCGCAGCTTTGCGGAACCATTGGAAGGAAGAAACATGAAGAAACACAGTAATTGCTGCTGATGTATGCTGCGTTGCAGCTAAAAGTCTCGTGCTTTCTTCACCAGGTCCCGAACCTTTGCGCACAGGAAAGCCCACGATTGCTTCTGTGCAAAGCATGATCTTTAGAGAACGAAGTGCAAAGTGCAACGAAGTGCAATGTGCCAACGGTGATTTCGTGTTGTGTTCCCCGGCAAGCTCTTCTTTGCCAACCTGCACAGGTGGACAAGTAAAACGAGTAAAACCCTTGGTGCTTCTCCGGTTTGCCAGGCCTCGAGGTCGAAAGCTCCGCTTCGGGACTGAATGGTCACCTCCAAAAGAGAGCGCCAAAAAAAGCGCAGACTGCGCAGACTTGTTTACGACAATATTCACTTCTTCCAATTTTACGTAGTTTTTACGTCTTTCCTTTAGCTCGTTTTGCCTGCCGACATGAGCACATCGGCACCTTCATCGTTACAGGCTTTGCTTTTGACCTGTTTCTAAAGACCTCAGTGCAAGAATGAGGACACCCCGAAAGCAAACACAAACAGATTTTCGCTCATGGTGCGAAGTCATTGTTTGCAAGGTACTTTACCAGGTACTTTCATGTTTAGGGCGTCGGCAACCAGGCAGCAGCACCAGGGAGCGGCGCCGGAGAATGAAAAGGTGAAGCTTAGAACGGCTGCAGAAGCACAAAGTGTACAAATGCGCACAGGACTTCAAAACTAACCGTCGAACCGTCTAAATCTTCTATGTGTGTCTTAATATGTCTTAATATATTTTCCTGGGATGTGTTCAAGATTGTTCAAGTCTTAAATGAAGCACGAGAGTGGCTTGAATCGGTTTGACAAAAAATACCGGAGCACCATGGAGCACCCAAGCCCTACAATTTCTGCAATGACCATTTCACAGGGCATGGCGGGGCCTACACCACCAAAGCCAACAGCATCCCAAAAGTACAACCTGCCGGTGGGCTCATTGGAAGGGCACTGACTTCGGCATCTCTCAGCACTGCCGAATCACAAGTCGAGTCGGGTCACTGAGGGACTGGCTCCCATGGCCACCAGGGCATAGTACATCCACTGATTGGACTCAACTACTTCTGTAACATCACCTCAATGCATGGATATGCATGGCAACATATGGCAACAATGTGATGGTTTTGAAGTCAGATCTTCAAGCTCTCGATTTTGCTAAGCTCACCACTGACAATGTTGGGACTTTCCTCCTCCTGTCTCACAGTGGCTAAGCCAAATGCTCAAGAATGCCATGCGATGACCACCAGACGTCCTGCGCCCGTGCTTTGGACGATGACAGCGCAAAGCCATCTGCAAACTCGTCTTCAGACACCTCGAATGAGAGGTTGTTCCAATGCCTTGCAAGACCACTGGCAAATACTGGCAACTAGAGCTCTGCCGTTGGAGATAGTCAAACACATGAAAGGACTGTGAGATACCCTGATCATATCTAAGCATAATGGATACATGTGGATCACCCCAATCTGCTCCAAGATTGCGGCATAGCCATCCCGAGAAGAGTCCAAGTACCTGCAACTTCAGCGATGCACATCGCGACAAATGGCAAGATTATGCAACATTTGAAAAGCTGAAAGCTGACGATGTGGTCTCATCGTAGCAATGGAACTGGACTCTGCCAGCGATAGACTTTGGGATGGACAGCGGTGAATCATTTCATTCGCCATTTCTCCGGCATTCTCCGGCTCACGCAAATCCAGGCTGCCACTCTTCCCCCACCTGAGCAATGAGATGGGGCTGGACGCGTCCAACCGTCCAATGAGTCCAAATGGATACAAGTTTCAGGTCAAATGCTGAGCTTCTGTCCACAGCAGATGAGTTGCCAATAAAGCTGGCCCAGACCTGTTGTCTTCACTTCTTGCAGTATCCAAGGGTGCTAAGTCCACTTCTCGGAAGACTATTCACTATTCATCATACAAGATCATACAAGGATTATCTAACTCACATTAGATATGTCTATCGATTATCTGTCTATCCATACCTTATTTTGAAATCATAGTATCTGCCCAGCAGTCCTACTCTGTCGATGCTCACGACACGAGGATTTTGAGGCACCCTACCTGCGGCCACGCGGACCTCACTGAACTCCAGATTCCACCGATATCACCCAGGCACTGGAACGGGATCTGTCAGGTACTCAGGGTACCCAGATGAGCACCAGGCTACCCATAACATAGCCATAACATAGCCATAACATAGCCATAACATAGCCATAACCACTGAGAATGGAGCCACGCCACCCCCTTCTCTCCACCATACGGCTGGGCCAAAGCCGTCCAGGCCTTGCAACATCAACAAATATAACAAATGTGATGACTTCAATATACGAAACAATGCTTGGTTCGTTCCGAAATCTGCACAAAGACACGGAAAGACACGGAAAGACACAGCAGCATCCCGCCTCTGTGGCGTTGTCATAATGCGATGTTGCCTCAAGAAAGGTCTGATAGTTGTCTGCTGAAGGGACGCAAATCAATGCTCAAAATTTTTATACTGTATTCATCACCTTTCATCAACTCCGTCCACCTCTCTACCGCACCTACCACACCTACCAGACCGCTTTGTCTCGATACCGACTGCCGAAAACATCTGAAAACATTCTGAGGCGTCTAGCCCAGTGACTCCAGACTTCGACCTGGTCACGGTCGATTCAATGCTTGGGGAGACAGGGCACAAGGGTCACAAGCCTCGCCTGCCATCGGGCTGCAGCCTTATTGTACTCACTGCAGCCCACCTTGGAGCATCACTCAGAGACTCAGCCTGCAACGAAGCTCCAACCAGTTGTGCACGGAGCTGAGTTGCCAGCTGGCGGAAAGCTGCATTCCAGAACTCTCTCAAAAGTATAAGCCTCAGCACAGCTGATGCCGCGAAAGACGCGACCTTGTTTGGCATAATTTGGCATAGCATCATAGATAGCATAGTACCCTTGAAGAAAGCTTGCGTTGACTGTGCACCAAGAGGATCCTAGAGGTGCAGCCGCTTGAGGCGTCCACAATGGTTACCCTGGCGGATGTGTTTCACGCAACAGCTGCAGTGACTTTGATTTCCACTGCTGTGGCCGCGCCCGGAACACCCTTCAAAAATCCAGTAAATCCAGGCCTGTCCTCAAAGGAGGTAATGAAAATAATGAAACACATAAAACATCATAAAACACATGAAACTACCCACAGGTCACACAAGATAAAACACACAAGAATCAGGAAGAATCACGAAGAATTGGGCCAAGAATTTGAATCAGGAAGCACCCCCCGTCTTGGGCCTGGCAGAGCTGTTCTCCAGGTTGCAGAACCTGGAAAGACAAGAAGTTCGAAAGGTTTTCACATCTTTCACGACCAATCTTTTCTATCTTTTCTGTTCGTCTCATGTGTCTCTGGATGAAAATTATATATTGAAAATGAGTTTGCGGATAGATTGATAGATTGAGATAAGACGGATTTGTTTCTTTCTCTTTTTTCTCGTCTCAAAGCTCCGGCAGACGATGCAACCCATTGCAGCACATGCAACGCAGCACTCTAAGTCGCCCTGCGAGAGCTCCATCGGAGAAGTCAAAGCACCAAGCCTTTGGAGCAGACGAAAACTCTTTGCATCGCAATTCTTGGAAATCTATGGAAATCTGGTGAGTCAATCTGGTGAGTCAGTCAGTCTGTCCTACTGGCTGTCCATTGGGAGCTGATTGGGAGCTGAGAGATACAGAGCCACTGAACCACCCCCCAGTTGCTCCAGTTGTTTCGAGGATTCAGATCACGATTCTGAGCTGCACGCAAGTAGAGGCTCACATTGTCCTAAGCAGTTTTGCGTGTCACTCATGTGATATGTTTGATTTCTGATGATTTTGCGAAGAATAAGGCGCGAAATAAATGCTGGTGTGTCTTTATGCGGTCTCCTCGGGTGAGACAGCGCTCTTACTCATGATGATCCCGACATCCTTGCGAAATCTGCAGAAATCTGCAGAAAGCATTGGATTTCAAACTTCCTGCGCACAGTGCGCGCAGGTGTCTCATACTGCGTCAGGACCTGTCCCACCTTGTAAACACCAGCGCGAACTGTGCGGTTGACAAGACCATGATCTCGGAGCATCCATGAAACAAAATAGGGAAAAGTGTGTGTGTGTGTTGTATCAAAAGCACCTTCAAACTCTACACATAATGAAAGACACTCCACTCATGTCACACTGAGATTGCCAATTCCGCTCATTTCACAATTTCAGAATTGCAAGTTGTCATGATTTGTTGCAAGTTGTTGCACACCTATTTCAATTTGTCATATATAATTTGTCTATTGTCCAACAACCCGCAGAGAATTTTGTAGCACGGCTGTACGATGCTGAACGGCTATCGGGCTCATTGCACCGTTCCGGGTTGAGACATCGGCCTTGAGCTGCTACAAGAACATTATTCGCCTGGGCATGGCCAATGGAAAAGGATGGACATTGTGACATGTATCAATCATATGTATCAACTATATCTTTGGAGTGCTCACAAAATGTCAAGTGACATGCCCAAAAAAATATCAAAAAAAACAAAGGAGAAATGGCAAAATTGCGATCGAATCTGCCCTCTCAAAGCTCTCAAAGGTCCCCACATCATCACGGAGCTGCAGGCTTAAAGGGCCAGAGCTGGAAGATGCAGAGACCCGAAAACCTCGGAAACATAGCAGAAATCACTTGAAAATCACTTCGAAAAATCCGTTTTCGTTACAATGTGCTGTTGCAGTGAAAGTATGTTACAATCCACACTATTCAGTGTATGTAGTGATCACATACCCACACCATTCCATACCGTGGACTGAGTCCAGGCCTTCTGCCCCCAAAGGAATGGCCATGGGAGCGCCTGAGCCACAGCATGCCACAGCTTTCACAAATGCGCTGAGCCCCAAAGGATGCTGCTGGGTTTCCCAGGTCTCACTGGACCATAAAAATTATCCATAACATAGAAACATGATGAAACATGTATGATATGAATTGAATTGACTTGTCAATTGATATGATGTATTTATATGTATTTAAGATATCTATCAATCTATTTATCTGTTTAAATTTGTTCATTTGTCCTATACAAGCGTGTTATATATCATGAGTGCAAAGTGCAAACCTGGATTGGCAGCGGAAAAAACCGCCTCAAGGACAATGTGAGGCCACAATCAGTCACTCTCACTGAGCTTCCCAGCTCGTGGCTGCTGGAGCCAGGGAAAGGTTCTGAAGGCCGTATCCGCCACCACAACCTTAAGAAATGGCGCAACTACTTTAGTCTATGTACTCAGTCTATGATAGTCTATGATTCATCTGCGTAAAACTCACCTATCATGATGACGGCGCAAAGATTCCACAGTGACAGAGGAAGAAGCCAAAGACGATCTCAGACGATCGATATGATCCATCAGGGCAATCCTGGAATGCAATTGACATCAATTGACTCCCGTGACTCCAATATCAGCCAACTCTGACTACGATCAAAAATTGTCTTCGCCAGTTCAAAGCGGAATGCATTTTGACGAGTTCATCCGGCACATACGTAGACCTGATACACCAGTAAAAATTAGGATCTCTAGCCAATCGGGAAACATTTCGCCCACTTGGGCACTGCCCCTCCTGAGCACCGACATGTAGTGCCAGGCACCTAATGCTTCAAGTTTGACGAAACTGGAGGCGGGTTCAGTGTGGAAACCTTTGCCAAATTCTAAGCTGAGGCTGACGCAATATGCCCGCCACTCTGACCTGAAAGCAGAAAGCACTGCAAAACACTATGAAACACTGCCTTCACCATGGTGCTACGATTGATATCTGAGACTCTTCCAACCTCACCTGATCCCACATTCTCCAGCTCTCACATCTTGTCCATGCTTGCAGGTGACATTGTTGATAGGAAGAGTTTAAAGTTTTACAATGTTTTACGTCTGTGGCTTCAGATTGTTTCAGTGACCAGTTAGACCCAAGGGTACCAGTTGGACTGTGGCATTCGGCGTTTGGTATGTTGGGTACAGTATTCGATGATGCTGCTTTTACTCCTGTTCTTTTGGTTTGTTCACTTCTGTAGCTTGTGGCCTTCATACTCATAGTTAAGGCTGCTGCGCGAAACACAAAGAATGCAAGGAAACATAAGCCAAATCCTGACACCTGTCTGAACAGCCTCTTTCATCCAGAACAACGCCCGCTTGGAGTCCCTCATCCCTTGGCGGGTTTTTCAAAGTGCCTCGATGCAGTTCTGCACTTCACTTCGTTTCAGCTTAGCGCAGGCCTTGTGCTGCGCTAGCGATGAAACGCTTCTGAAACCGTCAAACTTTTTGCCGGTTCAAATGGTAGCCATGGGCAGCCAAGTGTAGGTCTTAAAGTGTGCTGCAGGCTGTCAAAGACCACAGCTCCAAACAGCGCGTGCGGGCGCGCATGGCTCGCGCTTAGGTTGCACCACGACTGTCAGAGTGACGGACAGATGTGAAGCATGCAGGAAGCATCGCCTCACTGGTGAAAATGCGCAAGGCAAATGCGCAAGGCAGTTCAAGGTTGCCTCATTCGTTGCCTCATTGCAGAGGTCAATTGCTTGAGCCTTGAAGCCTTAAGTTCACAAAAGGCTTCTGGCCTCACCGATCCGGTATTCTTGGCAAGAGGGCCGTTAAATATGCCATGTGCCTTGACTTGAAAAAGGTTGCACAGAACGCCTTCTGATGAATGTTTTGGAAATTGAAATTCGGAACTGAAAAATGCTGTGACTTGCAATGGCATTCCTTGGCACCAAGGGACATCCGTCCACTTAACGAATTTCATTCGATTGTGGCACGTTTCTGCCGCAGCCGGGAAAGGAGGTCATTGCTCCCAGCCGAAATGCCTCAGCCAGGGTCGAGCAGGCCCCGCAGCAATCTGAACTTCAGCGAAAACAAGATTAAAATAGATATGTATTAGATATGAATATTAATAGATTAGATTTAGATTTGTCGATTTGATCAGATGTGATCAGATGTGTACTTTGACCGCAGCATTCAAACGTACTTTCAACTCCCACTGTGGCTTTGTATCATGTCATGTTGTCAGTTTTTGCTTTATCCCTCGGGGGCGCTGTCGGCGTTGTCAGCTTCTCAGTTTCCATGACAATGAAGACTTCTGAGGCTGTGGCTTGCAAAGCCCTCACGAATCATATTGCAATCAAATGACAAGTCAAGCATCCCTGTTAGGTGGGTAAGTTGTGCATCCGTATTGCAAGTGCAACGCCACAACATGTCAAAAAGGACAGGCAATGACCGGCTGCATATAATGAGCATTATCAGCAATGTCATGCTCACTTGACTTGCATGACTTGACACATGTTGTCAAAGTGTCAGAGTCGGCTGAGGTCATGACTCCTTTCTTCTTGGGCTGTTGAGGGGTCTTCTTCCATTTCGACTCGGGACAGCAAGACTCCCAGAAGACTCCCAAAAGGCTTTCCACTGTTCCCACATCGTTCCACGTCGTTCTCACGGCGTTCCATGGCCAAAAAATGGTTTCACTCTGTTTCACTCTGCTTCGACGTGTCATGACGTGTCTTAGCTCTGCATAGCTCTGCTTGCCACAGCCACCACCGAGGCTGCCACGATCTGCTTGCCCTTCACTCCGTAGCCCATTCGTTCTGCCAAGGTCATCTTGGGAGTTGGTTCCACCTCGTTCTCCTCGCGAATCATAAGCGTCATAAGGCCCCGGGTTAGCAAGGTGGCGAACAGAACAAATTCACACAAAAAGTCAACTAAACTGACTAAACCATACTAAACCATTCAAATCATTTCAAATCCCAGGATGAAATGTCCAAGTCGTGTTCAGTGACGTTTCAGTCCTCATTGTCAGACATGACCTGCCATGCAAGCAGACTAGAAAAGCCTATAAGCAATCGCAACCTGTCTTGTGCCGGTTCCATACACTTCCAATTGCATCACCAGAGAATCAGCTTGAGACCCTCAAACCCTTGCCAGCTGGCACATGCTCCTCCTCAAGTTCAAGCAACTTCTTTGTGGGCCGAAGTTCCTTCCAAAGGGCTGAAATGAGAACGCAATCCGTGAACCCTCCGCGAAGTGCACCAATCAATTCTCTCTGACGGCTGCTAGGTACATCTAGATACATGACGTCACATGGTTTCACTATGTTTCACTTGCATTCATCTCTCCAATGCGTCCCAAAACACGTCGAAACACGTCGAAACACGTCATGCCGCAATGCCTCAGACTTTCGCCGCTGTCTTGCACGTTCCAGGGCTGATTCCTGGCTCGGATGGAGATGTTTGACCAATGGAAGCCCCGTGGCCTTGTCGAGTCCAACCTAAGTCACATTAAGTCACTAAGTCCCTGGCCATTTCCTCAACGCTACGTGCTTGACGATTGATCTGCCGAGTAGCCCTGGCAGTTTGAGGTATTTTAAAGAAATGTTTTACATGTTTAAAAATAATTAAAAATGTATTTACAAGGTAGTACAAGGTAGCCATCTTTTCCAGAAATTCTCAGTTGAAGCAGATTTTGCAGTGCGAGTGGCCTGAAGTATGACAGAGCATTCGATGCCCGTTGGATCACTTCTTCCTCTGAGAGCACTCGCAGACCTGAAATTTCTGAAACGGGCAAGGTAATGAAAGCATCGCTAGCATCGCTATCGCTACCGCACAGAACTCAGGACGAGGCTTCCTCCTTCCACCAGGCCCTCAGACGCCTACAGGGGAACTGAGATCATTATAGACCACAACTTGCGATACAGACTTCTAATATCTTCTAATATATTCTAATACATCACAAATTAAAGGAAAAAATACATGTTCTGCTGGTCAGTGCAAGTGGTCTAGGCCTGGAGATCTTGTGAGTAGCCTTGGGAAACCGCAGCTACTCAGGTCACGCATGGACAGAATTCATCAAATCTGAGAATTTTCAACCAAGCAGCCATCCAGCCCGACAGGGATGACGGGGTTTGAATGCCGCCTCCCTGCAGTCGCACCTCAGATTCTGGAGGAAACAAGAACGGCAAAGCCCTGGATTTCTGCCATGACATCTGCATGACGCCATGACAAGTCAGGTTGGCAAAGCAGCAGACTTGATGATAGTGGCCTCAAGACCATATCGCCAACCATCCTGTGAGAAATCTGCCAGACACGGGCGTGGTCAAACACTGCAAACGGCCACGCGCACAGGATTTAGAACCCAACTAGTTCTGCCGTTGACTTCCACACGCTTTCCACATCTGTCGCAAGCACTGCCGTCACCAGTCCTAGTAGAATGCGCGTAGCAACCTCAAGGCAAAGTTAGTCAGCCTCCTTTGGTTTGCTGCCTTCCCTCACGTCATTGACGTCGTTTGGCTCTCCTCTTGATTCCTTTGGTTTTATGTGGTCTATTAGACTATTGTTGTCTTATTTTGTCTTAAATGTCCTATGAATTCTTATGAATTCTTTATATGGTCTGGTGTTTATCGTGTTTTGGTGCTGTTCCTAGCTGTTTCTGGCCTAACTGAGTGGCGAACCAAGGCCCATCTCCATGCCCGTGGAGGCCTTGCCTTAGCACAGGCTCTGTCAGCTCCGAGGGGCGCCGGTGACGCCAGTGACGCCGGTGACGCCCTTGACACAGCCCTGTGACTCCCATTGATTGCTATAGGCCGCTTGAAACCGTATTGAAACGGACTGAAAGGAGATTGCCCCAGATTGCCCTAGGTATCCCTAGGTCGTCCTGCGTTGTGGCTTGTCTTGGAGTGTCATGTCTAGCATCTCTGGACATCGAAGCTTCAGGGCCACACTGGATGGTCGCCGGTTCAGATTGGCTTCGTGCACGATGGCCACGGGTGGAGGCTGGCTGTGATTGTGTAAGGAGTGACCTCAGCACCCGCAGATGACTGCGCCATCCGTGACCGTTGCCATTCGGAAACAGCACTGAACTCCATGAATAACACTCCTCCAAAACTTGGAAGCAGCGTCCCAAATGCGCAATGATGTGCAATGCTGATGCGTCTCCGGCATATCAACGCACTTGTAGGGGAGAGCGGCTCCTCCATCATATTCCGACCTTCCCCAGAGAAGCGACGTGCTCCAAAACCCACATCATATACACATGTGACACATGCGCAAGTGATACCATGATGTCAATCGCTGTCACGCCTTGAACATAATTTACACAAACGAAAAATTAGACTGCAATGGTGCAAACCTGTTCAAGACTCAAACAGCCTTCAGTGTGCGACAGGTGGCCTCAGTGGAAGATCTTCTCAGAGCAGGTCGTAGTTTATGTTTGCTTGATCTTTAGAACGGCGTTGAGCATTTGATGCTCAGAAGCATACTTGGGCATACTGCAGAGAAACCCAACAAAGGATAACAAAGGCATACAAAGGCTGAAATGCCCTGGATTGCCCTGGTGTTGATGAATGATTTTGATATCTATGTTCCGATCGTCCTCTGATCCTGATTTCTCAGTGGGCACCATGATGCCCCATGATGCCCCATGCACCATTGTAACAGAGCACCTTTTTTCGCATCTTGCAACGGAAACCGACGGAAACGACAGCCTGTTAGACTCTTTCGTCGCAGGCTCCAGATCCGACTTGGCGCAGGACTAGGGTGCCTGTCTTGAAACACTTCGTGGCATGGAGGCCGATAGCACACGTGGCGCCCTATCGACGCTATCCATTAGCCAAACCTCGTGATGTGAAGACTTGGTGTTATATGTGTACCAAGACAGCATCAAACCTTCTGTGCTTGTCTCAGCAGGATCACCAGCTTGAAGACTAAACATGGCTACACACCAAGTTCAAACTATTGAAGAAGCGGAAGGAGGTTCAGCCAAGGCATCCAAAGACATCCGAAGGCATCTACACTCGCTACGCCGCAACGCCGCTACGCCAACGGTCCGACTCGAAGCTGGGCTTCCAGTGACATCATCTCCGCAACAATGCGCTTGCATGCGGCCAACCTCACAGCATTGCACGATGCGTCCAAGTACCCTTTGCCACCTTTGCCATGTAGCCTTCCATGCCGTCCATATCTTCCATATATCTTCCATATATCTTCCGTAATGTGTTCCATAATCTGTTCCATAAGTTCTATGTCATGTTCCACCTGATGCTCTGCCATGTCTGAGCTATAGACCCAACAGGTCCAAAGTTCATCTCGCCATGTCCCATGTTGGGAAACCATAGCAGCCTCACAGGGTGGAAGAACTCAAAGAGCTTTCGAACATATTCAAACTATATATAGTGTATATGTATATATATAGTGTATATATAGTGTTGCATCTCTGCAACAAACACTGCATGACTGCACGACAGCGACTCAACAGTCATTGCCTGAAGGAATTTCCTTTCTGACGCTCTATCCAACCAGTGAGGTAGCGTCGCACCTTGGAGCTGAGTTGTGAGTCAGTAACTTGCTGTCGGCAGTCGACTCTCATGCCAAGTCTCTGAATGAGCTGGGACCTCAGACTCAAACATTTGCAATGTGAACACTCAGTGAAAACTCAGCGAAAACTCAGTGAACACCTGACATTGGCAGCACACGCATCGCACTCCGAGGACTCTAGCAATGGAATCTTCGCCGGAGAGCATCACCATGCACGGAACTTGCAGCTCCTGGAGACTGTGGAGACTGTGGAGGCTGTGGAGACTGTCACTGTGAAAATGACAGGTAAATCAGGTAAGTAAATACTAAAATGACCTAAAGTAAGGTAAAGACTGCGAAAGAATGCGGAAAGAGCAAGAAATAACAAGCAAATCAGCCGACCTCTGGCCACAGCAGATTCTGATACCAGAAGAAGTTTCGGGAAAGGCTATGCCTCCCATAGAGTAACACTGAGCAACAGTAACGGATAGTAACGGCAAAGCATGACCGAAAGGATGCTATGCAGCTCCACTCTCTGCAGCCAGACCGCGCAATGTAAAGCTCCCGGGCTACGAAGTAATGCATCAGCAGCTGCGTAGCAGTTTCTGGCTGCCGGTACATGAAGTTATAGCACACCTCACATTTTCATCATTTTCACAAATTTGAACACTCTTGGCATCTCTTGACTCTCAGAAACATTCCAAAAAAATCGTGTCTCAAGGGTGAACATCTATTGACTGAGGTCCAGCATCAGGCTTGATGAGGAGAAAGCAAACAGGATCAAGGAAGGTTGCCACAGCAACCTCAGTTCTGAAAAACTGTGTTGTGAAGATTTCTGAAGAAACTGATGTTCAGATTACTGTCTACTGTGTACAGTTTGATGACGACTCCGACGTTGATTTGGATTCTTAGGAATGGGCTGTCTCCTGCGCATTTCTGCACATCCAAGCCACCACAATGGATCCAAAGGAGTGGCCAACGAAATGGGCCTAACCACTGCGAGTTGCGGCCGTATCAGGCCCTGCATGTCCCAAATCTTCCAGGGCACGCTGGGCAGCGGACGGAAGTGTGGTCCCAGCTCAGCAGCATGTCACGCAAACACGCGACCATCTCTGCAGAGGAAGGAACATCCTCGCAAACTCAGAACACTCAGAACACCCAGAACACTCAATGCAGACTCGACACAGACTCAACACATCGAACATTCAGAACTGTTTCAGGAGAACGAATTCCTGTCACCATGTCCTACAAGGGATTTGCCAGCAGTAGTCCATGCCATAAAAGTATGTCTTCAAGAAAGAAGACGTTATCCACATGCAATGCTTTATGAGTCACGTTGGCACCTTGGCACATGCGTTATCATATGCCATAGTCTGCCATAGATTCTCCCGGAACTTATGTTGTACATGATTCTATGATTCATAAATATATATACATATAATATATATATATATACATGCATATATATATATAATATAATATACATAGATAGTGTGTGTGTGTGCATTGAAATGGTTCTGAAGACAGGACTTCGGAATGCTGATCCCTTCAAGTTCAGATCGAACAAAGGTGCATCCAGTGCATCCTGGGACCGCAACATATCTCAACATCGTTCTCACTGATCTCACTGAATACATTCAGTGTCCTCCTTGATGCGCATGGAAATGTGCGGTAAGGAAACCAGGAAGATGTCCTTTCCCTTTGGCATTTGCCTCACAAATTCTGCTGATTTCCAAATTGCTCACAACTTCGCATCTCATTGTCGGGTCGCTGTGTCGCCGTGTCCATCAGGACTATGTCAGGCCTCAGCAGCTCGCTGATGAAGTGAACCTCAGGACATAAGTTCAATTTCCACGAAAGTGTACAAGCAGAGATCAAAAAACACTGGATATGACGGTGAATACAGCAATATACGGCAGGTAGAGTCTATGAACGAAAGTAAGGCAATCAAGATATTGTATTTCAGGGCTTCAGGCATGAACAACGCGCTGTTTCTTTTTTGCTCAGGGATGCTAATGAGGCGAGTCCATACAAATCCATGTCATAGGTCTCACATGGTCTCACATTCCTTCACGTTCTCTTTCCATATCTAGGATATCTAGGTGATGGATGCTCGAGTGAAGTAGTCAAATGATTCAAGATCTCATTTGGAATGTTAATGCGTTCCGGTCGGATCATTTTGACGCACTCTTACTTACGGAGGCTTTTCGGCTGACTGCCAGGACACATAAGGGAGCAGGTTCACGCCCACTCCGTGGCAAAAGACAATGGGTGGCTGAGCGCCTTGAAACAAGTGCTTGATGTGCAATGAAAATCAATGAAACAGTGAAGGTGGCACTTTGTCGAGAAGTCGTAGGTCTTCCCCCCGTCACTTCACAATGAAAAAGTCTGAGAAGAGTTCTCCTCCCTCGCCCACGTCGCAGCCAATACCAAAGAGTTCCACTCCTGAGGTGTTTGTCCAGTCATGTCCAGTCATGTCCAGTCATGTCCAGTCATGTCCAGTCGTCTTGCAATAACACAAGTGTGCACTCAACGTAGACATTGTAGACCCGCCTGTGCCGCCGAAAACCCAAGTTCTCGAGATTGTAGTTGTTCACGATCTGAAGTTGACATGACTCGTACCATCACCACTTCCATTCACCTCTGTGCAAAACCAGACTTCCCTCCCAGAATTCTGAGGCTTCAGCTGGCATTGCCAGGGCTGTCACCTCAAGGCGCGGGCATCTCCGGGTTTTTTGTCTCGGAGTGGTGTCTAGCGAGGTGCTGGCAATGTAGTAGACGAGTGGGCGGTGCTCTGATGGGATTGGATCCTGAGCACAAAAAAAAACTGCCCGAGAAACCCAGCCTTACAACTTGGGCATAACATGGCATAACCAGCTCAAATTATGCTGAGATATGCATAGTACGTTGAGGAGAGGCGAAGTGCACTGAAACATCTAAGAATCTAAGGTACTGGCCATTGTCAAACGCATCGCTTGCACGTGTGGATTGTACCCTGTGGGAAACTCCACGCCGGCCCACTTGGCTCCTGCACTGGACTCCACATGTTCGATGCTGTTTGCAGCACTGATGAATCTGATGAGCTAATCTGCACATCTGGACGTGCCTTCGTCAACGAGCTGCACCAATTCATGACGTCGTTGGGCAGGTACCTTCCGTACAACGGGTGTGACAGCGAGATAGACTGAACAGTGACCGAATAAAAGATGTAAAAAGAACTATGGCACTAGACAGTTGCGGGCACCACTTTCACACACGCTTTGGTTTTGCATGTTATTTCTGCTTCCTACACTTTGGCAGGAATGCACCTTGGACTTGGCGCTGGACTCGGCTTTGATCACCGATTCACCGATCACCTTCGGCACCCAGCTGCTTGGAGAATCTCTCGGCAGTGCTTCTTCCTTTCTGAGTCACCAAACCCAGCAGTGCCACCGAGAAAGTCCAAGGCATTGTCTCCATTCTCATCGACCGCCAACGGATCTGCCCGAGCAAGCAACAAGAGCCGACAAACATCTCCTCTAGCCCGATTTGCCGCACAGAGCAAAGGGGTTTCCTGAAAGTCATTGCGAGAATTGGGATCCGCTCGGATGCTCAGCAGCAGCTTCACCACATCCAAAAAACCACCACGCCCTGCCATGTTCAAGGCAGAATTCCGGCCCTTTACACGAAGTCGAAGATTCGGATCAACTTTTTGATCCAGAAGATGCTGGACCTTTGACAGGTCACCTGTGTAAGATGCATTTGCCAAGCGTACGCCCTCAGCTGATCGTGGGGATAAACCTTCAAATTCATCCACGGGTGGTGGAGCCTCAAATCTTAATACCACTTCTCCTGGCCACTTTAGATAAGCCTCACGAAGCGTTTCAGCCAAATCCTTCTTGGACATACACAAGTGCCAACCTGCTGGCAAACCTTTTCCGGGAAGGGTAACTCTCATACACATGGTCACAGGATCAAAATATCCCATGTCTTTCTTCAACTCCTCCATTGAAGTCCAGGTTACATCGGTTACATCGGTTACATCCACAGGATCCATGGCGCTCCAGCAGAAACATCAAGGTTTGGCTGTCCAGCTTGGAAACGTGGCCTATCGTAGCCTGTTACAGTAGTAAGTCATTAAAAAGCGAGTCACAATGATCACATCATATCAATATGCGCATGTGTATATATATATATGTATATATATATATATATGTGTGTGTGTGTATATGATTGTATCTAATCTATATCCAGCACATCTCTCTTGTCCACTTTCGATGGTTGAAGATTCGCTCACTCCCACCGGGTTCTCACTGGGTCCTTTAGCTTGCTTCTATGCCCTCCCACTGTCAACCAAATGTGCAGAAGCTTTGATTTATCTCAGGGGGGCAATAGGTCACGGAAAGTTTCTAGCTGGGGATCATCATGGTGTCAAGCGGCTTCGGAGGCTGCGGCGTAAACAAACCAGGATTCTCATGCCCAGTCTGACCAAGCCTCATCTGGGGTACAATGGAAAAAGGCCCACCTGAGTTTGAAGCAAGAAAACCAGGTAGAAAATCAAATACGAACAAAATGTCGTCAAAAGGTCAAACTGAACACTCCAGGTCTGGAGAAGCTCTAGCAGACTCTAGCAACTCGGCAAACTCAACTTGTGCATCATTCTTTCATCTGTCCAGTGAATCAGAAGACATCAGAAGACGTATTATGACGTATTTGCATAATTGTGCATATGACTGCATCTGGCATAGACATCTTCGAATTTCGATGTTGATATATGTTGACATGTCGAGTTTTGGGCCGTGAACCAAAACTCGATGAATTGCGTCAACTCAGGCCCTGACGCCATCCATTCCGCAAGGTTCCCTCGATGGATCTCCGCCACATTTGCTGCCGGCCACCGGCAGCCAGTTCGGCGGTCGAAGAACCTCAAGTCAAAATGACCCCGGTCGCATCTCAAGGATTCTCAAGGCGTGCTGGAAAATCTGGAAATATGGTGAAGCGTCGAGAGGGACCAGGGCATCGCGAAGGTGCTTAGGGCTGCAAAAAATCAAGACCCAACACTTGGTGCTTTTGGCAGTTCGAGAGCTCATGAAACAAAATGAGCAGCCTATTCTTGCACAGCAAAAAGCAAAGTTGCCCCGTTTTTTCGGTTGCGCCATTGCGCCGCCGCCATTGCGCCATTGCGCCATTTTCAAACCACCGCGCGGTGTCAGACCACCGAAATCTTGGCTGCCGCCGCCTTTCCTTCTTCAGTCCACTCAGGCAGCGAGATGCCACTGCACACCTGCAATGTCTCTCACCCAAATAAATCCAAATAAGTCAACAAACCGCCAACCAAACACAATAGATGCCTGAGGTATGAAGTACTATACTGAGTCTATACTATGATCATATATGAAGTACGACGCAGTATGGCAGTATGCTCCTCTGATCCACATATATCCACATAAACTTTGGAGTGGGACAGCCTTGAAAGCAGGTCTGCACTTTGCTTTCGTGCAGGATCGGCAAGCAGCATTTGCATCGCCCCCCCGTGCGCATGGCCTTCAACTCACATTCAACACAAAGATCACAAAGGCAAACATCCGGAAAGCTGTGGAAAGACGTGGAAAGCCACGGGGTCAGTGTTGACCCTGAGCATCGGGCATCCAGCATTTGGCAGCAGTGCAGCTCACAAGACCTGACAAAAAGGTGTTCAAAAAGTACCATGCAAATCTGGAAAGAAAAAGATGAAAAAGCACATTGGTCACTAAGTCACTGATCAGGCTGGTACAGGAGGCAAGGTTTGGTCAAACGCTTCTCTGACGAGCCTCCAAAACAATCAGCACAAGCTGGACCTTTGCTGGCAACTATCTACTTCAACAATCTCGAGGAAAGTGCCATGGTCCAAGACTTTCCAGTAACGTAGAAACATAGGACCCGGACTGTAGCCTCTCTTTGATATGCATTTAGCTGCACACTGTGCTCGGCCCACACATCGTTGGCCACAAACATCAATCTCCTGATGAAGCAATCTGAACCGGTTAGTCGATGTTAATCCATGCTTAATCACGATTAAAATCGATGGTTAAAATCGATGGTTTTTATGGAATGTCCTGGAATGGCTCAAATCTCGGCTCAGATCTCGTGAGGCATCCGACGGCATGGCGACAGGTTTGACCGGTTGACTCCGGAAGACGCCCGCCTGCAGGAAAGCTTCACGGCCTCCACGGTTCCAAACCTTGAGGTCCTGAGCAAAAGGAGATTCCAATGACATTGATGCAAAATTTCATGCAAATGTTGATGCAAATTAGATCATCAGATAATCATTAGAGCATCATTCGAATCTGTTGGGATTTGTTCCCATTCATGCAGAAATTCGTTGGAATTCATTAGGCAAACATCCAGCAACATCATTGAGGTCTTGGCAGAGCGCCCTTGACAACATTCCGTTGCCTCGAGGGCCTTCGAACCGCCGTGGCGGGCGACCTGCTGAATCGGATTTCAACAGTCGCAAAATCCAAATGTCTCAGCGGCCTTCCAAAGCGCTGCTACCGCTGCAAGTGTGAAGATGGCCTTCAAAATAGCTGAACTCATCCGAGACAAAGGCAAAAAATGTAAAAAGGCTCAAAGCAAAAAAAAAAATGACATCAATTGACATCAATTGACATCAATTGACATCAATTGACGACATGACAACACGGCTTTGCGCCGGGCTGAATTCAGAGCCTGCAACTGACGCTTCATGATCAAATGGTCGGCCCAACGGAGCCCCCCATTGGCACATGGCTCTCGGGCTGTTGAAATCTGTTGAAATCTGTGGCATTCAACATTTTTTTCAAAAATTCACAGTAGCTATTGAGACTTTGCTGCAATTGCGACTCCTTTTCTGCAAGCAAATGTTGCTTGGATTGTCTTGGACATATTACATATTCCACACCATTTCTGATGTTTACATCAAATCCATTTGAAACATACGTAGCTTAGACAGAAACTAAAAGGCAGCACGTGAAAGATCGAGGAATATAATAATCGATGACTGTCAGGACCATTTGGAGTCAGATCAGAACCTAACATGTCAGTATAAATGGTTTCAATTCATCAGCGTCTCAGTCTCAAGCATGCGCAGTGCTACAAACCTTCCTCGACAGCATAGGGCATCTTAAGGTGCAGACCACCCACTGATTTCTGCATGTTTCAACCTTCAGCTTGCAAGCTTGCTGGGAAGGGGCTGCAAGCACTTACTATCACTTACTGATCGCATGTTTGTTGTACATTGTACAGCTAGCAGTGCTAGCAGCTAGTAGCAGCTAGTGTCGTTTTGTCCGAGACTGGCACGCCAAGAGTTCGGCATCGTCCATGGCATTTTCCATAGCAGCTCGCTCCTGTTGAAAACAAAAAGGTCAAAAGGGTCATTGGACCCATTGGAATCATTGGATGTCATGATGTAGCAAATGGCCGCAGCACAACCTTATTCGTTATCACTTGACTCATGCATGACCAACGGCTCACACATATGTAAATCATACAAACACGTCACAGGGTTGTTTAGTGCGTTCGTTTTTCCATCTGTTTCTGCCAAACGCCGACAGTGCTGACCCATAGACCCTCTGTGTGGAGGCGCTCACTGTGCATTTCTTTTTCTGGAGCTTTTATTGGTATGCTCCACTCTCATTGAACAGAATTGGACAGAAAGAGCAGAGGTTGGCACTAATTTACACTCTAACGATTTCTGGTTGTTGGGCCCTTTTCGGCCCCTACTGTAGTTGGTTTAATACCCTCGCTTGGGTGTTTCATGTGGTACTGCAAACACTCTTCTACGTTTCTATACATTTCTATTCCATATCATATATCCAAGGTATTGGTATCATGCTGCTGCGCTTCCTATTGAAAGTCGCCTAAGCTCTTCTCAGCTGATCCCAGCATCCTTTAGTCTTGTGAGAAATGCCCTGAGCCACTTGGTTTCAATCAAAACTCCAGCTTGCTTGGATGAACCAACCCGTGAATTGGTGCCTCAACCGTTCCGTACTTCAGCTTACATATCTTACATAATCGATTGAATCATATTGAATCATATTGAATCTATTACATAATCTGTGATGTGCACCAGTTTCAAAGCGTCTTTCTTGACTCGCCTTCTCGCCCAGCATCACTGCAGGGGCCAAATTTTGCGACGTCACTGGCGGTGTAAATGACAATCGAGGCCCGAGATGCAAAAACAAAGGAAAGGCGATTGGAGCACGTTGATGCTTGGCACATCTTGGTGCAAACCTGAATCCTGGCACATCTTTGGAAACCCATTGCAGGCCCTCCAGGCATCTCCAGGCCTCTTTTCAAGGAATCCCACTCTCGGAGCAGTTGCTCCACATTCGATTCGTTCCTCTTGGGGAGCAAAGCCTGGCCACAGGAATGCAGCGCACAAGGCGCACAATGCACGGGCCCTGGCTTTGAAAAACGACACCCTGGCGCCTCTTGGAAGTCTTGGACACTTGCCTAGCACATCATCAAACATCCATGGCTGGCCTGTGACCCTTGCTGCCTCTCATGTTCTTGGAGAGTGCGAATGGATGTGAATGGACATGTTTGAATTTGACAATGAGCACAGAAGACTGCCTAACCTACTTTCTGTGTGCGCCAACCTTGTCCCCCTAGTCCAGTTCTATGTTTGACCGGTTGGAACGGTTTCCATCTCCCACATCCACGAGCCATCCACATACCCAATCACCTCCCATCACTTTCCATCAGCTTCACATGTCTCACATTGTCTCATTGTCTCACCATGAATCTTATCTCAGGTCACCTCCGGTGACAAGTGCGTCGCCAGCATCTCATGAGAGCCTCAGCACCGTGCCAGGAGCCAGGACGAGCCAGGACGAGACAGGACGAGACAGTGTTGTCTAAGTTTCACGAGCGTTCAGTGTTGCAATTTACTGCATACTCACACATACTCACACTAAGCTCACACACTAAGCTCACTGCGGGAACCCTCCAACATGCGACCAGAGGCCTGGTTACAAGCTGCTGAGCCAGAACATGCAAGAACTGCATGAAATTGCTCTCGTGAAATTCATCAGGTCAAATGAATTCAAACGAAATCAAATAATTCAAATTATATATATATTATAATACATGTATATGTATATATATATATCTGTCATATATATAATATATATCATATAATAATATACCTATAAAATGTTTGTTTCATTTTAAGCTGGTCTTGCTCAAGAGAAAGTAACGCAGCGCTCCTGAATGTCGAGTGTGGCCTGGAACACTCTTCGCAGCACATCCTCGGAACAAAGAAATTGGTGGCTCAACGCTCACAACTTGCCTCCTGTGCAAACAGAATGAAGAACAGCCGGACTTTTGCACTTTTGCCACTTGCCAGTGCACTTTTCGCGCCCCAAGCCCTAGCCATTTGCCCCAAGCCCTAGCCATTTGTAGTGCATTGGCGGCATTGATGGCGTTGCTGGTATCTTGTGAGCCAACGTTTTCCCAACGTCTTCGTAACGTCTTCCCAGAGAGGTGAAGCGTCCATTGAGCCACAATTTCCTCGCAAACACGAAGCAGAGCTGCAGCATGCAGCGATGACCCAGAACTGTATTGCCCGTGCTGGCAATGATGTTGTAACGCATGGTGTTGCTGCGGGTGACGTCGATGTTGCAAGGACTCCGCCACTTGATACAACCACCGCAACCTCTCCAGATGATCACTTCCAAAACATAGCATCCAGCTCATCCAGCAGAGCTGCAGTTTCAAGGCCAAGACCAGCAGTCTCAAAGCCTTTCAAAGCAGCCTCCACTGTTATGACCTTAGCCCCATGGATCCCATGGCTGGTTTTCGGTGGCAGTTCTGAGGTTTAGGGCTTCAGATCTTGGCCTCAACTGGTTTTATCAAGGTACTACCTTGGACCAACTGGGCACAATCCACTTACTCAACCGCTCCGAGCGACATCTCGCTCCACACTTTGTCGCTGGAACTGATCCAACAGATATGTTGCAGCCTGCCACCTGTTGAAGAAAAAGATTGATCAACTGATATGTTGCACGTCTGAGTGACGAGTAGTGAGTAGTCAAACTGAATCAACATGACACGGGTTTGGCGCCAATGAGATTACAGTGGTGAAATTTGATGATTTACCAGCTGGTTTCGTCCACCGAAACAGCCACATTAAATGTGTTTTTGGCTTCTGTGAGAGTACAAGTTGCAAAAGTGCACATGTCTGAAAGCAACCTATGGCAAGGAAGGGGGCACAGGGAACAGGACTCCAAACAAACAGAAAGGATCTTAAAAACATGGAGGAAATTGACTGAAACGACTACACAAAAGTGGGCTGAGCCTACCTGCAGCTGCAAGAGCATGCATTGACAACAGCATTGCACGTGATGAGATCCAGCTGCAACTGACGAGAATGCATCACATGCATTAAATTCAGGGCACTTTTCCACTGGTTGCCCTTTTCGCATGCAAAGATTGCGGCGTTGAAAGCGACTGAATTGGAGGCAAAGCGGCCAAGATGGCCAAGAGGTCCAAGGGAATCTTCATGTCGCTCACGTCGCTCCAGTTGCAAGAGTTCGTGGAACAAGTGGATTGCACATTGCCAGGAAGTGGCTGTTGAACACGCACTAATGGCCGCGCTGTACGTGACCACTGTGGCCACAATGTTTAAAGACCTTCAATCCAAGGGCGAGCTGTCCAAGCTGCCAACATGAAACGCTTCGATTTTTCTGTTTTGCTGTGTCTTTGATTCTTTGATTCTTTGATTCTTTGATCAACGGTTGTTCAACGGTTGTTCGGTACTAAAACAAGATGAAAAGAGGATGCGATGTCTACCGGTCTACCGATGTCCCTGCCTGATGCGTCTCAGCCGCGCCAAGGACTGCTCCCACAGCCCGCCTTTCTCGCATGAACTGATCAAGGCATTGTTTGAGATGGTGTCCTCCTGCCCAACTCGCAGATGTTGCATGTTTCTTCACGCAGTGAGATGTATCATGATGTATCCTGCATGAGGACAAACACTGTGGACATAGAAGGTTGGAATGGCAGTGGTACACGCCTGCAAACCGAGCCAAAGTGTTGCAGTCAACATCTGCATAGCCTGCCACCACTGACCTGTGGACAGGATTGTTTATATTCTGAACACAGAACTCATACCATGAGAGAGAGAGAGAGACAGAGCTCCGGACCAACCTTGTTTCTCGCATGCACTGACCGCAGCATTTGTAGATATCCTCGGATTGGCCACTTGGAACGAACACCACAATTGTTGGAGCCTGTTTGACCTGTTTGAGCATTCCTCAGGGGTTCTAGCAAGGTCAGCAAGGTCTGTAGCAAGGTCGATGTCAAGCTGAGCATCAAATTCGCTTGCAAACCGCTGCTGCCCAATTCCTCTGACAGCAGGATGGAATGTTCCCAACGTCCACAGGCGCTGATGGCTGAGGCCAAGGAAATGACCTGGCGACCCGGCGACCCGGCGACCCGGCGAGCCATCTGCATTCTGCAGAGAGAGAGAGAGAGAGCCATTTCAACGGCGGAACGAAGGTGAATGTAAATCGTATGTAATGTAATTTATCGCCATACCAGGTTACCAGTCTACATATATAATAAAATTAAGACATCTAAAAACTACATGCGACCGTATGAAGGCTTAGTGCTTACATGTGGCAGTTGCCACAGCGACAGGAAGCGCACCGTCCTCTCCACTCCTTTGCACGGCATCTGGTGAAGAACTTCCAGTGATCTCTGCCATTTCGAGACCTCCTTGGGTCGGATTCTCTCTGCGCACACTGTCGCATCTTCTGTCGCATCTTCTGTCGCATCTTCTGTCGCATCTTCTGTCGCATCTTCACACTTCAACACTGGCGCAGCCGAGTTTCAAATCTGCTGAGTAAAATGTTGTGATTCACCGCAGTAGCTTGGAGATCAGCAGCTACAAGGGATGACAGTAAATGCGCAGCACATTGCCATCCTCGCAGTGCATGACACGTTGCAAAGGCATCAGCTTTACTCAGCTATACTCAGTTCATGTTCAACATGTGGGATCATAGTGGAAAAAGGCCTCTGGTTCACTCCAAATGGCTGAGATGTGAATAAGATATAATATATATATATATAATAAGCTATAAGAAGCTATGCAGGCTATGCATCTACCCCCGTCAGCACATGGCTCTGCGTATGGCCCGTGCCCGTGGTGCCTTGTTCAGCTGCTTTAGTAACTGCACTCGTGGAATGCGCATCCACCTCCAACGACTGTGCCCGAAGATCTGCCAGCTGCAGAAACGCCTCAAAGAACGTGGATGAATTTAGAAAGCTAGGCTTAAACTTCAACATCTATGTGAAAGCATTGTTAAACATTACTGGACATACTCAAAAACATTGTTGTGATTATTTAACTATATTGTACTATATCCATCTATATATATATATATATCTCCTACTGTATCAAATAGATGCATATAGGTGATAGGTCTGATAGGTTCCATATGGTTCGTCTGCATCGTCTGCATCGCGCCAGGGATCTTTTGACCACTGTAGTGCTGCACAGAAGACGCGGGTCACCGCATTATGCAGCAAGTTGTCCACCTGGGAAGGTCACAACGGTGGACAGCTCGTCACAACTTTTCGTCGATTCTGCCAGGCCTGGATATTGCTGCACCACAGCTTTCCGAGAAGTCTTGCAGCCCAGTCCCACACACCTTTCAGTGTGAGTGAGTGGTCAGGTCATGAAGGTCGATCATCCAGATGAATCCCATGTCCCATATGTCCCAGCCTACTTGCACAGATGCATTCACCAGCGCAGTGAATATGATCACATTCAGTGTGATGGATGCCCGTGCTGCATCACAGACCACACCGACCGCTACTCTCCATGTTCTCGCCCTCTGGATTTCCTACAGTTACAATACGGGCCATACGGGCAAGTGCGGCAAGTGCGGCAAGACACAAAAAACGGCAGCACAGCGACACCAAGAAATGGCCAACCAATCGAGGTCCTTGGTCAACTCAATCTGTTGAGCTCGTCCAGCATTGCCATATTTGCCATGGCTCATGAAAGCTCTTCCAAGACTTTTCTTGAGGCTTCAGTTTTTATCATTTATCCATGTTTGAAATGTGTTCTTCAATCCATGCGCATGATGAGTCATGAGTCATGAGACAAAGAAAAGCTTCCAGGTCAGAAACTAAATTGTAACTAAATGATGAGTTCGCATCTCGAATCATTTCGAAATGTGTTGTCGCTGATCCTGCGGTTGATTGAGTACCAATAACAACATGTAACATCGAAGACCAACAAAGCAACAATCCGAACATATATCCGAACAGTCTAGGTCTGTTTGAGCATTGCCAGCTCCTGGGAAGTGCAATACCGAACGGTCACAATGTGTTGAATCCTGTTGAATCCTGTTGAATCCTGTGACAAATCCAGCTTAGAAACATTTAGAAATCATCCAAAGAAAACATTGATGTACAAAAGATCAAATCTACATGGGCAGCATTGGAAGTGTTTGATTACCTTCCAAAGTCAAGAATGGGAGCACGCTTCAGAGGTATATTCTGAAAAGTTCCGACAAGGCTTGGGCTTTTTCCAGTGTTGCAAAAAGTTGGTGCGCTCAAATCACTGCATTTCCCAACATGTTCCAACATGAAGTAAGTGCTCGGCCATTGACTTGCCGGCCGCCATTCGGGGAGGCAGAGCTGGCTCCTAAGGTCGAGTCTAAACGGTCCCACTCTGCAGTGCTACAGTTTCAATAAGAATCTACCGTAATCTACCACAGAAGTGCCACACAATTGCATCAATTATTAATTATATCTAATTATGCAAATTCCTATGGGTCCTATGAGTCCTGTGAGTCTTTTTGAGTTCTTTGAGTCTCTCCTGCAGCATGGCCCGTTTGTAGCAGTAGTAGCAGAAGAACAGGACCTCGAGGCCAAGCATCAGGGAGAGAAGCTCCTGCAGGTGGTGAGTGCCAACATGCCAACAACAAAACGGTCAGACCGTCAGACCTCCGTTAAAACATGTTAAAGTACTGTTAAAGGGCCGGAGGAGACTGCAAAGAAATGCAAAGAAAATAACGCATGAAATGAATTGAAATGACAGAAATCTAACACACGAAGACTCGATCCCACAAAAGCTCTAGAAGTAAGGCCTGCAATCCCCACACTGCAGCAGCACGTAAAAGCGCCATGGCGCCATCTGGTCGCACCTAGGCGCTGAAGCTGGAGGAAAACTTTCATTGTTTTTTTACATGGAGAAAAAAACGCATAATATCATTACAGAATAATGATCAAAGGCGGCAACTCTCTTGGACGATTTGCCGGACAGGGTTCGGATCAGCCTCCATGCCTGCCACCACAAGATTCCTAGCACCAAAAGTCTCCGCTCGAGCTGGTTGAGCTGGTGCTGGGCGCACAAATACAGAAGTTGGCCGGCAGTGCCCAGTAAAGGTAAGCCACGGGAGTGACTGCCTTAGTACTCGTGGGTGAAAAAAGTCCTCGTGGGACTCGTGGGTGCATTCCACAACTATCAGTTTCAGCGCGGCTCACAAATCTGAAACAACTTGGCGCCGTACTTTAAGAGGCCAAATCATGAAAAGCCGCACCATTGCCATTTGTACCTGACTCTCTTGAAAGACTCATTGGCCCGTTGATTGTTGGCAAAATGTTTTCAGCACTCCGTGAATGGTGAAGTTCAATCCACTTTCACGCGTCCCTTTTCCAAGCCAGCAAAGAAGAGAGACACGTTGCAGGAAATGGTGCCCTCATCTGCCCACATTGTGTTGATGAAACGGCCTTGACAGTTCAAACAGTTGCAATCACCGTTTGCATGTGCAAAATTTATCATAACTGTCATAACTCTAAATGCAGCAGCTACGCGCTTTTGTGCAGGAACGGTTTTGTGCGCCTGTTTGTATGCTCCGCAGAATAGCACCCCATCCAGAGCTCCTGCATGAACCGGCATTTCTTTTTAAACCGTTTCAACAACTTGCAAACCCAGTTGAAGAAATATGAAGAAATATGAAGAAATTTCAGCTCTTTTCTCAATCTGTATTTTGAACAAAGATGAACAAAGGCCATCCAGGGCTGCAAGATGGCTCTGTTCTGTTCCCTGACCGAGAAAAAATGTTTTATGTTCTTGATGTTTTCTGTTTTTTGGTGTTCATGTGAGAATCCGTATCAGCAGCTCTGATCAGCCATCTAAATATGCGTGTCCAGACAGCTCCGGCAGCTCCTCTTCATTTCTGGCTTATCTGGAGGGCTATATTGCCGCTTCATGGCTCGAAAGTCGTTGGCCCCTGCAGGATGTGAGCAAAAATGTATCTGAAAGCGCTGCTAGGCGAAGAATCTTCAGGCTGGTCAAGAGCAAATAAAAACTAAAGCACGTCGACGAAACTTTGTCCTACGTTCTCCAGAGCCAAAAGCCCAACAAGTGATTGCGTGCAGAATGAATGTGCTCAATGCTCTGCTAGAGTCGAGACATGTCGAGACACTTACAGACATGAATGATCACAAGCGGGGCATAGCCGTAGCACTGTTCATAGCATCGCTACAGCTGCAGCCTCTTTTGCAGTCTCCGAAAAAATGTGCGCTGTCAGGGCTCGGGTTGGCCACGGCAGGGCTCTCTCAGCTCACCTTCCGTAGCCGAGTTTCTTCACTGGCAAATCTTCAGCCCAGCCAGCCATGCCCCCGTTGCCAGAGTAGCCCTCAGGACGTTGAAGGTCCACATCACCACCGGAACCACGGAAGCATTGCTCAAGGTGGATTTTGAAAGGTCCAAGTTGGAAGATCCCTGGCACTGATTTTCCATCCTTGCGGTCTTGTGCAGAGGGTCGCAGTCGGTAGCGCCGACCTTGCTTGTTCAGGACCTTGTACATGTCCTTCTCGCCGATGAAGAAACCCTCTGCAACCACCAGTTGCCCAATGCCACCAGGGCCCACCTCCATTTTGTCAAGGCGCCAACCATTGCAGGCCAAATCTCCACGGTTCACGTTGCGCACGGAACCTTGGATGCCGCAAAAGGAAGGCAAATTGCCCAGCGTCCAGAGGCCCAACAAGGCGAGAAATGAAGCTGCGACTGAACGCGCCATGATAATAGGTTCTGCCCAACCCTTGCCAAATTCTTGAGCAAAGGGGGCAGCAAAGGGATCAAGGTACAGATACAGAAGTCATCAGAGCCAAAAAACCGTCAAGCACTGCATCACCGCCTTCGGAACGTCAACATGTTCATAATCGACGGAAGTTTTGAAGTCAAACTTCAGACAACATGGACAGATGAAGCGGCAGAGATGGGAAGAGGCAGAGAGAGACAGAGACAGAAGAGAAGAAGCCAGAGAAGAGAAAGGCAGAAGAAAGAAGATCAAGGTGTGCGAAAAAGTAGTAGAAAAGTCGCGAAACACTGTGTTTTTCAAATGTTTTGTGGCTCCGTAAGGTGGAAAACTAGGCTCCATAAAGCGGCAAGTGCGGAGCCATCTGGGGAGATGAGAGCTGAAAAAGTGCGCGCCATTGTGGCACAAAGCACATTTCCATGTCAAATGGTAAAAACACCACATGTCCGGGCCACTTTTGGAAGTTGAGATGTTGAACAAGTACGCGCCGTTGCGGCGCAAAGCACATGTCCAAGTGAAACTAGTAAAACCACATCTTCGGGCCAATTTTGGAAGTTGAGATGTCGAAAAAGTGTACGCCGTTGTGTCGCGAAGCACATTTCGAAGTCAAAATTGTAAAAACACCACATGTTCAGGCCACTCTTGGACGGTCACGACACGACAACGACAACTACAGTTGCTACAACTACCATTACACTACAACAACAACTCCGGCGACAACTGCGACTACAATACACTACACTACACGACGCTGCAACTACAACTACACTAGACTAGGCTACACTACACCACACTACAGTGCACAACACTACAGCACACAACACTACAGTACACTACACTACATTACACTACACTAATTGCACTACACTACAGCTACAACTACAACTGCAACTACAACTGCAACTACAACTACAACTTGCACCAACAACTACAACCACACTGCAACTACAACTACGCTACACTAGACTAGACTCGACTACACTACGCCACACTACAGTACACAACACTACAGCACACTACACTACAATACACTATATACCCTAATTACACTACAACCACCACTGCAACTGCAACTAAAACCACACTACACTATGCTGATTACATCACACAACAAACTCTAAATGCAGCAGCTACGCGCTTTTGTGCAGGAACGGTGTGCGCCTGTTTGTATGCCCCGCAGAATAGCACCCCATCCAGAGCTCCTGCATGAACCGGCATTTCTTTTTAAACCGTTTCAACAACTTGCAAACCCAGTTGAAGAAATATGAAGAAATATGAAGAAATCTCGGCTCTTTTCTCAATCTGTATTTTGAACAAAGATGAACAAAGGCCATCCAGGGTTGCAAGATGGCTCTGTGCTGTTCCCTGAACTGAACTCCACGAGAAAAAGAAGTATCCCGGCAAGAGACCCCAAACAGTGTTGGGGGAGTGGGAGTATAATGTATTATAACGTTGTTGTTGTTGATGATGATGATGTTGATGATGATGATGATGATGAGGGTGATGATGGTGATGATGATGATGATGATGCTGATGATGCTGATAAGGATGTTGGGGATGAAAATGTTGGGGATGAAAATGTTGGGGATGATGAGGTGCAAAAGGATGGTGATGCTGCTGATAAGGTTGAGGATGATGATGTTGAGGATGTTGATGGTGAGGACGATGATGTTGAGGAGGACGAGGATGAGAATGACGATAATGGTGAGGGTGACCATGATGGATGATGATGTTGATGTTGATGATGATGATGATGATGATGATGAAAAAGATGATGCTGATGAGGATGCTGAGGATGATGATGATGATGACGATGATGATGATGTTGATGATGATGCTGATGAGGATGTTGAGGATGATGATGATGATGGTGATGATGGTGATGATGATGATGATGATGATGATGATGATGATGATGATGTTGGAGATGACGAGGTGCAGGAGGATGATTTTGAGGCTGATGAGGTTGAGGATGATGATGTTGAGGATGTTGATGGCAGGCGATGATGTAGGATGATGACGTGCATGGGGATGATGTTGAGGATGATGGGGTTGAGGATGATAAAGCTGAGGTTGTTGATGGTGAGAATGATGGCGATGGTGATGATGACGATGATGATGATTATGATGATGATGATGATGATGATGGTGCTGATGATGATGATTATGGTGGTGAGGACGTCCATGGCGATGATGCTGATGATGATGATGAGGAGGAGGAGGAGAGTGATGAAGATGCTGATTTGATGATGACAATGGGGATGATGATGAAGATGAAGATGCTGGTGGTGATGATGATGATGATGAAGATGATGATGATGATGATGGTGATGATGATGATGATGGTGGTGATTACCATGGTAATGATGAGGATGATGATGATGATGATGACGTTGTTGATGAGGAGGAGGAGGAGGAGGATCATGATCGGGCTAGAGGCTAGGACCACACTTTGTGCGAGCCTGCGTTGTCTAAATGCACATCAACATGTGCGTTCCCCAGAACCGCAACCCACACATTGTGCGAGCCTGCGCAGTCGAAACGCGTGTCAAGATTTCACGAGTCACGAGAGCCACTTTGTAATAAATGTACAGGAAAAATGATGCGCCCAAGAGCGAGCACCCTGAGCAAGCACCGGCTTCTACACTTACCGTAAAAACCCCTCAGTGCGAACACACTGTCATAACTCGAAATGCAGCAGCTACGCGCTTTTGTGCAGGAACGGTTTTGTGCGCCTGTTTGTATGCTCCGCAGAATAGCGCCCCATCCAGAGCTCCTGCATGAACCGGCATTTCTTTTTAAACCATTTCAACAACTTGCAAACCCAGTTGAAGAAATATGAAGAAATCTCGGCTCTTTTCTCAATCTGTATTTTGAACAATGATGAACAAAGGCCATCCAGGGTTACAAGATCACTCTGTTCTCTGCCCTGAACGAGAAAAACTAGACGACGGATGGCCCGAGAGCGTAGAGGAGCAGGGTCTTCTCTTGTTAGTATGGAGACGCAATTTTACAAACAATATATGAAAGATGTGTTATAGGCAGTCGAGAAGAGGAGTAGCAAGACAAAATAGTGAGAAGTGCAAGACAATAGTTTGCATCGCAAACACTTTTACACACAGACGCTTTTACACACAAAAGCTTTTACACACAGAAGCTTTTACACACAGAAGCTTTTACACACAGAAGCTTTTACACACAAAGCTTTTACCCACAGAAGCTTTTACATACAGACGCTTTTACACACAGATGTTTTTACACACAGACGCTTTTACACGGACACTTTTACACACAGACACGTTTACACACAGACACTTTTACACACAGACCTTTTTACACACAGGAGCTGCTTTTACACACAAACGCTTTGACACACAGAAGCTTTTACACATAGACGCTTTTACACACAGGCACTTTTACACACAAACACTTTTACACACAGACGCTTTTACACGCAGACGGTTGTACACACAGAAGCTTTTACACACAAACACTTTTACGCAGAAACACTTTGACACACCGACGCTTTTACACACAGACGGCTTTACACACAAGCGCTTTTACACACAATCACTTGTACACACAGACGCTTTTACACAGAGGCCGGCCCATGTACTCACAGCGAAGTCATCGTTGTCGTGGCGACCTCAGCAATCCGACGGGGTGGTGTGGCGAAGTCCTATTTCCATGTGCCTCGAAACCAGCATGTATAAACATGTCATGCGGGCTATGTGCTTTGGGGCCCCCCAACCAAGGTGGTTTGCCATCTCCTGAAAAAAAGTATAAACGGGCGGACCTGGCAGGCGGCGACCGTTTCTGGGCTGGGACACGCACAGTATTACAATATGATATAAGTTGGTTCTTTATGGGTTTAGGGTCCTGACTCCTGACTGTGACTGGAATTGAAACTCTTATCTTAACACTCATACATCCATCTCTATATATTAACACTCATACATCCATCTCTATATCATATCTCTAGCTCTATCTCAATATAACATATATCGATTTGTTTCTTTGTGGTAGCAGCTTATCCAGGTAGTCCATCCCATCCCGGGGCCCTGACTCGATGCAAACCTAGCTGCACAGACCAACAATGCGGACCCGCAAAGCATTCAAGGACTATGACTAATGACTGTGACAGATCACATTCAGCGATGTCCCGGCACAACTATATGCGCAAAAGGAATCGGCAGCTTTATTGCTCTTCTATGGAGTCTCAGACCGTTCTGCTTGACTCACGCCGATACACTATGGTGAGACAGGATGCACTATGGTGAAACTGAATGTCTCAAGCAAAGATGCGTGCATCAGCAAGTCTCAGACAGTTCTGGTTGGCTCATGCTGATGCACTTCATTTTCAAATTCAATTGTCACGACGGCGTTGAGTCAGGCAAAGAACCGACCTGGCCCCCAGCCAGGGTGGGGGAACCAGCCTATCCCCTCAAACAATTATAGGAGCAGGCCATAATTACATACGCAGTATCAAAGTCTGAAGCTAAGGCCTAAGGGTATTAATTAGGACTCGATGGTATGCACCACATCACAATACGAGACCAAGTATGTAATGTCATGGCGAGCCTAACTAAAACTTTTTTGTCCGTCCCGAGATTGTCCTGCAAAACCTTGAAGCGATCACTAATTGCAGACCATCGCAGCTTGAGTTAAAACCATGACAGAACTTGTTATCCAGGACCTCGCGCCGCCATCAAAATGAAATAGTAGTGATGCCGTCAAAAATCGTAGTGAAATGAAGACGAATGAAGTGATAGTCTGATAGTTTTCCATACAGATAGTCTCTATGCATATGTGAAACAAGCTGAGTCCGCGACAGATGCTCCACAGGTTCAACCGAGGGCTCGTGCAAGCGAGCGCAGTGATTGGATATTTTGAAGTGTCTTCACAAATGAAAATCTGCGAGCCGCACAGTTCGGTCATTCTGAGTGCATTTGCACACACAGCCTGATTTACACAACGATGCCCCTACACACAGACACTTTCACACACAGACACTTTTACACACAGACGCTTTTACACACAGACGCTTTTACACACAGACACTTTTACACCGCTTTTACACACAGACGCTTTTACACACAGACGCTTTTACACACAGACACTTTTACACCCAGAGACTTTTACACGCAGACACATTTACACAAACACGTTTACACACAAACATTTTTACACACAAACACTTTTACACACAGACACTTTTACACACAGAAGCTTTTACACACAGACGCTATTACACACAGACGCTTTTACACGCAAAAGTTTACACACAAACAGTTTTACACACAAACACTTTTACACAGAGACGCTTTTACACACAGAAGCTTTTACACACAGACGCTATTACACACAGACGCTTTTACACACAGACGCTTTTACACACGGACGCTTTTACACACATCGCAATTTTACCTCAGTTCTTGGCGATCCAACCTCATTTCGTGCGAAAGGGACGTGCGAAAGGGTCGCGCGGGACAAGTTGAAATCGCAATTTCACCTCAGTTTTTGCCGATCGAACCTCATTTCGTGCGAAAGGGTTGCGCGGGACAAGTTGAAATCGCAATTTTACTTCAGTTTTTGACAATCGAACCTCATTTCGTGCGAAACGGTCCACCGGAAACACGAAATCGCAATTTTACCTCAGTTTTTGCCGATCGAACCTCATTTCGTGCGAAAGGGTTGCGCCGGACGACTTGAAGTCGCAATTTTACCTCAGTTTTTGGCGATCGAACCTCATTTCGTGCGAAAGGGTTTCGCGGGACAAGTTGAAATCGCAATTTTACCTCAGTTTTTGGCGATCGAACCTCATTTCGTGCGAAAGGGTTGCGCCGGACAGGTTGAAATCGCAATTTTACCTCAGTTTTTGGCGATCGAACCTCATTTCGTGCGAAAGGGTTGCGCCGGACAGTTGAAATCGCAATTTTACCTCAGTTTTTGGCGATCGAACCTCATTTCCTGCGAAAGGGTTGCGTTTCGTGCCGTCTCGTTGCCACTGCCCCTGCTCCCGCCTTCAAGAAAGAAATAGAAAAGAAGGAGAGAGCAAGAGGGCAAGAGGGCAAGAGGAGAAGGTGTGAGATGAGAAGATGTAAAGATGAGAAGATGTGAGAAGATGTGAGAAGATGTGAGAAGATGTGAGAAGATGTGAGAAGATGTGAAGATGAGAAGATGAGGAGAAGATGGGAGGATGAGAAGATGTGACGATGAGAAGATGTGAAGATGAGAAGATGTGAAGATGCGAAGATGAGAAGATGTGAAGATGAGAAGATGTGAAGATGAGAAGATGTGAAGATGAGAGGATGTGAAGATGAGAGGATGTGAAGATGAGAAGATGTGAAGATGAGAAGATGTAAAGATGAGAGGATGTGAAGATGAGAGGATGTGAAGATGAGAAGATGTGAAGATGAGAAGATGCGAAGATGAGAGGATGTGAAGATGAGAAGATGTGAAGATGAGAAGATGTTTTACAGACCCCCACTATTGGAAGAACCCTGCGCTCAGACGCTCTCGGGAAAAATGTTTTGTGTTCTTGATGTTTTCTGTGTTTTTTGGTGTTTTTTGGTGTTCATGTGAGAATCCGTATCAGCAGCTCTGATCAGCCATCTAAATATGCGTGTCCAGACAGCTCCGGCAGCTCCTCTTCATGTCTGGCTTATCTGGAGGGCTATATTGCCGCTTCATGGCTCGAAAGTCGTTGGCCCCTACAGGATGTGAGCAAAAATGTATCTGAAAGCGCTGCTAGGCGAAGAATCTTCAGGCTGGTCAAGAGCAAATAAAAACTAAAGCACGTCGACGAAACTTTGTCCTACGTTCTCCAGAGCCAAAAGACCAACAAGTGATTGCGTGCAGAATGAATGTGCTCAATGCTCTGCTAGAGTCGAGACATGTCGAGACACTTACAGACATGAATGATCACAAGCGGGGCATAGCCGTAGCACTGTTCATAGCATCGTTACAGCTGCAGCCTCTTTTGCAGTCTCCGAAAAAATGTGCGCTGTCAGGGCTCGGGTTGGCCACAGCAAGGCTCTCTCAGCTCACCTTCCGTAGCCGAGTTTCTTCACTGGCAAATCTTCAGCCCAGCCAGCCATGCCCCCGTTGCCAGAGTAGCCCTCAGGACGTTGAAGGTCCACATCACCACCGGAACCACGGAAGCATTGCTCAAGGTGGATTTTGAAAGGTCCAAGTTGGAAGATCCCTGGCACTGATTTTCCATCCTTGCGGTCTTGCGCAGAGGGTCGCAGTCGGTAGCGCCGACCTTGCTTGTTCAGGACCTTGTACATGTCCTTCTCGCCGATGAAGAAACCCTCTGCAACCACCAGTTGCCCAATGCCACCAGGGCCCACCTCCATTTTGTCAAGGCGCCAACCATTGCAGGCCAAATCTCCACGGTTCACGTTGCGCACGGAACCTTGGATGCCGCAAAAGGAAGGCAAACTGCCCAGCGTCCAGAGGCCCAACAAGGCGAGAAATGAAGCTGCGACTGAACGCGCCATGATAATAGGTTCTGCCCAACCCTTGCCAAATTCTTGAGCAAAGGGGGCAGCAAAGGGATCAAGGTACAGATACAGATACAGAAGTCATCAGAGCAAGAAACCGTCAGGCACTGCATCGCCGCCTTCGGAACGTCAATGGGTTCTCATACTAGTAATAAAGAAAAACTCGCATTTTGTCACACCTGCTTTTCTTCGCAATTGCATCTTGCATTTCTGATCGGCCAGAAACAGGAGGAAACTCTTCTCAGTACTGTTTTGGCCAAGCTCGTTCCAAAGCCTTACAAATGCTCAAGCCAGGAGTTGTGAAGCTTCCTTTGCCACCTGCGAAGGAACACATCGATGAGAATGCTCCGGATCTTGTTCTGTTCAGACTTCGATCGAAAAAACACCATACTGAGCGTTGGTTACAAAGTACGTTAGTTTTCAGATTATACCGAGTCTGACCTCAAACAGAAGAAGGAAGTAACCCAGCATACAACCCCAATAGCAAAGTGTCGCGTTTCAATCCTTTGACGCCAATTTGGTATTGACAGGCGGGCCAGTTTAGTCAAAAAATATCCTTCCTTAAATACCACGAAGACACCACCCCGGAACACCGCCAAGACACCACAGACACACCACCAAGACATGAGCAAGACACCCAAAACATCACGGAACACTGTCAAGGCACTTTGGACACACCACCAAAGGGCCACCAAACCACCGCAACACAATTGAGAGACCACCAAGAAACGAAACCAGCACAGACACCAAAAAATTGCTGCCAACATACTTCGTCATAATTATGTTTTGCCATCACCATCTTCTCCCATCACCATCATCACAACACGTCACCACAACAACAACAACATCATCATCATCATCATCATCATCATCATCATCACAACGCCATCATCATCCTCTTCATCATCATCATCATCACCACCAATAATACTAATCCTCCACATCCTCACTTTCATTTCGACACATTCCAACTCGTGTACAGGTGCAGGTGGACATGAATTTGTTTAATGCGGCAGATACATAGGCGCAGGCGGAGATCAACTTCCTAAGGAAACACCTGAGAGTTGATATATTAAAAGTGGCAATTGTGAAGATGCAGGTGGACATCAACAGCTACAAGTCCACGAAACACAACCCGCTCGCACGAAATGTCGATCGCCAAAAATTGAAATGAAATTTCAATGTAGGCTTGCGCTGGGCCAACTCTTTCCCATGAAATGCGTCTCGATCACCAAAAACTGCGGTGAAATTGCGGTTTTACATCTGCTTGCTGCGCGAGATGCGGGCCCGCCGTCGGAAATCATGCAAAAGTATGCCTGTGTAAAACATCCGTATATAAAAGCTCCTCGTGTAAATCCATTCCTTCGTAAAAGCGCCTCTGTTTGTAATGGTATCTGTGCGCAAAGTTGCTCAGTGCAAAATCATCTCTGTGTAATAGTTTTTGCGTGTGTGTGTGTGTGTGAAAGTGTTTCTGGTGCCATCTCTGTGTGAAAGCATCTCTGTGTAAAAGTACGCTGTGTACAACTATCTCTGTGTAAAAGCGTGCGCGTTAAAAACATCTCTGTTAAAGCGTGCGCACGTGTGCGCGTGAAAAATGCCCCTGTAAGAAAAACATCATCGCGTAGTGACGTAGTGTCAAAGTATCTCTGTTTAAAAGTATTTGCGGGTAAAAGAATCTCTGCGTCAAAGAACTGGCATGTAAAAGCGCTGTGTAAAAGTATTGCGTATAAAAAAATACCTATGTCAGAAAGCACCTCTGTGTAAAGGCACCTGTGTGTAAACGCGGCTGCGTCTAAAAGTTCCTCTTTGCAACATCATCTCTGTGAAAAAGTATGTGTGTCTTAAGGCGCTTGTGCGTTTCCAGAATGGTTTGAACTCTCCCCTAAACTGTGTTCACAGCCTCGCCCATGTAAGAATTTCTCTGCCTAAAAGTGTCCTAGTCCTAGTCTAAAAGCACCCGTGTGTAAAAGCATCTCTCTGTAAAAGAAACCTGTGCAAAAAACACTTCTTTGTAAAAGTATCTGTGTAAAAAATGCGTCTGTATAAATGTATTCCTGTGTGGGAACCATCTCTGCATAAGAGTATTTGTGTAAAAAAGCTTCTGTGTGTAAAAGCTACTTAGGCGACTTTGTGTCAAAAGAATCCCCGTGCGAAAGCACATGTACTAGTGTGTAAAATCATCCCGGTGAAAAAACATCGCTGTGTCAAGGCATCCGTGTGTAGAAATACCTGGGCGTCTGTGTGTAAAAGCTCCTGCGTGTAAAAGCATCCCCGTGTAAAAGCACCTGGGCATAAAGGCATTTGTGCGCAAAAGCACCAAGAAACATGTCTTTGCGAAAAGCATCTCTGCATAAAAGCATTCATGTGTGAAGGCATTTCTGCGTGTAAGCATCCCTCTGTGCAAAACCAATAAATGTAAAGGGTGAAAACGGTTCCTTCTCTTGAATGGAAGGGCCAAACCCCAAAGGCTAAATAAATCAGCGTACAATTTATTGCTCCCTTGGCGTCAAAATCTCTAGGCTGCGTAGTATTGGCGCAAAATTGCTCGGTATTTGCGGCATTTTGATGAACTTTGGAGCTAGCACCTGTGCACTGCATGGTTTTGTGCAACATCAGTTCATTGCTCCGAACTTTGCCATCGCGCAATATTTGCATTAGCGCGAAGCTAACATCTGCAAACTGCATCACGTTTGCAGGATCTGGAATGATAGCTGAAAAGCGCGTTATGATTTTATAGCGCTCTGAAGCAAAAATCGGTACACCTGTGACATGCTTGCAGCATGTCGAAACCAAAAAATCACTTGCACGGCAGCATGCCGGGGCAAAATTTAGCGCATCACATGGTTTTTGCCATGTTTTGTAACTATCACTTGTAAACCGCATGGCGCTTGCAGAATTTTGAAGTGGCATCTGTAAATTGGATGCTATTGTGGGGCTTTCTGAAGATCAAAGCTGCAAGTGGGATGGTATTTGCAACATGTTGAAATTTTCATCTGGACAGTGCACATATATTGCACATAGTTGCATGGTGTTTGCAGAATGTTGCGGCTAAAACTGCACCGTGTTCGCCACATTTTGAAACCAGCACTTGTAAACTGCGTAGGGCTTGCAGCTCTTTGAAAGTACCAAGACACCACTGGGACACCACTGGGACGCCATCGAGACACGACCGAGACACCATCGAGATGCCACCGACACACCACCGAGGGACAACCGAGTCACCACCGCCGTGAACCCGAAGGCGCCCGTCCGCCTTTAGAGTTAACAACCCCAAGCTATCGCTATTGTAGAAAAACATGGCTGGCTCACAGCGTTGCCTGTGAAAAAGTAACAAGCAAACGCATCAATCACTAAAGGCAATACACCACAGCAAAACGCGAGCATGGCGCCTGCAAGACACGACCGAGAGACCAGCCAGAGAAAGACCAGCGAGAGACCAGCAAGAGACCAGCAAGAGACCAGCAAGAGAACAGAACGAAACCAGGAAGAAACCAGCAAGAGACTACCCAGAGACCAGCAAGAGACCAGCAAGAGACCAGCAAGAGACCAGAGAGACACCTTCCAGACACCACCAAGACACCACCAAGACACCACCGAGACACCACCAAAGTACAAGCAAGACACGGCCGAAAAAACACCAACAAACCACCAAGAAACTACCAAGAAACCACCGAGACACCACCAAGACACCACCGAGAAACCACCAAGACACCACCAAGACACGACCGAAAAACCACCCAAAAACCACCAAGAAACCACCGAGACACCGCCGACACACCACCGAGACACCACCAAGAAACCACCAAGACACGACCGAGACACGACCGAGACACCACCGAGACACCACCGAGACACGACCGAAAAACCACCCAGAAACCGCCAATAAACCACCAAGAAACCACCGAGACACCGCCGACACACCACCGAGACACCACCAAGAAACCACCAAGACACGACACCAAGAAACCACCAAGACACGACCGAGACACGACCGAGACACCACCGAGACACCACCGACACACCACCAAAGTACCACCAAAGTACCACCGGGACACCGGGACACCGGGACGCACCCCACCCAGGCCGGCCGCCGTGAACCCGACGGCGCCCATCCGCCTTTAGAGCTAACAACCCCGAGCTATCGCTATTGGGGAAATATCAAGTGCCGAACTTTTGCCCGCCAAGAGACCATAGGTAGAGAAAAACAAAACCGGGGACCAAGGTAGCCGGAGCGCAAAGACAGAAGTGGTAAAGTGGGAAAAATGGGAAACAACTAGCAGGCAAGTGAAATTCTTCCATTCCAAGAAGAGCCCAGGGACACAAGCAGAAGACAGCAAAGAGACAACTGGGAGACAAAGAAAGTGGGAGGAAAGTGGAAGCAAAGGATTTTTCCGTCCAAAGCCAGGTTGCAAACAGGTTGAAGACAAGTGGGTACCGGAAGACAGTGGGAGACAAGCGTAGCATCAAGGAGCTCACAGCATCTAATGGGACACAAGTCAGAGACAAGTGTAGAATCATGCGGCCCAGAGCACCAAGAGTGAGACAAATGCAAGACAAGTGGGAGGCAAGTGGGAGACAAGTGTAGCGTTATGCGGATGCGGCCCAGGAATGCAAGCCCTGGGACAGGGGCAAACCCAGGCAAACCCAGGTAAACCCAGGCAAACCAGTAAACCGTTTAAACCGGGAAACTTGTTTGGGGAACCCAAGTCTCTTCCACGACCGCACCTCCTCGTGCAGGGACTCTTCAGGTGAAAGCCTTGGATTTCTACACGTTGAACAAACCAAAACTCTTGCCGAACGTCGGGCTGGAAGCTAAAACACGCATGTGTATGTGTATACGTATAATATATACGCACACACATAAATAGATATATATAGATATAGATATATATATAATATAATGCATACACTACATTAAAGATATATGGTATCATTTTATTTGACGTTACATGATATTACATGATACTATATTATATTATGCTATGTTATATTTTATTATACTATATGATGTTCCATGTTATGTAGGTGTATATGTATATGCATATATATGTATATATGCATATGTATATGTATATGTGTATGTATATGTATATGTATATGTATATGTATATGTCAATGTGTATGCATAAGTCAATGTAAATGTATATGCCAATGTATGAACATATGCCAATGTAACTGCTGTATACGTCAATGTATGTGCATACGTCAATGACAATGTATATGTGTATGTATATGTATATGTATATGTATATGTGTACGTTATGTATGATATGTATGATATGTATGATCTGTAAAAGTTGCTGTGTATTGCTATTTGGTTTGTCTGTGTTATCCCATAGCTCTGCTATGCTCTTCTGTACCTTCTGCATCCAAAATCGAATCAGCTTCGCTGAGGCTCGCTCTGACGACTCCTCACCTTATTGGCAGCATCCGTGCTCCAAAGCCGCTAAGCAAGAAACTGCATAGATACTCGGCACTTTGTTTGTAAAGATTTTGATCAAAAGAAATATCTCAGTGAGAGACTACATGCCCTTGCCCCTCTAACTCCTCCAGGAAGACTTTGTCCTGACCGCGCAAAAGTGACATCTGATGTGACATGTCCCTAATGAGTCTTGACTCTTGGGCCAGCCATGTCCTCGGTCTCACCTGCTTCGGTGAGAATTGTTATGGAGCAGCCCTCAGGACTTCCCGCGCCAATCTCGGTATCTTCGTCCTCACAGCAGTTCGACTCGTTCGACCCTTGATGGCTTAGGCCGCCGCAACCGCCTGCGTTTCACTTTCCAGCACGGAAGCTGCCCATCTCACAGCATCAGCCAAGGCACGTGGCGACTGCCTTTGACGGGCGCAGCATTTACAGCTGAGGGAAGCAAACGGTTCACAACTTGCACAGCAACTGAATGGCAATGAACACGTATACCGAGCCAAAATGACATACTCTGAACATCTCTACTCTTGAAAATCTCTGGTGGGTCCTCTGCCGCTTCAACCACTGCTGGAAGTCTGCTAAGCTAGGTCTATCAGCAGCAACCCCTGGCGATATGAGAAGCACCTGGTCAAGCTGAGAGGTGCTGTGGCACTTGCTGTGGCACTTGGTGTGGAACTTGGTGTGGAACTTGGTGATTGGTGGCACTTCATGGCACGACATTCCAAGTTGGACTAAGTTGGGCCCGGGGCACCTGGGCTGCTTCCTGCCGCTCTCGCAAGAGATTTAAGATGGTGTGCGCTGCCTGCCGCTCAAGGATCTGAAAGCGGCACGCTGTTATGATGATATATGATGATCTGTTACATCATGCCCGCCCAAGGTGCAAGAATGCAAGAATGCACCCCACCTCCTTTCCGGAAGCTACGTAGGCCATGTGCTGAGCTTGTCGGCTCTTCAAAAGCCCTTGCGGCCACTTCACGTCACCTGCAGCAATCAAAATTTAGAACAAAGCTTTCTGCCGATAACGAGCTGGCAGCAAACCCGCAACTCAGCCGTAGATTTCTTGATTGCCACAGGCCTGCCGCTCCTCCACAAGGCGAATACCCATGGCCTTGGCTAGGACTCGGACAAAGTAGAGGGACACTCCGACACCAGTCTACCTGATCTGACAGAATCTGACATTCAGAATGGTGTGATAAGTCTGACAGCGCTAACGTGGTCGCGGAAAAGCTGCACTTCAGCTGAACCCCATGACAGCATGTGACAGCTACAAAGACTCTCGCAAGGGCGATCTGGCGCAAAAACACTTAGAGGAGATCCCAACACCTGCAGATCAAAAGGCACACAGAAGTTTCAAAGCCAATGTTTTACTGACGATGTACCTTCGCATGTTTCAGCGTAGAGGTAAAGAGATCTTAAGACATTATGAGATTGAAACCAGGTGCGCCTTCTGCACAGCAGGGAAGACTTTTGCAAACTCAGCCTCGCAGGTATTGGTGTACAAATGTCAGGCAGAACTGCTTTGCCGCACAAGGCCTCTGCGGATGAAGCTGTTCTATGCAAGAACACCAAGGAGTGCTCACCCTCAGCGCGCACAAACGAAGACCAGTACGTACAGGATCGCTTAATCATTTTCATAGTTCTTAATCACCTCAATCATATTAATTTTGATGCATCACGCTTCCAAACCCTGCAGAAGCTGAGGCATAGGCTTCTCGCAACTCTAAGAATGAGGACCAAAGGCCTTGAACCTGCCAGGAACCGAAAAAAGCGGAGAACACCAGAGCAGCGCAGCTCTGACGCAACCTTCAACTTTTCTGAGGAAAGAGCACAAAAATGAACAAAGATGAACAAAGAGAATGATGGAGAGACAAAGCCCACCTGCTCGAAACCTCTCTGCAGGCTCCCAACACTTCGGGCCGAATACCTGACCTGCACGCGGGCTGGTAGGATCACAACTACTCGGTAACTACTCACAGATATGATGGCCCTCACGACACAATCACTGAAAAACTCAAGCAATTCAGTAGCCTCAGCTTCCGGTTCTGCAGTTGCTTTATCTGTCTCCGTCTGTGGAGACTTGGAATTTCCCATGTAGTTCTTGTACATGTAATACCTCCACTGCACTTTGGGTGCCATAGAGATCCGTTGATTGCTCACACCTGGGCAAAGACTTGTCACAAGGCACACCCAGCGAAGGCCACCATGTACATCTGCAGACGGCCGCCAATACCTGCCACTGAGATGAGGCTGAGCTATGCAGCGCATTGTGACTCTGCAGTTTAGCCGGTCCCAGCTGAGGTCTCAGGTCTGCCGTTTACTTACGGGCACGCCCTGTCATGCCATGTCTTAGATGCTTCCAGCACAAGCCCACTGCCAGCCCATCACAGGCTCTTCAGCCTGCTTGTTTCAGTTTCTGTAGCCAGCTTGAGGCTGAGAAGTTAGAGAAAGCGCTTCCCATACCAGACCTTGGCTCCATTTGTGTATGATTAGTTGCCACCGATATCCGTTTCTCCCTTTGCAGAAGGACAAGTTGTGTAGTGAGAAACAAACACGACCAGCTGACCAGCCGACCAGCTGACCATCAGCTGCCCTGTCGTCTGTAGCCTCTAAGAACATGACCCTGACCCCGATGACCCCGAAGATCGAGCCCTTGCAGCCTGACGCCCGGGACACAACGGACATCGGGAGTCTTTGAAACTTTCTGCGATCTTCACTTCCAGGACCAATGTGATATATATATATATATACTGAAATAGAATGTTAAATGACGTATGTATACATGCATGTATGCATAAAGATGTATAAAGCGAAATGCAACAATGGCACAAACTAAAATGCAAGTGCCAACCGGCCTTGACATCTGCCAAACCCTGCGTACAGCCTTGGTTCTCAGCATCCACTTCCAAGCCGGCCTTGTAGGCTTCCTCCGCCTAGCAAATGGAGTTGGCTCCGCTTCAGGCTCGCTGTTTTTTTTTTCAAACCTTGATATCCGAAAAATGCCCTAATCCTTCCATGGCCTAGATGTGTAGATCAGGCTTCCTAAAGCAACTGCTCAGCCCTGTCAATTGCAACAGGTGATCGCTTACAAATGATTTATATGTATACATCATAAAATTACTAAACGCAAGTTGGCCATAGAATACTTCAACAGCCTACGACAAATGTGTCAGGCACCCTATGAAAGCTTTCACTGACTCTCAGCATCTGTCCTCGTCTAACCGAGACAAATCGAAGAGTGCTTTGCCCTTCCTGGAGTAGCCCTTCACATAGGCCTGAACTGTGGCACAGCGCATGGTTTTTCTTTTGACTAGCATGGCTTGCTCTCTCTCCATCGCCGTCTCTGTGAGATCAGCAATCATGAGCATGTCTTTGCCCACCGTATCTTTCGAGCTGTATGAATCCACTTCCCCATCCAACATCTAAACGTCGAATTTAGGGCGGATGAGTGATGGCATCAGAAAAGTGCACAGGACCAGGCATCGAATCGGAGGCATCAGCCAAAGAAACTCAGAGGCATCAGTTTGGAACCGAGTTACGGGATCAAGTTCCAAGCACCGAGAGGCATCAGCCAAAGCCGACTCATGATTGCCCTGCAAAGAAACCGAGTCAACTGCAAACTAAAGAGTCGAGAGATGTGCACTGCACATCACTGCACTGGGTTGCGCTGCACTTCACTGCATTCAGAAATTCATCAGCGCCTTCGACGACCAGCAAGCAGCCCTGTTCGAAAAGTAGGCTGGCTGTTTGTTGTCCAGGCTGATGGCCTTCGCAGAAAATCAAAGAATTCGCACAACTCTACCACAAAATCTACAAAAGCCGATCACTCCAGTGCCCAGCGCCCAACGAACACCCAACGGGCCCAATGGGCCCAACATGGCCCAACGGCAGCCAGGCCGACCCCGTGACCACGCCTTGTTGTACTCCTGCGAGAAACGATGGTAATTGATGGTAATTGGTGCCAACAACCGATTGAAACTTGGGGATTCTGTGGCATACTTTAAACAGCCCACGACTCCCAAATGCTGAATCACAAAGGTCACACTCCTTGATGGCCAAATCCCAATCGGCATTTTTGAAGGCTTCGTTGCCTTTCCTTGCAATAAGACTCTTCAGCGCACACACTTGCTCAGAACTGTCATTGCGAATTTTGTTGCGGAATGCATCTTACGTGCAAAAACACTCCGGCTACACCTGACAGGAATGGGTCGGTGAGGGGACCTGAAAACATTGAGAAGTTGCCATCGCCATAGCCAGAGAGCTGCGCCAACTCGTACCACCCGTAATTGAAAAGAACTGATTGAAACAAAATGGATGAAAACCTGTAAAACGACTTGCCGGTTCTAAGCTGGGCCGGTTGCTTTAACGAGCGCAGGTACGTGCAATCTGCGCCCAGATTGCATATCACAGCGAACTTGGAATGTCTTCGTCAAGTGGTGACTCCGAGAATGCCCACCTCCCCCCTGCAAATCTGACATGCAATAAAATGAAACCAAGACCTAAAACGGGAACGGAATACCGGAATTCCAACAGGTTAGAAGTTTTACATCTCTTCAGATGGTTCACACACACGCCCCGCTGCCGCGGGGCTTTTTTGGAAGATGCACAGCTGGACACGGATCAAATCGATCAAAATGCCAACTCAGCGCAAATGATTGCCTCCAATGAGGAAAGAAGTATGATCTATGTGCTGTTGCCGTCCGGAATTTCGGATGACGCTGCGCCATGTTGGGCAAGAACTTTCTCCAAGATCACCAGGTGTCCTGCCAGGTGGGCGAGGCCATCATGGCTCAGAGATTCAGAACTCAAGGTGGCAGGTCTGGCGAAGCCGGTGATGCCGTGCTCAAGGCCGATAAAATGGAATCGTTGCCTGCAAGGCCCTGGCGCAAAATACTGTGTAATAGCCAGGTGGGCTGGGTAATGGCCACATCCGCTGATTCAGCCCCATCATCGGGATTGTAATCGTGGTATGGATGGGAATCGTCAGGTACACCCAAATAACGGCGCCAATAATGTGGCAACTGGGGATTGGTGCCATTGCCATGTCGATCCCAGACATGGCCCACGATTCCATTGAACAAGTATTCCAAGGACCTGCCACGAGAATGACCCGAGAGTCAATTTCTTCCACCACCAAGTCTGCGTGAACTGTCGTGCCATGGAAGATCCAACTCGTCAGGGTCGATCTGACCATCCCAGGTTACCGAGATTTGGTCACTAACATTGGAGATGAGCTCTCCCAGCGTCACACGAAGAAGCTTGGACACAGGGATCAGCCTGGAAAAAATGGAAAAAGAGCTGTTTCCTCCGTTCCAGTCAGTACAGGAAGAAGATTACAGCGAGTCACCTGCAAATATTCTGCAACATGACGTACTTCACTGAAGTCAATGATGACCAAAACGCGTCGAAGGCGTCCAATCGTAGGGGCGGTATTCGGAACCGAAGGCATGCCGAAGAAGTCATCATGGGCAGAATTTTGAAGAGCACGACGGGGACGAGATCGGGAGCGAGCCATAGCTGATGGAGGGAGGGAGTGCGACATGAGGATAATGCGCTAAAAGCCAACAGAGTGGGAAATGCACAAAATCAGAGGAACAGAGTCAAAAAGGAAGGGTGCACAATAAAACAAAATTGAGGAGCAGCAGGAGTCTTTTCCGATGTGTAAAAAGTCTAACCTTCGGCCTCATTGTCGGCACGAGTCAACAAATCAGGTCTTGTGTTTTTCAACCATTGCCAACGAGCACTGCATGAGTCGGCAGTGCGACGCATGTGTTGACCAATCGTCTTCCATGAATGGCGAGATCAGGTGCCGAGCTTGTAACGGATGAGTTCATTGTCATCTACTTCTGGCCAAGGTCGGTTGTCCATGTTGATCACGGGGTGTGGTACAGGTGGTTCATGATCTGGTTCACGAAGAGGGCCACCAGGGTCAGCAGGAGTAGGAGCTGGAGGAGTTGCCGAGGTTGAAGATCGATGAATAGGAAGACCATGGCCTGTGGCAGAATCATCGTCTTCTTCTGCACTGTCCCAGCGGGTACACTTTCTGGAGGAGGAGGGACAGAACGGTCTTGATCTGGGTCAAGGCATACTCTCCGTTTTTTCTTTGCAGGGCTTCCGGATTTGGTACTGCTGGAGTCGAGGTTGGTGGGTTCGGGGTTGGTACCACGGATTTGGAAGCCTTTCCACAAAGATAGTGGTGTCATGGCGTTTCGAGCGTGGGTTCCCAGGAATGGCAGGTGTGCTTGGAAGAGTAACCATATAGGACGCAGACGTGGTTCAGGATTCAGAACCATGTGGGCGGGTAAGCCACCAAGAGAAATCATCGAGGCAGACGATGAGGATGGCAGGCTGGGCATGGGTGCAAAAGTATGGAGATGACAGTTGTGGATGTGATGGGGCTTTGGTGGTAGCATAGTTTGGTGGTGAGGTGGAGGTGCAGAATCTTCCCATTCGATGGCAAGCTCAAAAAATGGCAAGGTGCCTGCGATGTAGTTCAAATGCATGATTGCTCTGGCCACATGGTGATGAATTTGGCGCTGGTTCATGTGCCAGAGGCCATCCATCACAACAGAGCGCGGAGGCCAAACAAATGCACGGGGCGCGAACTTGAACCAAAGACTGACAAGCCGTGGAAGAGAGAAGAGAGAAAGAAGTGAATTGGAGAGGTACATGGACACATACATTCCTCTCCCAATTCAGCACTTCACGAGTAACGCGGGGCAATGATTTTACCCTTGCTTGGTCAAAAATTGAAAAGAAATGCAGTTGAGTTCTTCTCAGGGGAAACCCGCCAAAGTGTACAAATGAATGAGCTGTTCGAGTCCCTGATGTGCTCGATGTAGAGGAAATGCTCCTTTGCCCACGATGCGGCAACGGGAGCGGAAGCCACTGAGTAGCACTTTTGGTGGGGACACTGAGAATGGAGCCAAGACTTGAGAGATGTTGGTGGGTCCACAATAGATCAATTCGAGTGATTTGGTTTCAAGCATGAAACCAAAAAATTCTTGATCTGGTTCTGCCTCCAGCACAATTGGACGACCATAGAATCCTTCATCTAAAAGGACTTCATAAGGAGACAAATGCTGAAGTCGTGCGTCGCCAAAAACCAGCCGGTTGTCGGCATACCGGATGTGACATATGAACAGGTTGTGGTTGGTCAACGTTTCGTGGAAACTGATGGACCAAATCTGTTCATTGATGGAGACAACCATGAGGCATAGGGCTCGTGAGAGTGGGCTGCCCGTGGGGCTTCCACGACGCTGACGAATGCAGCGTTGTGCCAAGGCAAAGCTTTCAAAGGTCTGCATGTCCAGTGTTCTGATGAGGGCCGACACATCCTTGATCATAATCTTTCTTGTGACGTGAGCTTCCAGAACGTGCGGCCTTTCATCAGGTCACCAGGATGTTGGATTTTCCCGGATAGACCGAAAATGCGTCGTTGTCACCAACATCCATATGGGGACGAAGGAGCTGCGAAGACTTCAGTTTCTGAGGCGAAGAGTTTAGTTTCTGATGCGCAGGGTTTGGTTTCTGATTTGTAAGTTATAGTTTCTGATGCGCGGGGCTTAGTTTCTGACGCGCGTGTTTTAGTTTCTGATGCGCGCGTTTTAGTTTCTGACGCGCGGGTTTTTAGTTTTTGACGCACGGGTTTTAGTTTCTGACACGTGGGTTTTATCTTCTGACGCACGCATAGTTTCCGACGCGAGGTTTTGTCCACCGTCGATAGCCCCATGGTACGCACAAATAGCGCATAACCACAATCACGCTGAAGGAGAATTGGAAGCTGACCCTTCCCTTTCACGTACCAGATTGGGACAACTGTGCCGTGTAAAAACCCCAAGCTCATGTAATGATAAAAATTCAAAGCTCATGTGACAAGGAAATCCGGCTCGGTGGTACTTGGGTTAGCCACTTCCCATCACGAAATCCAAATGCAGGCACGTTTTCACCCCCATGCTGTCTGATCTTCGTTGGCGAGTATAGACAAGCATAGGTTCCTGGCCCATCTGCAGTTTTGAGCGGAATTGAGCAACACAATTTTTGCAATTTTTTGCACACATCATGCAATTCAAAGTCGTCTAAAATCAACGGAAAACCTTGAGATCCGAAGGTACAAGTTTTACATCTATTGGGATGTTACACAATGTTACACGCACTGCTGACACACATTGCTGAGAGTAGTTACTTGCTCTGAATTGGAACTTTACATTGGTGAAGATGTCGACGCCTTAAGATTGCCTGGGATAGCATCTTGAGGTAGCACTCTGACATGGCATACTGATATGAAGAACTTACGTGTAAGTAATCCGGATGAATACCTTGTTGAACAATCGACGCTCGAAATTCATGCTTTAAAATTGGAAACGATTTTGCGGTTCTAGGCTTAGCTGCTTGCCATTTGCAGAAGCTACGAGAAAAGCAGGTACACAGGAAGGCCCCCTTCCCACTTCAGCAGTTGTGAGTGCGTCTTTGGTCCAGGGCCTCACACCTGCCTGCACCCCCTGAACATGTAAAATTGATCGACTGTAATTTATTTGCAGGCGTTACCCGCATGATGATAGCAGGTTTCACACACACACGAGCACAGGTGCCTCATCTTCCAAATCATCTTGCACCATTTCATACCATTCCCACGGTCAGGGTGGTACTCTCCACAGACCAAACGTTGAGTAATTCAATCGAATTCAACCAAGTTTCTTCTTATGTTCTTCAGCGGACGATTCCATGGCCGGACACTCCCAGTTCAGCGGAAACAGCCAACCTAATAAGCCTGGTAACCATAAGAAAGGCAAAGGGACTCTCCACTCACAACCCGAGCGCCGCAAAGCTGCAAAGTATATGCAAAGTACAGTGCTACGGTGCTACGTCGTAGTTTAGGCAAAGTCTGCATGAAAGTAACAATTCAATACAATTCCAGCAATACAAACTGAATGTTGGCATTCAACTTTGCCAGCATTTTGAGCTCTTGCTACGCTGGCATCTCAAAGCACACGCTGAAAGCTGCAATTTTGCAGGATGCTTCAGTGTAAAGTCGCTCCTGTCGGGATTGGCAATGCCAGAATTTTTTGTTCAAGTCACGCATCTGGATGCTACAAAGGGTCTCATGTGCTCTTGTGCTAATCACCTCTCAAAAATGGCCAAGATTTCGGGATCTGATCCTTTACCTTCAAGGGTCTACATGCGGAGGACAAAAACAATCTCCTTGTCACGAGACTTCATTCTGAATGTCTTGGTTCATCAGTCCCCTCTTCTTCAGCCTTATCCTTTCCAGGCTGCTGCGACTGTTCATCGTTCTCATTCGTCTCACCCTGCACCTCCTTCCCCGTCTTGTCCTCCTCCGTTTCCGGTTTTTCCTTCTCGATTTCCTCCCTTGCTGCCTTTTCTTCCCTTGTGTTCTCCACCTCCTTCATTTCCTTGTTTTCGTCCTCCTCCTTTTCCTCTGCACCGTCTTTTTTCCCTGCTATCTCTGCAGCATCCTTATTTTCTTTGACGGCATCCTGACAGTGCAGCATGCGTTTGTGAGGGAGACTTCACCTCGACCCAACCATCCACAAGACTCAGAGTTGGACATCTCAGGCATTCTGAAGCATTCTGAAGCCATTTCCGATGTGCTGCTCTAAACTCTCATCCCGCCTCAGGTGCCTCAGAGGTTTCTTGTTGCTTCCCCTCTGCCTTTGCAGGTGGGAGACCGGGAGAAAAGAATAGGATCATGATGAGGCCCCTACCTGGAGACAAATGGGAGACAAGTGAGACAAGGCTACAAATGTCAATCATGCGGCAGAGCCAGGAAAAGAGGGTGGGGAAAGAAGCATGAACCATGCGGCCCAGAGCACCCAGAGTGGGAGTAGCATTAAGCCATTGAGCGGCCCAGAGCAGCCAGCATAATGGGAGGCAGTGGGAGACAAGCATAGCAAGCCCAGAGACAGAGGCAAAATCGTGCTGCCCAAGCATGCAACCCTTTAAAGGGACTAAGAACCCCATACAGGTAAGCCGGTAAGCTTGTGCGGGACAAAGACTGCGCCAGATAGCAAGACCCACAAGAAACAAAGCCTGTTCTGGCCTCACTGAGCGCTGCTTTAGCTGCAGGAGCTGCTTCAGCTACAGCTTGCCGCTGTGCCTCAGGCTGCTCGGCTAGGTCACCTTGTTCACCTTGCTCACCTTGTTCACCTTGCTCACCTTCTTGCTCGTAAATTGGAACCTGGAAACATGATCAAGTGGCATCAAGTGGCTGCGGAACGGCAACTGGCACTGCAGCAGGTGCACAACATGCCTCTTGCAAGGCATTAGCAAAGCATTGGCAAGTCATTCGTCATGAATTCTTGCTGCAGACTTGGATCAGAATGACAGCTTCGCGCCTGAAGTCCTAATAAGCTTCCCTTCAAGCTCTTCACTGAAGCAGGCAGACCAAGCTCCGAAATAAAAGAATCATCCGGAGGAACTATGTAGACCTTCACAGGTCATGTCGAGAAGGCTTTGCAAAACACAGTATATCAAAATCCAAATGATGCTGTTACTTTTGCAAAGTTCTCACCTGTTGCTTTGAGGCTCTGACCACACCTCCCTTGAGCTCTGCTAGCCCCACTCGCTGGCGGGAAACAAAATAAGTGCACAAAGTAGTCCAGGCCACCTGCACAGGTGATACGAAACTCAGTCTCTCGCAGCTACAAAGACATGATGACATGACTTTGGCCATTCGATGGCCATTGGATGGCCATTGGATGGCCATTGGCAAGTGCTAATCCAGTGCTGCCCAGTCAGCCACGCAGGGCCACACGCTTCCACCCTACAGGCCTCCTCACTCAAGTCTGACAATGCAAAGTGCCATATCTGGCCAGTGCAACGTCTGCACTATTCCAAAGTCAGTGAGTAGATACAATTTTGAATTCATACAATTAAAATCAATTGAATAACTAAATTCCATTGAAGTCCCTTAATCTCTGTGTAATCTGCGCAGCTTCCATTTTCTTGTAGTTATCGGAAACATTCTCAGGCGTTGCAGCAAACTAGCCGGGAAGACTGTCGTGAGATCGCCAGCCCATTGCAAGTGCTTTCGGCCTTGTGGCTTCACAGGGAACTGAAGGCTTTAGTTGGGAGTCCAAGTGCCGCATGGTCTCTGAGGGAGGGACAATGTTCTAGCCGAACGCGCTGATCAATATCTAGCCTCGCAAGGTAAAAGCTGACTGAATGGAGCCGCAGATCATGAGAGCTTCAGCAGTCAGCTATAGATGGATTGGCACCTTGGGCGCAGCAAAGCCTTTCGACCACCCACAAACTGTGCCAGCACACTGCAGCATTTTGCTCCCAGCCTTAAACAAGATTCAATAGAATCGCTCAGACGTGGTCAAACTTGCTCTGGCACGCAATGTGGTCTCTGTCGGGCTTGTAAGTTTCAGGGTCCCTTTGATAGGGTTGTGCCCGAACAAGTAAATCAATACACCCCAAAGGACAAAATCACCAACTCATTGACAAATCCTCCCAGACCTAAGAATCTTAAGCGATTAGTTATCCTATGGGTTATCCTGCTAATCTCATCCTTCAGGGAAAAAATATTGTTGCCAGGAGCCAGGCTTGAAGAGTTCCAGTTTGCGAGCGCCGCCATCAGCCTTGTGCCAGAAATTGGTGTGGAATGAGTTCGGAATGAGTTTGGAAATGAGTTCCGATCAATTGCGTGCACTTCATGGCTTGGTGTTTTTTGGAAGGGCTCAGATTTCTTGTTTGCAATGCAATCAAATGGCAAGCAATTGGAAAAGTTTCAACTATGACAATGATGACCAACACCGCGTTTTCACTCTGCATCCCGCCTCCCCTTCAGTTGGAACCTCCTGGCAGGAAAGATTTAGTTGGAATATTCGGCTGCACCGGCTGCACCGACTGCCTTGGAAAAAAGACTTTGTTTTCGCATTGGGCATTGGGAGTTGCATGGAGTGATCGGGACAAAATGCTGCGACTTACCCCTCTCCTCAATCTCATCATCTTCGCCATCCTGCAACGAGTCGGCTAGAGCTAGAGTTGGAGTTGGCATTTTGAGTATATACTTTTTTTGTCGGTGCCGGTTGCCGGTTGCCGGTTGCCAAAAAATGTATATTATGGGCATTTTATGGTGTTTGATGGTATTTGTGTGCTGTGCAACCGCCCCTTTTTTGTCCTCACCTGTCTAGGAGCTTCTGATATCTTTCGTGTTTCCTCTGGTCTGTGCTCGTGAACCTTCTGAGATCAAAACTTCGGACTCTTCACCCTCCGACTCCGATGATGTCTCAGAATCTGACCTTGGTAAGTCAAGCTGATTGCAGATGTTCAGCTCAAACTGGTTCAGCTTGGTTCAACTCAGTCTTTTTGCATTCAGCTTGTCATCTTGTGCAATCAAGCCCTCCACCTCACTGGCTGGGCCTGCCAAAGTGACATCCCCACAAAGTGCATGTTGTACTATGAGCTGTGCAAATGGTGCAATAGTGATCCATGAATTGCCATCGCACATGAAAACACCTGCATTCCAGCCTTTTCTTGTGCATCAGCCGGACTGGCCTTTGATGGCTGTCCTGCTAGAGATGCTGTCGCAAATGAAGAACTCAAATGAATTCAAACGAAACCAAACTGCAAAAGCTATCAGCAATTCTGGCGGACAGTTTGGCAATGCCCTTATAATGATATAATGCCTGCCCTGTAAACCAACCGACTCAAACAATTCTTTCCTGACAGATCGGATGGATCAGCTTTCCGCTTGTGAGCAACTGTGCTACTGGGAGGTGGCATAGCCTCCTGCACTCGCTGCACTCCACCATTTTGGATCATAATTCAAGAGCAAGTGATGCAACGATGCTTGTCATATCTTGTCGTGTCGTGCTATGCTATGTGCTGCCTCTGCTCTAGGATACTACGGCTATGACAACTATGACAACTATGACTTCACACTGAGTTTCAACAGTTCGCTTGGTCACCCTGATTGGCTGCACCCTTTCCGCAGCATCTTCGGCTTCCGCCTGCACGAGACTGACTTGCAGAAAGATCCAGGAAAAACACATGCAATGGACGCAATTTAGATCAAAATAGATCAAAATAGATCAATTTAATATGTTAATGTATTATGTATATGTTGATGTATGTTATAGTTACTCTGTTAGTTTATCTCACTGTTCATCTTATCTTCTAAAGTCACAATCCTTGAAGCCTCGGCGAGCATCACCAAGTAAGGATTGTCTTCAGCCTGAAATGGTGGTGACACTGTAACAAAACTCCTCTTTTTCTCATCACATGACACTCACAAGTCTGAGCTCCTTCGGAGGCAGGTATGGGTCCACCTCCTCAGTTTTCCCAGGGAAACCAGAACTCTGTGAGCACACCCGAAATATGTCTTTAAAAATCCAACCCCACTTGAGATGAGCTTGTGCACCAATCAGAATCCATCGGACAACCCAACCGGCACAAAAAAACAAATCATGCAAAAAACTGCGCCCATTGGTCTCAGAAATCCTACTGAATTGCCTACTGAATTGCCTTGAATCCAGTTGAATCGTGTCGAATCTTGATTTGAGGTATCTGACTTTCGCCGAGCCCGCCGAGCTGCCACTTTTCGTTTCTTCTTCTTTTCCGCTTTCTCTGGTTGCTTGGCTCCTTGATTGAGCCATGCTTGGGCCAGTCTGGCCACCTGAGTACACACAGATTGTGCCCCCGCCTTGCCTAATATGATTCATATGAAACAATCCGAAACGATGCGGAAAAATCACACACCTATCAGTGTCTATCTGCCAACCCCAGCTTTCACAAAGTTCCACACAGTTCCACCACGTTCACATGTAAAGCATTGTAAAGTCAGGAGGCTGAGTGATTCTGAGTTTCCAGCCTCTAAGTGCTGATCGATTGTGTGTGGCCTCTTGCTGGAGCGCACAGGAGCGGAAGCAGCTGCAGGCGTTGCCGGCGTTGCAGGCGTTGCAGCCGGTGTCGTTGGCGCTGGAGAGGACAACAATGGCAGAAGTCCCGGGGGAGTCACTGCTGGCTGTGATGCTGCAGGCATGGGAAAGGGGGGCATGGGTGGCATCTGCATACCCGGGGTCATGGGTGTTCCTGTCATTGGCACCATGGGTGGGGGTGGCATCATCGACATCATCGAAGGCAAAGGAGGTATCATCTGTGACCCCATCGCAGATCCCATTGGTATCTTCTGCCTCGCGGTCGCAGGACAAGGTGCCACCATTGCAGCTCTTGTACTGCTAAAGATGCTAAAGGTATCTCAAGATATCTCAAGATTATGTTTTTCTTCTGGCGTTTTGGACAGAGATAGCGCTGCGTAAGTAGACTTTATGAACTTTGTTCTGTAAAAAAAGCTGAAACCAAAAGCCAAAAAGACTTGTAAACAACCTGAGTCAACCTAGCTTGGCTTTCAACCCGTCGAGGCGTTGACATGCGCTAACAGGAAATATTTACCAAATCTACCAGCTCAGCAGTGTGAGCCGCGTGGTGGGACGATGCAAGCCTTGAATTTAAAGTCATAGGAACCGCTGTAGGCACTGACCGCCCTGCGAAGGCAGCTGGCACGCCAGCTTTGCCTGAGCTATTCAAAACCCAAGGACCTCACAAGAATTCGTGATCCCAAACAAATCGCAATTCTCACAATTCTCACAATACTGTCATCGTCCGATGTCATCCGACAGAAGTAAACTGTGCATCTCACGAGCCGTGCTGGGGCCACTTTGGCCGCTGGGGCCACTGGGAGCACTGGGGGTACCAGTACTCGCACTGCCAGGAGGGGGAGCATTGGGATCTCGAATGAAGGGCGACTTTGGCATGGACGACTTTGGCGTGGTACCTCTTAGGACCTGTGCGGCAGAATGGGGCAGATCCAGGCACAGTAAGGTGGCATCCATTGCCCCAGAGCAGCCTTTCCTAGATCAACACTGTGACCCACAAGCATCGCTTCAACACGAAAGGCCCGCAACTCTCTGCCATAAGCTGTAAAGCTTCTATGGGTAAGTCAAGTCGCTTCGGGAAATGGACACAATGATCTCGGCTTATTAGAGTTTCGCATAGTTTAACTGGATTAGCTGGGTTCGCTGGGTTCATCAGGATTGGTAAAGGCGGTAAAGGCATCTTCCGCTTCGCCATGTTTCGCGATGCCTTGCCTCTGGCATGCCAGGCGAGCTCGAGCTCGACTTTGGCTCAGTCGGCCAAGCGGGCCCAGGCGGTGCCTACCGTCACAGCCATCACAGTCATCACAGTTTCCTAGCCGACATTCTTCCAGTGTGGTTCTCCCAGGAGCATGCTACAAACTGGTGCACCTTTCCTACAGCGGTGTTGCACTAAACATCCTTTCACGCCTGAGAATCCAAACCCGTTTGCCACAAGAAATTCAGGTCTTGTGGCACTTCAGCAGGAAGGTCTTCAGTCCTTTGTGACACGGGCATCAAATTCAAAGTGCTCAGCATTGAAGAAGTGAAATTTAAGCTCTGTTGAAATGTTGGGTCCTCAGAGGCACCTCTTGTCTTTCCACCCTGATTCCTTCGAACACATCTTGAACCTGAGCAAAAGCAGTTCTTTAGTTCCATTGAGCTCACCAGAGCAATATAAACAGACATAAACAGCAATTCAACATATGTCTGCCTGATCGTCAGAAAGGCCCAGAAAATCCGCCGCAACATCGCAGGCTGTCTCACACAAATCAAGCACGTCAGCTTCAGCCTGCAGGACTCTGGGTCCTACGCTCTGATCCCATCTGATCTTATCTGATCCCCCTCACGACAATTCCACCCGACGTTGTGACACAAACGAATCGCAGTCGCAACAAAGTCGCAACAACGCAGTCGCCTTTGCGAGTATCTTCGGCTCGGGACCTCGGACACAACTGCAGTGTGTTGCACAAAAATGCAAGGATGTGGCCACATGAAACATCAAAGGAAGCAGCCAGGTAGCAACACATTGTGAAACACGCCAACGGGAAAGGTGAAAAGGTACTGACATGTGATGACAACATGAAGCCGACGCCAGGGAGAAAGTGCCGTTGACGGCTGACCCTTCACAGTAAATTTCGCTGCAGGGTGCGTCCTGACACCCAAGCGGTGAAAATGCGAATGCTCCCATGGTGTACATTCACATCATCTTGGTGTGCAAAAAAATCCAAAAGTGCAGCAAAGGGTTGCGGCAAATGGCACTACACCCGCTAGACTTCCTCCGCAGATGGTCGATGTTGGCTGCGTTTCGACCTTCCAAGGCCTCTCGCAACTTGTCACCAGCTTCCATGACCTCAGAAGAACACAACCACAACCACATATTGTAGCATCTGCTTACAAAAATAGACATTCTGAGGACAGCACGGCATCTGGAAACCAGACCCTGCATGACAATCCCGTTTGAAGCATGGCCATGACCATGGCTCAAAACACTGCGACAACAATTCCAACACCTTTTTTGCCTATGCACTGTATGCCCCTTTCTGGGTATGGTATGATCCATGTGTGTGTGCGTGCACGGGAAATCTGTAGATATGAATGCGCATCAGGCATTCTGGTGTGCCCACGCCCTGCCCTGGGCTGCGGTTGCTTTGACGCGTGTGTGTTTACTGTGAGCACGCCGGAACCACAATATCACATGTCAACAAGCATGAATGGAATCTGCTTTCGAGTACGTTTGGCTGAAGGTGCGACAGGATCTACTTTCACAGGTACTTTCTTAGAGCATTGGAACCATTTCAAAGCAATCTGCACATGTGTGCTTCTGTGTGTTTCAAATGGGCATCCATAAGTCAGCCCTGATCATGATTTTGAGCAGCTGAGGCCACGTGCCCACAAACACACAAACGATCAGATGCGACAATCATTTAGGTTCTTCATTGGTGCACCCACATGATCAAAAAAAATTGGAGTATCCACATAGTACCCGGGCAAGCCGAGGGCGAAAGTTTCAAAGAGTTAATACTTTTTGGGCCTTCAAAACAGGATGTGAGTTTTTACAACATCAACTATAAAACAACATGTTAGGACTTGATTGGAATCTCAATCCGGAAAAAAAAACGGATAGAAACCACGAACTTGAATGCATTTGTTAAATGAATGCATGAATGGGTAGACACCAAAAAAAAAACTCTAGATATGCTGAAAACCATATTTACTTTGCGCTCTCGACTCTGCACTCTGCAGTCTACACTCCACGGGCTACACTGGACAATCCCCTAGGCGAAACCACCCAATCAAACACACGCTGTAGCAGCAAGACTCTCACACTCTACGCTGCACACTTCAACATAACACACTCTACTCTCTAGAATCCACACTCTACACTTCACATTCCTCACTCCACACTACACACTCTTCACACTACACACTTTTCACACTGCACTCTCCGCACTTTAAACTTCACATCACACTCCACACTTTCCAGTCCACGGTCCACACTCCACACTCGACACTTTCCACTCCACACTTTACACTTCGCACTCCACACTCCCCACTCTTCGCGCCAAATTCCACACTCCACGCTCTCTTATTGAAAAATATCATTCCACACTTTCCAATACTATTTTGTACTACAAAGCTTGCACAAAGTCCCTCCCATTACGACTACAAGCCTTGCAACAAGTACTTCACTGTTTTACTTGGTACTACAAAAGCACCTCCCAGTACTACTTTGTACTACAAAGGCTGCACTAAATCAAGTACTTCCCAGCACAAATTTTTACTACATATTTGGCACGAAGCACTTCCCAATTACTTTGTTCTACAAAATCTGCACCAAATACTTCCCAGTCCAAAATGAATCTGAACAAACTGTGAAACGAGTCCGAAACGAGACTGAAGCAGGTTTGAAAGCTACTTTGTACTACAAAGTACTTCCCTGTACTACTTTGTACTACAAGCTTTGCAACAATACTTCACAATACTACTTTGTACTACAAAAAGCACCTCCCTGTACTACTTTGTACTACAAGGCTTGCACAAAGTACTTCCCAGTACTCCTTTGTACTACAAGGTTTGCACAAAGTACTTCCCAATACTAGCACAAAAAACTTCCCAGTTTGAAATGTGCCCGAAATGACTTTGAAATGATTCTGACACGAGTCTGAAGCATGCTTGAAAGCCACTTCGTACTACAAAGTCCTTCCCAATACTTAAACAAGCACCTACTTTCTACTACAAGCCTACCACAGAATACCTGCAATTACTTTGTACTACAAAGTTCGCACAAAGTACTTACCATTACTACATTGTAATACAATAAGTCTGCACGCCCCGGTCAGAAACGAACCAGAAATGACTCTGAGACGAATATGAAACGAGTCTGAGGCAGGCATGAAAGCTACTTTGTACTACAAAGTTTGCGCAAAGTACCTCCCAGTATTTCGCTGCACGACAAAATTTGCACAAAGTACCTCCCAGTACCACTTTGCATTGCCAGGTTTGCACAAAATACTTCCCAGTACTACTTTGTACTACAAAGCTGGCACAAAGCGTTCCCAGCGTTACTTTGCACTACAAAGCCACCACATTTTGCACATACGTCGTTCTCTGAACTGAGTCGGAAATTAAAATGACCCTGAAATAACTCTGGAACGGGCCTGAGACGAATCTGAAGCAGGCTTGAAGTCTACCTCGTCCTACAAAGTTTGCACAAAATAGTTACTTCCCCATACTACAAACATTGCACAAAATACTTCCCAGCACTACTTTGTACAACAAGCCTTGCACAAAATACCTTCCGGACATCCTGTATGATGTCATCCACGGCGATGTAACCACAAATCGCGTCGTTGCTTCACCCAGAAATTCGCAAAAGTCAAAATGTTATGGATGGCCCTACACACGGGCAGGAGGGCGCCATTTTCACAAATTCAGCAAAAGAGCATGTGGAAGCTGAATTGTCCAAAAGCTCGCTGCGCAGCACTTATGGTGTCAAAAGACATGGAAGAGCAATCCGAGTGGCTCTCACACATTCAATCGCAAAGGTTGCTCTTTTTCCCTCTCGCCACACACATTGCCATCCATTCACTTGCGCTCACACCGCTCGCTCAGGCCCTCCCCCCCACCCATTTCCATCCACCCCCTTGCGCCCACACCGTCCGCACACATCCACCCTCGCGCATGCCCCCACACACTGCCACCCATTCACTTGCACCCACACCGTCCGCACCCGTCCGCGCATCCAGCCACAGAATCGAAGAGCTTCAGTTTCCATTTCCGAGACACGTATTTGTTTAAAATTATTTTTTTGTATTGAGAAAATTTCGATCAGACAGCATGAAGGCGATGATCAGAATCGACATGTGTTCGCAAAGTCGAATCACCCGTCAAGACCTTGCCCAAATATTGGTGCTTCTTTTCACAACACAAAATTTTGGTGAACTCACTTGCCACTTCTGCAAAGCATGGTTCCTTCAAACGCACGTTTTTCATTTTTTTGGTGTTCGAAACGGTCAATTCTAGACCAATGGGGCAAGTTCAGGAAGTAACAGCTCCGACATGTCGACAAGTTCCTGCATTGACTTGACATAGATCATGATGTCATCGGCACACCTCATAATTCGTTAATCTCTCCACCGCGCCAATTTGGAGACCATGGTTTGTGTTTTCCCATTTTCAGACTTTGCGCTCCATCATTTGCAAACCAAAGCAAACCACATTGTTGCTGCGAAACGAAACAAGGCACATAGCAGCATGGACGTAGCCATTCCATTTCCCACAAGAGGCAATGGCACGACGAAGCCAGCAACGCAAAAGATCACCTCTGCACAGCACTAACAGTGCGGACCACCCGCGCGCCAAAACAAACAAGGCTCCCCACTTTTGTACGAGAAAACACAAGGCTTTTGTGCGATTCCATCTTTATGAGCATCATGTGGACGAAGCGCCGCAGCAGCTATTCCAATCAATACTGCAGGTGTGGATCATCAAACACAATGGCACAGCGCGTTCAATCTGTCAAAAAAATCCCGCTTTTGATGCTAGGCTCTTAACTTGCCGTTGCGATTTTCGACGACCCTGTTGACGCTACGCTTTTGTTTTTTTGTTTTTTCTTGGAACGTCTTGCGCGGTCTTGATGCAACGCTTTTAACTTTTGCTCGGAGATTCCAGCACCCTGGATGCAACGGTTGTAATTTTCTCTTGCAACCTTCCGGCGTGCTCTTGATGTTATGCTCTTGGCCCCAATGCTCCTGATGCTACGCTTCCAGTTTTCCTTTTGAAGTCTCAACATACTAAACATCTACCTTGCTGCTGGGATTTGGGTAATTAACGCACTTGACGCCCCGCTACGCCTCTGATGGCAATTTCTTGGAACATCCAAAATGCCCTTGGCGCTACGCTTCCAACTTTCTCCAGGAGAGGATCGCCGGATCATGACCCTTTTTCGGATAGCCAGGACAGCAAGCTGTTTGCATATGCTCCCCAAATTTTTTTCCGGAACAGGAGTATTTTTTTTTCGAAACCATGATCTTGGTGATCAATTCACGCATCACGTTGCGTTTGTCACATAACATGTAGATTCATGCTTCTTATTCAAAAATGATAACGTTATATATTATTATTTTGTTTACAACTTGCACAGATACAAAAATTTGCATACACATTACACGCACGCGCACAGACACACACACACACTGGACTGGCATTGAAAATTGAATCTGGTTCCAAAGTGGTGCTCTCCTCGAGCCGAACTCCGAGTTGATGTCGAAAAAGTGCCAATTCAACAGAAGCCGAGACTCTCTGAATGGAAACACGGCACAGCGTTGAACAGAAACCGAAATCAACAGGTCAACCAGTTGACTGCAGGTACACCAGGGTGATCAGCCCCAGCTTCCACCATCATGCATAGCTTCGTTGGCATGCGTTTGCATGATGGCCGCATGCCCCCTGCATTGAATTATATGCAGTACTGTTGGTGTCGCAGCAAACGATTTTCGGCACCATTCCCTGTGCTAGAAGGGTTCACGCTCACACATACATCTATACATATATATATATGTTTGTGACTGTGCAGTGTGCAGAGATGTTTTTCAATAGCATCTTCGATGTTTGGGTTCTCGTTTCTTGTGTTAACCGCGTGGGGTACGAGCTGAGTTGCGCGAATGTGCACGGACGGCCAGGGTGCAAGGGAATGGATGGAAATGGTCGACACGTGCGGTCAGTGTGGGCGCAAAGGAACAGCTACCCATAAGACGGGGAGAAGGGCCCGGTGGGCATGAGCGAGCGTGGATCCGCGGAAATGTGGGGACGGTGTGGGCGCAAGGGAAGGAAGAAGGGCCCGGTGGTAATGAGCGAGCGTGGATGCACGGACATGTGCGGACGGTGCGGGCGCAAGGGCAAGGGTAGCTATAGGTGGAAGAAGGGCCCGGTGGTAATGAGCGAGCGTGGATGTGCGGACGTGTGCGGATGGCACGGGCGCAAGGGACAGGGTGGCA